TATATTTCTAAACTTAGTACTCTAAAGTAAGGTTTATACTAAATATCCGTAAGGATTCGAAGTATAAGGTTAATACTAGCTACTCTATAGAGCTCTCTATAGCTTATAAATATTACTAAGATTATAGTAGTAAGAAGTAATAAGAATACTAGTAAAGCTAGGTCTTACCCTAGTACCGGAAGATCCGTATATCTTTATTAAGAATAGTATTATTATCTTCTTCTATATAGACGATATTATTATTATAAATTATCTAGATCTTTACTATATTAAGTAGGTAGCTAAGCTAAATAACGATATTAAGAAGTAATAGGAATTATAAGAACTAGAAGTAAACTAGTTCTTAAATATCCGTATTATTAGAGATAGAGATTAGATAAAACTCTAGCTATACTAAGATAGTTATATTAAAAATATAGTAACTAAGTATAGCTTAATTACTACTAGGAAAGTAGGATCTCCTTTAGCTACTAAACCCCTTCTTCTATACGATAGAGTAGTATTACCGAGCTAGATTTATAGTTTCTAGGCTAAGGTTAGATCTACTTAATATACTACTACTATCTCCCGGCTAGATATAGTAAAAGCTATAGCTAAACTAGCTAAATTTCTAACGAATCCTAGTCCGAAGTATATTAATACTATCGACCGAGTGATTTAATATCTCTATAAAACTAGGTTCTAGGCTATTAAATATAGTATTAGAGAATAATTAAATTAAGGTCGATAAGATCGATAAGAATTAGACTAAAAGACGTCTTCTTTACTAAATAAAAACCTTAGTTTAGAAGAATTAAAGGGTCTCTAGTTCGCTATAAAATCAATTAAATTTATAAGCGATACTTCGTTCGGAGATAATAAAGATAGGAAGAGTTCGGAAGGTTATATTTATAAGTTATACGGCGGTCTAATCGATTAGAAAGTATCTAAATAGAAGATAGTAACGACGTCGATAACTAAGGTAGAGCTTCTTACTCTAGTAGAAGCCGGAAAAACTATCTAATAGTAGCGTCGAGTCCTTAAAGTACTAGGCTTCTAACTAGATCATCCCTTATTTATTATATACGATAATTAGTAGATAGTCGATCTATTAACGAAGGAAGGATCGATGATATATACGAAGCTACGGTATATAGATATTAATCGATCCTAGATGAAGTAGGAAGTTAGTATAGGTAGAGTCAATGTAGACTAGGTTCTAACTATAGCGATGCCTATAGATAGACTTATAAAGGCGCTTCTAAGATAGAAGCAGTATCTCTTCCGAGAGATGATTAGGATGAGAGAAATTAGGTATCTGATTTATCTAGAAGAAATGGAAAAGAAGTAAAGAAATAAAGGAATTAGTAGTTCTTAAAGCCAGGAAAATGCAAGCTTTAGGAATTGGCAGCTCTTAAAAGCTAGGAAAATATAGGCTTTAAGAGCTGGGGGGGTGTGTCAAATTGCAAGATTGCATACATAGGATGATATAGATTATATAATCTAGCTTAGTTATAAACCGTATAGAAACAGCACAGAAACAGCAGTTTCTATTATATAGAAAATGTAGAGTTCTCTATATCAGCCCTAAGGTCCATACATTTCAATACGTCAGATTTCTATCACTATACACCACTTTTACACGCCCTCTCTAAGATGCCCTGGTTTTGTGAACGTTCGGTTATAATTTCACCGCCCGCTAGTTTTCCTCACATCGGAGATTATGTTGTACTCGCGTTAATGGTGATTCTATGTCCCTACGATTTTATCGTTTAATTCCGGGTTAGATCGGTATATTTTCGTCGCCATTTAAATTGGTGAATGTTCGTAGTCCTGCTCCCCTACGAAATTGAAGCTCGAATAGACGGACATTCTATGGACAGTACGCATTATCTAGCTCTTTTCTTAACGACAAAGCTTTTCTATTTTAAAATTGTAAAGATATTTATTATATTGGGGCACCTGGTTAAATTTTCCTTTCATGGGATTTATACGGGCGTTTGCAACGTTGATCAAATTGGATAGTTAAGAGTTGGCCAAATTTGTATCTTCAACGATGCCTTTCATGATAATCGTAGATTAAATGAAACATCACGGACTAGCCGATGAATGGTGAAAATAGGATGGTCAAATGGTAAGAGCAAACTTGCGGTTGGTGAGTAACAATTAGTTGGCTCAGAAATCCGAAGTACAAAAGAAAAGAATCATCAAATCTCTACCTCCTGAACTTGAAGTAGTATGTCAATTTTGAAACTAATAAACACAAAATGAATTGATTTTTTTTAGAAATCAAGAAATGCTGCTCTAACCATGCAGTTGACCGATTTATCCAATATAAATACATCGGCTAGCTATTAAAAACGAAATTCAAGTATAACAAGGCCTCAGCTTAATGCTTTACTATGATAATATTGACCGGTTCCTCGACCTTTAGACATACCAACCATTTTTAGTGCGGCAGGCATCAATATGGCCGTGTCATTAAACTCACCAGTGACAGTTTCAGGTCTTCGCGGGCCATGAACTCTAGAGACCACGGTCTCTACAGAACGACACTAATTTTCAACACTTTACTACTGTACCTATTCGAAGCTTTTAAGAATACCTAAGAGCTACTTAATCTATTTAGTGCTCTGATTTTCTTCGGCTATTCCCAATAGTGGCGCTTTAACGGATCTCTTAACATAGCTTCCGCACCTCCTACCCATTCTAATCGATCTAAATCTATCAAAAAGGCCATACGCTAAAAGCAAGGTCGTCGTAAATCAAGCCTAATGAAAAAAGCATCCGAATACAGCAAGATGTGCAACGCTGATGTCTGTATAGGCATACGCCTTCGGGAAACCGGCAAAGTATTTATCTTATTAGCGGATGCCTTAGGATTTTGGGCTTTCCTTGGCTCGCAATTAGTATGTCTCCAACTATACTACCTCTGAACAAAGACGACTGACCTATCAAGAAATCCTACTATCCATCCCTAATGCTAGTAACAGACCAGGGTCTGAAGCGGGTCGATAAAGATATACCGGAACAACATGCATGAAGTTTTACGACCAAAGCGGAACTTGCACCAGACCAGAACCTTTGCAATCAACATTTTGTTTGCCATATTCTCGGTCTGCGACTTGAAACAGCCATTATCTCAATAGATTGGGAATTATATAGGTCCTGAGGGTAAAACACGATGACTTGTGGTTTCAAAGGGGACTTTCCATATTCAAGAGTTCACGGTAGATTCCTAAGTCGTTCACGACTACTCGTAGGTAGGGCTCCGAAAGGAATATGAACATTAGCCGGTTTCTTGATTCTGGAAGCAAAGCTTTTTTAATTTATGATTAGCTCGCGGTTACTCCTTTCTCCACCTTGGAGTAGGGCTGGCCCGTCGTATGGTATGGGGAGAAGATGTGTTTAAGTCAATTTAGTAAAGGAAGAGAATAAGCAATGGTATGAAAACCGTGGTACGCCGCACGTGGGGAAGCATATCTGCTTATCACATCATCCTGTTCGTCTCCGTGTCCATTCCTGTTTCGTTTAAGCAGGATCTTGCTAGCTTCTGGGTCAACTGATCGTAGTGACCATCAAGTAGCATTCATCCTGGCTCAGCCGTACCACCCAAATCAAATAGATACCTAATTTACCCATCTTGATATTTTACCTCCTACTGTATTCACCTACGCAGAAAACACATTGTTGGCAGAATAAACGTTGCTAGACATTTAGAATTAAGTCGCTTTGTTCTAGATATTAAAAAAAATGTTTATCAACATCTTAACTCTCTGAGCAGTTCTTTGCTTGCTATCTCTTCTCGAGAAAGGGGCAAATATCACCACAATGGTCGGATACCATTGATCGGTCACTCTTCCCTTCTTTTTATTGCAAGCATTTTGTATAGCATTAGGATTCTTAGGAATCTAGGAATAAAAATCTAAATACTAGGAGCAACTAGGGCTAGGTATAGTTCAAGTCTTTCCAGGAACTTGCAAAGAGAACGTGACTTGCGTAGGGACACACTGGGGATTAGGGACGCACTGGAGAGTAGGGACACACTGCGGGTGGGTCAATGAGCGCGACACTGAAAATTGTGTCGCATGAGATACTCCTCTCAGATGTTGGATAGACCTACGTGGCTTGAAATAAGAGCGTACTGCCGATGAGATGTATGACGCCCCAAGAGAAATCTAATAGGAGTGGTACTAGGTTGAAACCTTTTTTCTGTGTTTATGATAAAGCTTGTAGCGTATACCGGAAGTGGCAACATGAAAGAACACTGACAACAGATAAAGTTTAGGCAGCTCATCTCAAGAGTAAGGGTCGCTTGAAAGGCAGAAAATAAGAAACTTCTTTCGAGGGGGCTTAGCTTATAGGGAAATCCTCTTGAGAGGGAATCAGTCACAGTAGGGCCCTGCTGAAGAGCACAGGCAACACAGAAAGCGACACGTCATATGAATTGGCTCTTCGTACCACTTCTCTTCTAGTCCGATGAACCCAGGCCTAAATAAGTCTTGAGATAGTCCAAAGCGATCAAACTCTTCTGACTGGGCATTACCCTGAACTCTGGAGACAGAGACGCCAATTGTTTCACGTTACATAGTTCGTCGACGAATAATATGATTGTTGAAGTCTAGCAACCAAGTCGTTTCGCCTGGGCTTACATAATGACATCTCCTAGACATGTGGGTGATTGTAGAGGCAGCCTGCCTCCTACTATGGATGGAGGGGCAAACCAGGTAGCACTTGCGGGCAAAATACACCCTGTGGTGTCTTCCTACTGTATTTTAAGACACAATTACCAGTCTAGAATTCGGTCTGACATGCGCACGAGAGTGAAGGTATAAATGAATTCGAAAACTACTAATGTCGGTAAAAAAGGAGAGAACTCTGCAGATGAATCCATACTCGAAGGTTCATTTGACCTCCCGCTTTGTAGGCTTGACACCCGCTAAATCCTAAATACGCTACTACGGCTTCCAGAGATATCTAGCAACCTAGCCAAAGAAACTGTTCTCCCAAATTTTGTTGGCCTAAGACTCGTCAGAAAAATATGGCTCATCAGATTCATACTCGGTTGTGTTCTCGTCGCCTGACGAAGTGGTGGTATTCTCCCTATTCCAACGATCCAATTGGCTTCGTTGCTTCGTGGACACGACAAAGCGCTCCTCAAAAACCGACCGCACTGCAATTCTCGTACTCTGTTTAAAGGTTCCTGGGTGAGAGACAACGAATAGCACGGCGTTGTAAACCTTGGCACGATCTTTGTTTTCATCGCTGAATTCACCATATATTATCAGAAATAGAAGTCGGAATGCCGCGTCCCGTGCTCGAGACTTATCGCCCCTTACGGCACGATAACGTTTATACTCGAGTTCATAATCAGTTTTGCAGGCCCTCAAATCTGCAAAGATATTATCAATTGACTGTCCGGCGAGTACGTCAATCCCGAGGAAATCATATGTGTCACAGAGAGTGTGATACTGAGGGATATCACCTCGCAAAGAGCGGAAACATTGCCGATAGCCTGATTCCAAGCCCCTGAGAGCAACGTCAAACAAACAAATATCGCCGTGAACGAAACTGGTTTTTTGCGGCTGGGAAAGACGTTGAAATCTGATGAAGGCTGATAAATATGGTATCGTTGAGATGTCAACATTGTGAAAAGTATTCCCAATTTTGAGTGTTGTTTTGCGACATTTTGATTCAACCTCTTCAGTGGTTCGCGTTTCATCGCCGAGTCTCAAATAAAGATCATCGGGTAACATCCTGCTCCCTTCTCTCTTGAAAACCGCAAGGCTGTCACTTCGACCGTCATATTTTACGACAGCATTCCCACCATTCTCTCTCACCACTCTCATGATTCCCTTGACCAATACAACCAATCTCCAAATGTCACTAGCATGGTTTCTTTCCCATTCATCAATCTCACTAGTGACGTCTTTGACTTCCGGCAGTCCGAATGTGCCACCATTGTGGTAGGCACGGACAAGATTGGGCGTTTGCGATACCCATAGCTGTGGAAGAACGTCTTGGATGTTGAAAGGCTTGTGGGATACGCGCGTTTTGATCTCAAGAGTTGAATTGATTGGGACCTGTTTTCCTTTTTTCTGAACCACTAATTTGGACTCGGTGGCAAGACGAGAGTAAGACTCGGGTCGCGTAAGAGACAGATTTTCCATCATGTTCAGAAAACTCTCATTTTCCGAATCCACATCAACATAAGCGTCAGTCTCGTAGCGGACTACGAATTTCAAATCGCCCAAGTTATAGGAGATAATCCGATGATGTCCAGTGCTGCCAGATACTTGAGTTGTTGTGAAAACTTTCTCAAACTCGTGACCGTAGCCTCTGAATTCGTGTGGCCCGATGAATGTATGTGTTTCGGTTTCTGCCCGACAAAAAATTGCTGTATTGCTTGTGGCCTCAATTTCAATGGTAAAAGGCTCCAGTCCATTTCTAGAGAGATTTGGATTGACGAACGACAGAAGTTTGCGGATGTTGTTTCGATCAGTTATCAAGTCAACTTGATGTATGTTGTATGAAGGTTTTTCAGTGTACAGCGAACGAAAAAGTGGTTCTAGCGGACTTTCAGGATGGCGAAACGCGTTTTGAGCAATGTAAATGAGCCCGGAGTCTTTGGCCACTTTTCTGGGGGTTTGGGGTGGAGACCAAAGAGGGGGGCAGCCGGGGACAGCAATGGTGGGGCTGGAAGATTCAATCCAATTATAAGAAGACAAATGCTCCACATTCGTGATGAATGGCCCGCTCTTCTTAACGTCTGTCAACTCCGGGCGAGGTATGTCTGCGATCCAAATAGAACCCATTGTTGCTTTGCTTGGTTGGTGATATGGTGATAGCCAAGGTGAATGAGATTTAGATCGAGTCCATCAAGGTATTTAAATGAGCACACGTCCTATGTATTACCCCGCACGGGTTTGGACAATACATACTTGCATAATCTGGTCTTACCTTGTGTGTAATTGTTTGTCTACTTCGCAGACTGTAGAACCTTGGAATATCCCTGTATGACCCTCCTTTGCCGAATGGGAGATTGGGGAAGAAGGAAGAGATGAAGGGATGAAGGGAACCCTGCATGTGATGCCAAGAACGATGCTGTTTGTGAAGTGATAATTTCAGCTGCCTATAGGACTTGCACTTGCAGATCGCATTCTAGGCTGTCATTTGATACCATTAAAGCCATAGGTTAGGCAGAATCCTGGTGATTGTGCCCTTCCTGCAGCTAGCATCCTCACCCGTCTGGTAGGTGCTGAGTTCACCACGTAGAATACCTCAGCGCTAACAGGAACCATACGTGTCCTGGACATAATTAACCTGGAGCTCGGGGTTTGCGTGGTGTCGGCATAAAGCCCACGAGCTTCCTACGTTAAGTATGTCGTTTGAATTTTGCACCGGAAATTTAGTTATTCGTAGTCGCTAATTGTATTGGACTCCTTTTCGCATTCTGCTGGCCGCCTCTATGTAGCAGTTCTCACATAGAGCAACAAATAGATTATCGTAGTCGGAGTTCTAAGAGTCTTAAGTCATCAGCCATCTAAAGATCTCTATCCTCACCTATGACATTGTCTAGGATCGGAAGTCCCAAACTACAAATCCGGCCGTTGCTCTATGACATGGCAATAGAAGTCGATAATCTGAATTAGGAAGGGAGTCGAAAAAACCAGGCAATCCATAGCCATAAAATCAAATCCCGAGAAACCGTCGTAGGAATCTTCTCTTTCACATTCTTGATCCACACATCCGTTAGAAAATACAAAGCCTCCCTGCATTCATAGTAGTCTGCCATGACAGCAATTTTTGCGAGCATCTCCAGGGTCAGCTTATAAGCCCGGAGTAGTATCATGAGTGCTTCAATATCCCAGCTTTCTGCAGTGACCTCAACTGAGCCTTTTTAAAGGCAAGTTATGCTTTCTTTCCAACCTCCAGTCAGTAGCTTTTTAAAAACCGGGGAGGCAAACATCAAATGCTTCGCAGACACTTGAATACGTAAGCAATTGTGAACTGGTAAATCAGCGAAACCACCTCCGGCAACAGCTTTTTCAGTAGCGGGCTCTTCAGCAACGGGCTCTTCAGCAGGGTATTCGTCGGCAACAGCTTCTTCAGCAGCGGGCTCTTCGACAGGGTGTTCTTCGACAGCAGTTCTTTAGAAGCAGGCTCTTCATTTGTCGAAATGAACTCAGGAGCAGTCATATTCTTACCAGGCTTTCTTTTCTTTCCCTTCTTCTTCTTCTTTTTCCTGCTCTGTTCCTTGAGACTCAGCTCTAGCGGTCCACAACGGAATTCCGAAATTTCGGCCACCTCATGAGAATTTTGGGTATTACCAAAAATGTTCCGGCGTCAATCCCACAGGTCCTCATATTCTAGTTGTAAAGGAGGACAAGGGTTGGCTCGCGGTATTTAATACCTCGGGGTATTTAGTATCTCGGAAGATTTTCCGTTTCGAGAGCTACTGCAGACAGGTATCGATGTCCAATTTTCCTTGAGGGAGATGGCTGTTAACTGGCATACAGCACCAAGCGTTGACAAAATATATAACTCGACGAACTAGTATGCATCACAAAAGAGATACAATTCAAAACATCCAATAAATGAACGGCGTTCGAAGACAATCAAGCTGATCGAAGACCTTTTGCACATTGTAATTGAGAATGATTATATTATCGCTTTGACAGGAATGGGAATAATCTCACAAAGTAGCCGCCAACCTACTTGCCGATATCCTGACCGAAGAGAACCAATTACCTCGGCAAACCGAACATCACTCTCTACTCGACCAAAATGCATTACAAACCAGGCCTATACATTGCTGCTTTCATGGAATAAGGAAAAAGAGCAGTGTAAGTGTAATAAACGATTAGGAGTATTGACCACATCGGATTGAACGCTCCTTAACACTAAGCAACCACTCGCATCAATGGCAAATCCCACACCAACTCTCCAACAAGCCGCCGTGGTGCAAAACCCAGGAGAAAATGCAACAATTACTCTCCACAATGACATACCCGTTGCAAGTCCGGGACAAAATGAAGTTCTCATCAAATTAACCTGCACCGGTCTATGGTAAGTACATAAATGAATTCAACCTTCCAAAAATGCTAACCCAATACGTACCAAAAAAAAAAAGCCGCTCAGAACTCCGCGCCGTGTTAGCCTGGGGCGCATACAACTCCATCATCGGCCACGAAGGAGTGGGAACCGTAGTAAAAGCCGGACCCCAAGTCTCAGAATCCCTCCTCGGCGAACGAGTCGGCATCAAATGGCTCTACAGCGCATGCAACAAATGCTCAGTGTGCAAACGAGGTTTCCCGCACAATTGTGCACAACAGCTCAATACAAGTCGCCATGTGCCGGGAACATTGCAGCAATATGTTATTGCCGATGCGCGATTCCTGACACTCATCCCTGAGGGTGTTGCTGATGAAGTTGCGGCGCCGTTACTATGCGCTGGACTTACGATGGTCGGCGCTTTGGCGAAACTGGATAATGAGCTGTTGGCTGGAGACTTTGTTGTTATCTCTGGGTCTGGTGGTGGGCTGGGTCACATTGGTGTGCAGATTGCCTCGAGGATGAAAGGGTTGCGGGTTATTGCTGTTGATAGTGGGGATGATAAGAGAGCGTTGAGCTTGGAGTCGGGCGCGGAGGTTTTCTTTGATTACAAGACTGAAGATGTTATTGCTCGAGTGCGGGAGTTCACTGGAGAGGGCGCGCATGCGATCATCGTCGTGCCGGGTACGAAGGAAGCGTTGAAGATGGCACCTAACCTGGTGAGGAATATGGGTTTTGTTGTGAATGTTGGCTTGCCGCCGAATGACTTGGATATTCCCCTTTCGGCTACGCTTTGCACAGCAAGAGGTAAGATGAGGGTGTGGTCTTATAGTCAAAATCATATACTAATCCTCAGAATCATAGGTCTCACCTTTATAGGGTCGTCTGTGGGCACCGAAGCTCAATTAGCCGACTTACTGCGAGCGGCAGCTGCTGGTACGATATCGCCATCGATTGAAGTTTTTGATTTCTCGGCTGTGCCGACTTTGATCGAGAAACTGAGGGAGGATGGTATTACGGGAAGAGCAGTGGTCACATTACCATAGTAATTTGACATTCCGTACTACAATTCTAACCAAATGTTATTGCTCAGACATGTGATGAAATGATGGTATGAATATGCGAGATTAACGAAGTCTGTCGGATGAACAATGAAACGCTATAACGAAGACAACCTCTTCCGAGATACCTCAAGTCCCTGTGCAATGCTCTCCTCCAACGACGTCCACCCTTCCCGCCCACAGAATTCCCGTAAAAGCCTTTCCGCTTCCTTGGCGGGGATAACTTCACTCAGATCATGTCCATCGTCAACTGGAGGTTCAGGAATCAGAGTATTATTAGGTCGGAGCTTTCGAACAACTGAGATCAGATCAGTGAGGTTCACTGGAGCAGCAAATCCGAAGAGTCGCCGAGACACCGTATTTGCGTCGAGCAGGCCCGCTACGTGGAGACGCGCGATGTCGATAACATCGCAGAAGTATTCTGGGTTTGTATGTCAGTTATGAGCAAGCACCAATCTAACATCAATGGGTGTGCACTTACGCGGCGCAAATGAGTCAAAAATACGTGTATCTCCCTTGGGTAGGCCGGAGACCCAGCCCGATGTCGAGCCGGGGATTTCTTCGTGCAGGATTCTCCCGAGCTTTTCCGAGTCAATATCATACCTTTTGAATGTCAGGCCATCGAATTATAAAACTCACGGTAAAATACGGCAACACAGTATTGAATTGGAAGCCCGGTTTGTTCTTCTCCATCCATTTCCAGGCTGCCTTCTCTCCCTCGGCTTTGGAGGCAGCATAGACAAACATACCCTTCAACTTCTCTGGAGCATCTGGATTATATGCTTGTTTGATAGCCTCGTCATTCCAGGTATCTAAGTACAGTATCAGCCAAGACATGCTTCTCCTCCTTTCTCTGGGAACTGGTCTCTCACCCTCTCGAACAACAATACCCTGCTTATTCGGCTCTGGAAACAACGCCGCGACCGCAGAAGAGGTCATGACAACCCGTCGGATATCACGATGTCTCGATGCAGCCTCGAGTACATTATGAGTAGCTCTCAATACCCACGGCACAACCTCTTCTGGATTCGAGCTGAAGGTGACATCTGATGCCTATATATCCAAGTTTCGTTAGCACGGAGTCTTATACTGTCATCCCATTTCCACCAGCAAACACATACCACATGCGCCACCCCAGATACACCATCCATAACCCCAACCAGAGCATCCAAATCCTCAAAGTTAGCCAGAACAACAGACTCATATGAGTCCCGCCCAAACTTATCCCGGAACATCTCATCGAGCCATGGTTTGGCCGAGCGGACGGTTCCGCGCACCCGGAACCCTAGTTCAAGCAGGCTATGGACAACATTACTTCCAATGAAGCCATTGGCGCCAGTCACCAGGATCCGCGAACCGCGAGGTAGATAGTAGGTTTGTGAAGCCATGGAGGATATATCGATGGGTGTGTTTCTGTTTCACCCCGGGGTGAAAAACAGGGAGAAGAACCATTGAGTAAGCGAGTGGTCAGACTGTGGAGTCGAATAAAGTTCCCCTAATTCACCCTCGGACGTTGAACTGGGTTAGGCGGAATTGAGTGGGTTGGGTGACATATTCCCGGGCCCTGTTGGTCGGTTTGATTAGTTGGTGGACTGGGAGTTAGTGCCACTAGAGCGGGGATAGACGGGATGGGTTATTGTTGTTGACCTCAAAGAGCTTTTAGGAGTCCCGGCAGTTTGGGTCAACCCGACGATCTCTGCGGAATAGGGGGTTTGTCGTTGACTCCAAAAGTGGACTTGGTAGCCTCGATGGGTCACATTTGTTGAGTTAGGATGAATTAAGAGTAGTTTGTTATTGCACAGAGAGGATCTTCCATAGAGTCTACCTAACTAAAAGGGCAACATTGTAGATCTTGGAAGTAACTAACTAGTTAACTAAGTAACTAACACCCGAGGGACATGTGGGAGGTACCTTGGTATTTATTGTTGTACTTGCACTCTGTTCTCATTGGTCAATACCCTGACGTCACAAGTGGGTACATAGCTGTCACTTTCTTCAGCCCGTTGGAGTCACAAAACATCTTTTGAACATATTCCATTCCCCCAGTATAGTGCAAGGAGCTTGAAATATATAAAATCTATTCCATCACATCACATTTTCACCATGCAAACCAGCTCCCAATCCAAAGACCAACCCTCCCAACCCCCAAACAAGCCGCCTACGCCCAACCCTCAAATCCCGTAACACACACGCCACAAGAACAACGAGCAACCACCGAACCGGTCCGACACCACGGCGACCCAATCGGGATAATTAAGCGCACAGCGGCGTCAAAACCATCCAGCGATGAAGAACGCGCGCGTCTGAGCGCACAACATCAACAACACGAAGAAAAACTACACAATGCACCCGACGTCGATCTGGAATACGGCGTAGAACTGCAGCCTGCTGAGGGGTATATTGCGGATACGGTTCAGCAGAAGGGGATGGGTTTGCAGCGTGCGCAGGCTGGTGCGCATGCTGGTCCGGTTGGGAGTGCGGGTGGGCCTGGTCATCCTGGTTTTGGGGAAGCGGATGATCTGGCGGCGGATTTGGGGGCGAAGAGGGTTGAGCATCATCGAATTCTTGGTGATAGGGTTGGGAGGAGTCCGCCGGAGGTGGAGGGAGAGGTTGCTGAAAGGGAGGCTGTTAGACGACGTAAGTTGGAACTGGATGAGAAGTTGGATGTGGAGGAGGCGGTTAAACAGGCCACCGGTGATCCGGTGGTAGGTAAATAGGGTAATGGAAGTTTCTCGGCGATTTATTTGGATTGGAATGTTGGGCCGGGGCTGGAAGGAGCGTATTTTACATAGTGGCAAGATCTGGACGTAACTTTCATTAAGTATTTCGAGCTAGCTAAGCGCTGCTTGTATCAACATGGAAACCGGACTCGCTCTCGGTTAGACAAACTGGGTATGATTATTGAAACGGTAACGCCGAAAAATCCCATCCTTGAACATAGAATGCGAAGAGGGTGGCAGATCAGATATCGTCCCCGGCTGGCATGCCCATAGAGACCTTCTTCAGTTGCAGGTCCTTCTTCAGTTCCTGGATACGTCGGCCCATCTTATTGCGCAAAATGTGATTTTGCACCTTCTCCCACTGCGCAGTTTCAGTGCGAATCAGAGCCTCCAGCTCGGCCACTTCCTCGCGTTGTTGCTGGAGTTGTTGTTGCTCCTCAATTTGATCGTCATCCAGCTCATCTTCTTCGTCCTCGTCGGAGATGTTGCTCTCATCGGCAGAGGTATCGCCGCGTTCGGTCGGTCCTTCAGCTGGCGTGAAAGGCTGCATGGATGGAGTATCGACCTGCTCCGGTGCTGGCCCTGGTGCTTCGTCATCGCCGGCAGCCAATGCGGCCTCCATCTCAGCAGCAAGGGCGTCCTCGAAGTCGTCCATCATCTCTTCCTCCGCTTCGCCGTATGCATCCTGCTCATCATCGTATTCATCTTCGTATTCTCCCGATTGCACCAAGCCCTCCACGCGATTCAGGGATGTGCTGTCCACCAGCTCAAACTTGGGAGGGAAAATGGAAGTTTCATCTTGGGCCATGAGTTCTTCCACAGCCTTTTCAACTTGTTCAATCGTGCGTGTGCTGACGCGATCGCGGAATCGGCGCTTGCGAACCCAGCGGAGGGGTGGCGCGACACCGTGTGCGTATTGAAGTGTCTTCTCATCGGGGGAGTCAACGCCCGGGGGAAGTGGGTATTCCATAGCTTCTTGGTCGCTGTTGACGCGTCCCAGCACCAGAAGCATTTGGCAGATATCTGCCGACTTGTACCAGCCTCGTCGGTCCCAACTCTTCATGCCCTCAATGATGCAGGGTAGATCCACTAGAGCTGCCGCATATTGATGACCCCGAACATTCAAGATGGAGCGTCGGCCCTCACGTGTGAGGGGTTTGAGACCGACCTCACCAGTCTTGAATGTCCTGTCGGTGATTGATTTCCTCACAATGTCGCAATCTTCTCCTGGGAGCATTCGTAGGACGAATTGTTCTTCGATAGCAGGATCATTTTCGGTGTCCGAGGCTTCGGAATCATATCCAACGCCTACCGGTCGGTTGGGAACGATTCCCTTGTTTTTGATGCGGATTGATTGTAAGGCCGGTTTCTTGGATGGGATGAGCTTTATTCGCTTGGGGGCTTGTAGGCTTGTCTCGGGTTCGGGTTGTGGCTCGAGCTCAGGCAGCGCGACACTTTCGGCCGGTCGCTTCTTTGTTGATTTCTTCTTCTTTGGTTTCTCTTCACTCGGCTCGGGTTGAGATTTTCGTGCAATCTTAAGTGTGAGTTTGCGCGGGGGTTGAGGAGTTTCGGCCACTGGGGGCGCAGACACGGGTGCAGGTGCAGGTACAGGCGCTGATACAGGCGCTGGTTCTGCTGATGGCGGGGGGTCTGGCCTTCTCGAGAATTTGATCTTTAAAGGCGGCATGGCGAAAATATGAGAGCTACCTGCCCTAGGTGAGAGGTAGCAAGTGAGAGGAAAACGAAAGGCGATGGTGACCGTGGAAGATAAAGGCGATGGCCCCCCGGGGCCGGGAAGTGAGGTTACATAATAATGGGCACAATCATGCCCAGGTGTCCACGGGTTGACACATTCTTTCTTTCTATCACTAGGATTATCGACCTTTCGCATACCTCTCACACGGTCCAAGAGGAAACCTTGAAAATGTCGGAAGCACTGGTCATATATTCACATGCATCCACGTAACATGATATGCGGATTGAAACTCCCCGATCTCGCAAAAGACAAATCTGGACTCTTTAAACTAACCTCAAAGACTGTGCTAATCGGCATATCCACGCCAACCCGCTTTAGTTGGCACTGCAATTGCCATACGTCGATAGAGTCCCCCCAGTTTTGAAGAAAGACACCGAACAAGGGCAATCGGCAAGATCAATGCTCAGACAGGCTGCCACCTGCCGGCGAACGATATGCACAAGCCGGTCGCAGAGGGCATTTTCATCACCATCGTTCTTACCCTCACTACTACTATCTTCTCTGGTCCCTGGGAAGGTATGTGCCAGACGTTTCTGGATGACTAGGCGCGAGAGTTCCAACGACAATCCTTCCAGGACATACCATACCGTAAGGCCTGATCAATGACCATGATGGTGACAGGCGCAATCTGGTCATAGTCATATTCAGTGCACAGAATCCAGTGGTCCACTTCCAGCTCCGTCCATTCGAACATGAGAAAAAGCTTGGAGCCTTAGCGCGTAGCACATCTCACGCTGCACATCGAGCCCGTCGATATCGAGATAGTCCTCAATAGCTCCCTTCAAATGGAACGTGACCATAACTTCCAAGATCGGATGGTGCCGGATGGTTGCGCGGGACGTGGAGGGTGTCGAGGATCTGCTCGAAAGGGATTGCATAAGCCACTGCCTTTTGGCTTGCTTCGCGCACTAACTCTAGGATGCCTGCACAGTCTACATTTGGTGGAGTCTTGATGCGCAGTGGCAGCTTATCTAGGAATAAACCTAAGGACCGTCGCTCGAGGTGCTCGAGGTCGGACGGTTCTATTTTCCCACGGACAGCCTGAAACCACGTCATCGGTCGCGCAGAGCCACTGCAGCATCTGAGTAGTCGCGGCACAGACAATCTGGTGCTTGGTCACGCCGTACCTTTGCGTCAATGCTCTGACTCCGTGAATCATGGTCCCTTCAAAATGGCAGGTACGAGACGTGCCCTCAAAGCTTGTTTAAGTACGGTGACGGACGCGGGATTATTCCTATAGTGTGACTTGGTTTCTGACCTACACCAGCCTTATATCGCAACACCCTATACTCCTTACATCTGGGGACAAACAACCGTAGGCTCACTGAAACATCATCCAGGAATTTTGGTGTGAGCGGAATGACGTGAGCTGCCCGGCATATACATCGAATACGTGTACCGTGTGCACTGCGGAGAGCGGCCGAGGCCCACCTTTTTTGAGCGGAGGTTGGAGAAGCGTTTTGGCTTGGGCCGATTTAACCGACGATGAGCCTGATGCACAGAGTGTGCCCATGATGCTGTGTTAGGGGTTAGAGTATTGTACCGCCTGGTTTGAACGAATTAGATTAACTACAATGGCACTGTCACAGTTCTTTCGAATTATGTCTAGCTATAAGTTTTCCCAATGCTCCCAGGGGTCCAGCAGGAAATTCTCAACTTGAAGCCAAGTCACCTGCCGATTCCCCCCGAAGCCGGGAGAAGGAGAAATACGATAAGATGAGGAGTACTAGCACCGTCAAGGAAATATTAGTGGAATTGACGAACAGAAACCAGGTGGTCTCCACCATTTGAAATTTCTACGCCGACAGAGCAGAAGATAGCCCTGAAGCGATCCAAGTGGGGCTTCTCGCGGGACAAGCATTTGCGAATGAAAGCTTCTTTGCGGCACGTCCAACCAATTAGCGAGGTGTTGCAAGGCCCTTCGGTACTTATCCTACTTGTTCAATCCGGGTTGTGTGGGGAACTCTTCTCTATGTTCGGCTCGTAAACCCCCCCGGTTTTCCCTCTGAAAAGTCGGCCTTGATCCTAGACCTGGCTTCGCAATCCTGCTTTCTCTTTTGCCCATCTTCTACTCGTTCCCGTACATCATGCCCGGGAATGAATCTGCTGGTCACAATGTGGAGAAAGCGACAGACTCTCAAGGTGAAAATCCGGACTTGCTACTATCGGAAGAGCAGGCATTAGCCAAGGCACGGGACAATCCCAATGACGCCCTACCTATCTTCATCACCTACGCCCCAGATGACTTTGATAACCCCCGCAACTGGCCCAAGTGGCGTAAATGGTATATCACCATCGTGGTGAGCATGTTGAATGTTTTCACGTACGTCATCGTCCACTCATTCCTATAACCGTGACACGTGAGTCAATGTTGAGCTAACACCGCCGACAGAACATGGTGTGCTGGAGGGATATCTTCGGGGGCGACCGGAATTCAAGAGGAGTTTGGTGTTTCTGCTGAAGTCACAACACTCGCTTTGTCTCTATATGTTCTGGGTTATGCTATTGGCCCTGTGCTTCTCGCTCCGCTATCAGAGTACTTCGGGCGTCAGCCGGTTTACGTCGTCTCGTGGTTCTGCCTGTTCATCTTCCAGCTTCCTCTCGCGTTGGCCCCGAACATCGGTACCATTCTAGTGTGTCGTTTCATCGCCGGCTGTGCTGGAGGTGCCCCTCTCACCAACACAGGAGGCAGTATCAGTGATATGTGGGAGCGGAACGAGAGTGGAGGCCCTATGGCTGTCTACGGACTGAGTAGCACCTTCGGCCCCCCTATGGCCCTAGTCATCACCGGGTACATCGGGTTGAATCTTGGCTGGCGCTGGATTTTCTGGGTCCTTATGGCTATGACCGGAGGCGTGTGGGTGGTGTTGGTCGCCACGGTTCCCGAGACCCGCCACACAACTGTTCTCCAGAACAAGACCAAACGGGTCCGGAAACAAATGAAGAAGGAGAATCTTCAGTCGGCTGAGTCGACCATTGACATGCACGCAAGCAGCAGAAAAGGTCTGCACGAACTCTTCAGTATCACCCTCACCCGTCCATTCCGCTTCCTCTTCACCGAGCCCATCACATTGTTTTCTGCAATTTACAACGGCTTCCTTTACGGGCTGGTCTATCTTTTTAACGAAGCAATTCCTTTGGTCTTCGGTCCACCCAAGGGGCATCCATTTAATGGCGGCCAACAAGGGCTGGCATTCCTGGGAATGGCGATCGGTCCTCTGATCGCATTCTGTTTCTACCCCCTCCAAGAACGTTACTACCTTCGCCGTGTCGCTGAAAATAAAGGCAAAGGTGTGCCCGAGGCTCGTATGTGGATGGCCCGTGGAGGGGCAATCCTCGTTCCAATCAGTCTGTTTTGGTTTGGATGGACTAGCTATCGGTCGGTGCATTGGGTTGTGCCGATCATTGCCTCATCATTATTCGGTGCTGGCATCTACATTGTCATCCTTAGCATATTGAACTACGTCGTGGACAGCTATCAGACTTACTCAGCTTCCGCTTTAGCTGGCGTGATCCTCGTCCGAAATGTCGTCGGTGCTGGATTCCCATTATTCGCCACTCAGATGTACCAGAAGCTTGGCTACGAATGGGCTTCTAGTCTGTTGGGCTTCATCTCGGTGCTTTTGGTACCAATCCCATTCATCTTCTTTTACAAGGGCCAGACTATTCGTCTTCGCAGTCGCTGGGCCAGTGAGCACTTCGATCAAGACGAGGACAGCCCTCACTGAGGATCTGTTCACAGGTGTTCTAGCCTCTTTTTTTCCCGTCACTGATCAAATCCGGTTCTAAGTGCATCTTCAGCACACTTTGTTATATTTATTGAAAACACATGGAACCTTTCACGTCTCTCGCAAAGCTGGTATATTGCATCATATGTGTGTGTTACAAATAGTTTGTATGGAGTATACACATCAAACATAAACTATTTTGTTAGGCAATGCCGTCCATATATGATGGAGAAAGAATTTATAGCAGCCATGGGATATTTATACAACACCCCTAGGTATCAAGAACGCTTGCACTTTCGCTGAAAGTCTCTGAAACGTGGTAAACAGTATTCCAAGGTTGTATAACTTACAGTCAGCAAAAATGTAAGAAAAAAGAGGTAAGAAACAAAACAAGAAACAAGAAACAAGACAGAAATACCAGTCCATATCCTCGGTGTACTCTATCCTCTGGTTCCGGGAGCAGCGAGGAGGAGAGGCTGATAATGGAGAAGGATGAGTGCTCCTAGTGGTGAGTCAATGATGTATCCCTTTAGTATTGCCAGCCGACTGGCTAGTAGACTCGATCTTCCGGATCAAACCTGAGCACCAGCCGGTAGGGGTAGGTACTTGTCAATGTGGAATCTTGTTGATGAAGAGAAGAGGATAGGCCTGGTGACTAGCTAGCTATAACTATATATTCCTCTTCCCCGTTTGCAGACGGGAGTCTGCGCTTCAATCAAACCTAACTAGGCAACTCCTTGTTTCACCCGTTCGCTCTAGATTCTCATTGAGCAGGACTCCGAGCGCCCTCATAAAGCGGCGCATCCCAATCGGGTACCTTGGCCCGCGGCCTAAAATTCGGTTCATAGACCTAGCATACACCGCATTTTAGGCCGCTCAAGCTGGATTTCCGTTTCCGCTTTAGTGCTCACCCCTTGGCGCTTTCTTCTCATTGAGTACTTCTTAAAGGATAAAACAAACCCAAGAATAGATAATCTATACACGTCAAATTTTCAGACATTCAAAGCGCCCCTGTTGAAAATCCAAGACTAAGTACATTGGTTGCCCTATGGGGCTCGGATCTGTTCAATCTTGGGAACCACGACGTAACCTTAAACCCCACTGGCCTGACGAACCATTATGACGTATCACCTAATCTACGAGCTTGTGGATGTGGATTTCCATCACAGCTGAAACTTTTTTCCTTCGCTCTTCCTGACAGTCCTACGTTTAATAATACCTCCTCACTCCATTACTTACCCAGAATCAAAATCATGAAACCGCGGACAATCTTGTTGAGCATCTTCCTGAAAGCTCCCTTCATCTACGCAGAAGAAAAGATCAGCCTCCAATGGGCAATTTGCGACCCAACACCACAAGACACGCTTGCAAAGCTTGGACTCGATGAAGCACTCCCATACAAAGAAAATCCAATCACCTACTATGATGAAGATCCCCCTATACATCTCACCTCCGGATTAATGTTCCGCACCAAAACGAACAAAGGCCAGCCACTCTCCACAGTCAAAGTCCGCTTTCCAGAGGTAGTCCCTGATATTCCAGACTTTGTCGACTGCTCTTGGGAATACTATGGCGGTAACCCGCCATCCTTCACATGCGAAAAACGCTATCCTTTGGACGGTAAAATCTGGCACGAGGAGCAGGTGCAGTTCGCCGAACGGTATGGGACTGTCGACTGGGATATGCTGCGTGCGTATGGGCCCTATCAGAATGCCAAGTGGAAGGTGCGGGTTGGTGGACACAAAGCCAAGTTTGATGATGTAGTAGCTGGAGATCTGCATCTGATGGAGATCGAGACGAAGGTGCTTAGGGAGGAGGCTGATTATGCGCTGCAGGAGATTACGCGCTATCTGAATGAGACGGGCGTTGTGCTTTGCGAGCCGCAGGAAGGGAAGACCATGCGACTGTTTCGTACTATGGGGTACCTCGGGAATGAAAGGGAGGAGCTATAATCAAATGCGAGAGATGTGGAACTTGTGTTGCAGATGTTGGCGAGTCTTACATTCCTTGACCTATCGTACTTTGCCAGATGCTGTAGGAGTAAATCTTGTTTCCTTATCGGTCCACTTCGCCCTCTATTGTAATCAATCGTGAAGCCAACGAGGATTCCGGCTTCGGTGATAGGGGTCGGGACTGTATCTCCGGAATAGGGATGACTACAACCTCGAAATCATACTATAATGATGCTGCTATTCCAGGAGAACTGTAAGTATACGCATCGTCTGCGCGTAATGTTATCACTACTAGGTTGATTGAGCTCTGCTCGTTAGTCGTTCTATAACTCGAGACAAAAGACGAAACGTGGAAGAGCGAACCAACATAGTGACACACGCTACCTCTATCTCTAGTCCGCATGACCTGTTCCTTATCGACCTGTTCCTTATCCTTCTATCTCGTCCTCTATGCCAATCGATTGAGAAGTCAATGAGTTCGGTTATAAGGCAAGGGGCCCAGTCAATTAAGCTCTACTTGTCAGTCATTCTATAACCAATGACCGTGGATGAGACGCTTGTGATGTACTAACCGAGAGATCAAAGCTGCCTCGTCGCCTCTAGTCTATATGTAGCTCGTGTTAAAGGATTCACCTCCTACTGTCTTATCCGTCTATCTTAGCCTGTCTGCTAATAGATAACTACGCGAAAGGGGTCATTAAGGACAAGGCGTGCTTGGCGAGCTGAGTTCTACTTAGCTATTTCTAAAAATGGAACGATAGTACGAAGGATAGAGAGGAACCGGGGCGTACAAACGGTCTAGGGAGGTCGGCGAGCGATTTCAGAGATCATTGAAGCGCCTCAATATGGCCGCTGTAGAAGCTTCATATTATAATAAGTAGGGAAAGGAAATGAGGGGATTATGCTATCTAGCTCTTATAGACGCTTGTATCGTTGGTTTACGCGAATTGTAGGGAGGAGCGTTAGGTCGAATATACAATTGATGCGTTTTAACCGACATTCCCCTCGCTCCGAAATTGATTGGACACTATCAGCCATAGGGGCTCTCACTCTCGTACTAGGCGCCAAGGCAGATCCACGGACCCGCTGCATACGGGCGATTGTCCACAGATGGTCTAGGGCGCAATGGATCGACGATAGACCGGCCGGCTGATGTATCCGTGAGGCAGAGGCGTGGTTCGGCGTGGCGGACCAAAGGCAAAATGCCTTATGTCGAGCATATTCAGCAATTCTGGATAGAAAAGGGGATGGGTGAGGCAAATCTGCGTATAGAGCGCTCGAGAGGTCGAACGAGGGCAAAGGACTGGTCAGTTCGCGCCGGTGACCGAGGGGCGGGGGCTCGGCGAGCTGGATCAATGGCAAAAATGTCTCACGGGCAGGACGCACACAGGACGCAGATACTAGCAAGAAAGGAGCCGTAACAGGCGGAACGTTCAGCGAGCAACAGTCGGGGCGATGAAGGCGACTTTATAGACGGCAATATCAGTCACGTGGAGGAGAGAGAGACCCAAAGAGGCACGCTAAATCGAAATTGGTAATTCGCCGTCACCGCAGAGTCAGAGTAAGGAGTATAACTAGTTAGTTAGATAGTTACGTACGAGCTAAATGACGCTCTTATTTTATCATTTTTACTTCGAGCAATAAAAGTCTATTTTTCTATATGTGTACACATCTGTACACCTATACACATGAGTGCATACTAGTCTAACTTCTTTTCTATCACGGCATCATGGGATATGCAGACGTTCTTCCTTCTACAACACCAAGATATGAGTTTAAGGGAATTCAGCATTGTCTGCAGATTGTGGAGGGACCAGATGGGGAAGATGAGCAAGATGAATGTAACCCATATGTTATTTTTACTATTGATGAGCGTTCCTTCCTTGATTGTTTTCTGAGCTCCGGAGAAAGTTCCCTCAGAAAGGCCTGGGAAGCTTACGACCCTTCTACTAACGAGCTTCTCATCAAAGTGGCGGAGTCCCCAGGTCATGCAGAAGGAGCCGGTGTTTTCATAGAATTATTCGGAGCATGGATAAGACCAAGCGATCCAAACTACCCGCTTGTCAACTCAACAACAAGAACATTTCGCGGTCATTCAAACAGGGAGAAAAAAGCTGTCTGTTCATGGGTGCCGAAACATTCGGGGCTCGACGGCGATTGGCCGACTATCGCCGTCGAGGTCGCATACTCAGAGCCCCCGGCGAAGATGATAGGAGACGTTGGTTTCTGGTTGAATGATTGTTATGGGCGTGTCAACTATGTGGTTACAATCAACATCCAGAGGCGCGGAAGGAAGGTATGCATACAACAATGGGAGATGCGAAACGGCACCCCATTCCCTGTGCAAAAGATGGAGATCACGAAAACACCAGCACCCAACTGCGAGAGGATCCAGGGGGCGATACGACTCTCCTTTGAGGACATCCATCTCAGGCCGAGAGGGCAAAATGACACTGATTTTACGATCAGTCATGACGATATTGAGTATCTTGCAGCGCAAGTCTGGGATGAACAGGACAAGGAGGAACAGCGCGCAGCTAGACGCGCAGCTAGACGCGCAGCTAGACGCGCATCTAGATAAGAGATCTAGATAAGAGCTTGTCCGCCTCCGCCTTTGATTATCCCGCCGCTCCCGTTCACTTCACACTTCCTTCGCGGCCTCGCTCTACCTCTCTTTACCCACATATTAATCGCCACTGCTTTCATAATATCAACAAGATCGTCTCATTTTTTTTCCTCATTTTTTTTTTTTTTGCTTCTACTAGCTTCTCTACCCATAATGTCGGGCCCAAACCTGCACAACGCTCTCCTCCGCCCTCCGATCATCCAAATTCTCCGCGCTCAAGGCTTCCACTCGACACGCCCTTCAGTCTTGGAATCTATTCAGGACCTGACTGGCCGGTATCTGATCATTCTCGCCTCATCTGCAGCGGAGCATGCCGCAAACTCACACCCATCCGACCCAGTTCCGGATCTCGAAGACATCTACCAAGCCCTGCAGGATGCAGGAGCCATACGGCCACAATTACGTGAATGGGAGGAGGAATGGCAGGGAGAAGAAGATATGCGTGGTCTTGATGGTTTCCTCGGCTGGATCACTGGCCCTGCCCATCGTGAAATTCGACGTGTTGCCGGTTTTTTGCCCAGCGAGGGTGACATGGTGGACCCTGACGCCGTTGAGAAGGAGGATTACTTGACCGCATTGAAGAAGAAACACAGCAAGACGGGTGAGGAGTCTCGGTACGCTGGGACTGTCCTGGGGAAACATGCTGAGGAACACCCTGTCGTCATTGAGGGTGGTGCCCCCAGCATCCAAGACTGGGGTGCACAGGTTCGTGCCCGGGCTTTAGAGGCAATCGATAGCGACAGTTCTGGTGTAAGCAGCGCACCGAGTCATCTCTCCGACGACGAAGCGATGGCCGCGTGAAGGGCTCCATACGGCCTCATGAATTGTTTGGCTTTTGAAAGAGTCGTAAAGCTTGAATCTCTACTTCACCAATGTGCCCAGACCTGAGCCGACATGTCACCCTTCCGGTTGTCCATTTGCTCACATTGTCTTTCATCTCTACTCCCCTATTTGAAACACAAACAGTCCCCCGCCATCTACCGGAACCGTCAAACTCAGTCCTCACCAGTGGTCGCCGACATTGTTCCAACCTCGACCCGAACCATGATCATCGCCCCCACTTCACTGTTCCAAGGAGACGAACTTCTTTCAATGGCTCAACCACCAGAACTATACCTACATGCCCCACGGTATCTCATAGGATGGGCTTGAAAGCCCGAGGTGGCGTTGCAAGCAGACTCGGTCTGTTTAGCAGGGGTGCAAATTGCCAGGATTTCGTTTGATCGGGGATTAAGATGGGATTTTCATTTTCATTTTCATCTGAGTATTGCGGCGGGTATCCTCTGCTGCGTGGAATTCTGATGTGGTATTTCGCTGTCTGTCCTAGGAGCTCACGAGAAACGCGTCGTATGGTCTACCCGTTCCCTAGTTGTGTCTAATAGCAGAAGATGCCCCGAGAAATATCAACTATTCGAGTGGCGAATCGCTAACTCTTTGCTTTTCTGCAAGAATATTCGGCGGCTCATACCGCACTGCCATGTCTTTTTAGTAGTCTGCTTAAATATGTACGTATCGTACGTATGTTTTACGCCTTTGGTCTTGGATATCTTCTCGATCTTCTCAGGTTTCTAGGCAGACGGAAGAAAAAGCCTTGACAAATGTAGACGAATTTACAATATCTAAGCTTCAACATAGTATATACAAGAAGTGAAACAAGAAATTATACATGACCGAAACATCGTGCACAAATGAAGCCGGTTAAGGAACTGGCTGGTAGCTTCCTTTGCTACGCAATTCACTTTGCCTCCATCTCAACTTCGACTGCTCCAACGTCGTGAGCTCTGCGCTGTATTCCCCATCGTTCAGGGCCTGTTGTAGACGGCCGTTCCGGCGTTGCTTCAAACAATACAATAAAAATGCGCCAATGAGAAGCGCGCCAACAACAGCGGCACCGCAGTACACACCGATATGAGCCCCCTGGCCAAGATCATCCCATTTCTCGGATAACGTCTTGGCCGGTGTCTTGTTGATTTGTGTTATGGCGGTTGAGTTTCCACTGCGAATTGAAATCAGTCCCTGAAATAACAGACTTCTTGCTTCAAAACAAACTCACCTGACCACCTCAATACTCTCACGGGTGCCCGTGGTTCCATTGTACTTGTACTCCTTTCCGGTGTGGAAATCCTGAACGCGGACCTTCGATACACTCATAGTGAACGGAACATCGCTCCAGTCAACCAAACCACCACCCCAGTCGAGATTCCCTTGGGACTGTCCCTTGACTCCAACCGGCCAATTGCTAATCTTGACCTGACACGGTGTTTGCGGGTAGTTTTTGCCATATACAGTCAACGGCTCGGAGTAGTTCACTGTCCGCACCAAGTCGCCATCAATCCACCATTCAAGACGATCTTCATCCCAGTACGACGTGTAGTTGTGGAACTCGGTATCTGCATTCGGAACATAATGATATCCGCCCCGATCACTGGTGGTTGTGTTTCCCTTGCCGAAGAAATCCGATTGCACTCCGCTCGTGTTGTATCCAACCCATTCCCAGTCGATCTCGTCCAGGTCGTCGGATTGCAGGATAATACTGCTGATGACACCGGCTCCCTTCGCCATCTTGACGTGTGCTTCCATCACGCCGTAGAAAATGTAGAAGTTGGATACGAGGAGAGTTGACGAGTTTTCCGTTTTCATGGAGAAGTCCGCGCCTTCGGATGTGTAGTCCAGAGTTCCGGTCTTCATGGTCCAGAGGTCAGTGTCGAGAGTTGAGTTGAAGAGCCATGTGTGCTCGGTTCCAAGAGCTGGATCCGCACTACATGTCGTGTGCTCCAGGGGGTTGCAATCCGTTCCGGTGTATTCGGTACTAGCATTGGCATTGGCCACCCCGTAAAGGGTAGTCAGGGGCAGAAGCAAGAACGAAAACCAGGACCTCATGATGTCGGAATTCCGTATCGACGCGGTATGCTCCGTCTGATCCTAGTACCCACACAATACCGCTTTATATCGCAATTTCTGCAGCGGGAGGATCGCGATAGCTGGAGGGGATAGATGTGAAGAAATCAACATCTAAGAAATTCATCCACCAAAGGAGATGAGGGAGTTCATGGACGTGAGTTGAATGGCTCGAAAAATAGCCATGACTGCTAGCAAAATCAAGATTAGGGAGGTCAATAAGCGAGATAGCTAAAGGCATCAACCATTGCTGTAATTAGAACCTTGCCCACTTAGTCGAGCTTAGCGTCGAAAAGTGTCGCAGACGACTCATCCAGTTGAGATTGAAGTTATGGAGACTAATGTTATCTCCGAGTCCGAAAGGAAAGCTTTTTCGAAGCTTGACTCTGCACTATATACTAGTAAGCTCCTTAGCGTTAATTAAACGGCCTCATTGCGTTAGTCGCCTGTTAAAGGCCCACTGGCAGCGTAATTAACTGGGAACAATATCCGACCATTGGCTATGCTTGTCTATAAACAGAAGTCGAGGAAATTAAAAATGGAACAGGGGAAAAAAAGAAAAGACGCAGTGGATTATTTATCAAAGCCACGATACATCCCGGGAGAGTATTTAACAAACCAGCTTGCCTATTCGCCTTCTATCATTCGTGACTTTCTAGCACTAATGGGGAACCAACTTAGATCGAGGCCAACTACTTTGACAAGCACTTCATTTCCCTGGTCCATCTGCAGTTATGTCTATTGAAAGTATTCACTTGCTTTAGAAGTAGCTCCAGGAAATGGCAGGCAAGTGATGTCCTTGCCAAAGTAGTTGGACTCGCTCTATATTGAGGCCCTGTTAGACCTGTATCAAGATAGTCCCGCCTCTTCTATACAAACCAAATCATATCCTACGTTTTAATTGTTATATCTAACTGCATATATAGCCCACCAAACAAAACGAAAATTCCGAAGACCATTATTACGGCAAGGGTGATAACAGTGAGGATTACCATCCAGCCGGACAGTATTGAGTCCAATGGTGGCGTCTCCTTGGGCGATATTTCGAAATTGAACCACCGTTGGCATTGCCATATATACCTTGCCTGCTATGGATTTGTCGTCTTCACTCTCATCCGCGGGACTTACGAGCAATACATCCGATTATTCTAGTTCCGCTAGCTCCAAGCAATCTCTCACTGCTGACACTGATCGTAGAATTTATCCAGATGTGGACTTGAGTTCTCTGTGTTTGACATACATAGTCTAAATACTTGCGGAGGGCCCAAAATCCGCTCATGTCTCTCTAAGAATCTCTGAATTTAACACCCACTGGGATTTTAAAAGCGCTATAGTAGCGTTGAATTTCTTACCACGTAGACAAAAATACTGCGGAGTGAGAACAAAATACACAAAGTAGGCTGTCCATCACACTATCTACGAGTCGAATAAGGCTTCATTCAGGTGAATGTGTCAGAAATATACAATAGTGAATTCTAATCTGCCAATATATCCTATTGGAATCAATCCTCCCTAACACCCACATCAAAGATACCAGTCAGTTGACTGCGCAGCGACGAGTGTCTCCTTGAGGAAACAAACCGCCTTGTGTTCAATCACATCCTCTTTCTTCCAGTCGAAGGCCCGGTTACTTATCTTATAACTAGTCCAGTCACTCTGGAGGATGAGGATTGCTTCTGGTAAACGAAGTCTGAGTGTCATGGACAAACGTTGGAATTGCGTATACCCAAGGAGATGACTGCGAGGCCTACGTTCATCGCAGGTTGCTTGCAATACCAGCTCGCGACAAAGGTGGTCAAGTTTCTCGATCACTTCGTGGCGTCGCCATGCTTTGTATATCAGCGTTTCAATCTGTGTCTCCACAATCTGGACTATCTTTGTGTAATCCGCCTCCAGGGTCGGTCCAAACACGGGCATCCGGGACATTGCTGTGGATATAATGTTAGTAATGCAAATGTATTCAATTTCCTGGAGTTAATTGTCAGTTCAGCTGAAAGTTATTATTGGAAGATAGGTCGCCTAGTAAATCTAATCACAGAATTAGATAAAAACGGCTAAAGGATGTGCGACTAAGGGTACTTATCACTACCTAGTTACCTAACTATGTATGCTTTTAAAGATGTTTGGCTAGAGAGAGACAGTCAAAGTCATTGAAGTTTTTTGGTTTGGGATTTCCTTTGTTGTTTCCATGTGCTTGAGGTTGCCATCCTCAATGAACAGGATTGCCTCGTTGTTACCTTTGTCTGTGACATATATCCTAAACCGGCGAGGGAAAACAAGTTCAATAAAGGCTTACACCAAACTATCAAGTTACAGCATGGCAGCTACATTCCATTTTCAATTTAATTTGTATGAACATTGATTGCATGGTAGCACGGAACTTGGAAGAGAGACTGTATGGCTCTATCTTAGTGGCGGTAGAAGAAATACTACGTGAAAAAAGAAAAAGCCGAAACGGACTATAGCTATTTCCATCGGATATCATGGATGTTTATTGCTAATGGTACATTGGAGACCAGGAATGGAGTCTAGTCTGCTAGGAATAAAGTTGATTATCACAAAGACCATACAAGGTCAGTTGCGATATTATTCGAGATTGTAGGGCGCGGATGAGCCAAGGTGACCTTCCCCTCCTGGGACTGAGCCAAATCAAAGAAAAGACATGAGTATGAGGGTGAAATTACAAGAATCCTCGTATATACGGCTTCTGGAAGACTTCAATAATCCGATCAATCTATTTCGCCTGAGATGGAAGATCTGAATGTACCGCATTTTTGCTTGGTCTTTTCAGATGCCTTTTACATACTATTTTGAAATGGTCTTTCAAAGCGTCTTCCTAGAGTGCTTCTGTAGCAACATGGCCGAATCAAACAACCGGTCTCTCACGTTCATCTGAAAAGTAACCCGAAAGGAAAGCCAAGGTGACCGAGAGAATTCTCTCACATGAAATGCGAGGAACTAAAAAAAGATTCTGAAGCTCAAGTTCTTTGATACTGGTCCTCTTTTACTTTCAACAGTGTGGTTTTGGTTTCGAGTTGGAGCTCTTTATTAATTACCCCAACACGCTGTCTACCTAGGTAGTTCGACCAAATGATCAGAGAACCCGAATTTCTCATTTTCTTTCATGTAAAAAAATTCAACTGTGTCCTGGAATGATTTCTTTGATGTTCGAAGTATTGCACTTTTGAACTTGGGGGGGGCTTTTCCTCGATCTGGACTTCTTTGTTTATACATGCTAGGATATAGTTAAGTTTTAGTTCCACAAAGTACAAATATTTCCCACGACTTCAAACATTTCTAGATTATCTCATGTTGCACTAAGCTTTCACACATTCCCCATCTCATACTGTTCATATTATCTCGCTCTTCAAAATGGATCGTCCTCGGCGAGCCGCTGCTGCAAAACCAGCGGGTCACTATGCCGCCACAACCACTTCCACAAAGAGAAAGAGGTCTGACACTACCACTGCTTCGGCCCGGAAGAAGGGCAAACAGAGAGCTGAGTCCACGGTATACGGAGTGGGCTCGCGTACCCCTGTTCCTCTTCCTGCTGATGTTTCCCTCCCCATCCCTGTTATTACACCAGACCCTTTGGATCCGGCCGCACTTGCATTGGATTTGAATAAATCCTATGAAGATCAGATTACACCACCGAAATGGCCAAAGCGCCAACAAAGATGGAAAAACCCGACAGGGAATCCAATCAGATTCATGGAGGATACGCCACTCGGTTGGAATACCGACGAACCCGACCTTGATCCTCAGTGCGTCTTTCCCATTATATCCACATCTATGGATACTAATATATGCTATACAGTGACGTGGAGGCTCAGATCGCAAGGTGTCATGAGAGGATCAGTGATAATATCATGCCCCATCAGTTTGATTTCAAGCTGAGGAACTTGTTGTTGGAGCAGAAAAGTCGCAAGTGAGTATTTCCGGGAACATTTCTCTTAACGGAGTTTAACTCAATTATTAGGGACATGATGTCCTTGGAGCCCGCTGGATTAAGTTGGCCTGTCGTCCAGCGCCTGCAAAGCCTCAAGGGGACTTTGGAATGGCTCCAGAGCCAGCATGACAAGTACGAGCTGGCTGCCAATGTGACGAACATCATGGCAGCATATAGATCGGGCCAATTGAGATGGAATACAGGTCTTGTTACCTACTGGTCTAGAGGCACTCAGCTCTGTCTTCCGAGGCCATTCAGGTGGGACGAATTCGATATCATCAATGCCCAAAATGACGGTAGCAGTGGCTTTTGGGTAGAAGGAGTATGTCTCCTATAACATATGGAATAGTTAGTCGGAAACTAACATGCATGTATAGCTTCAAGGACCAGGTCCAGTGCCCCAACTGTTTGATTGCATAGCTAAGCCAATCCCTGGAGACGTACCATTTCGTGCTTACGTGAGTGAAGATGTCAACAAGCTTAGAGGGGTTTTCTAACATGATTTGAAGATGAATATTACCATACGAATCCCAGAGGCGACTTTTCAAGCTGGAGGAGGTGCATTTAACCCTGTATTGGGATCTGTAGGGCTTCAGCTGCCCTTCGTCGATGATAGTGGTGCTTCTGTCATGCAGATAAATCAAAGTGATATACGGTACCTGATGAGTCTCAATCGTGATCCCCAACAAAATGACCCCCCGCCTCCACCAGTCTTAGGTGCCCTGCAAATAACAGTCGCGAATGGGGTATACAACAACCTTGTCTGCAGGAGACTTGAGATTAACATGTGGGATCCTAAAATCGGGAACTACATGTCCACCGCGTGGCATCCAGTCCAAGTCGTCATTCACGATGACACCAACTCGACACAGCAACTTCGATTAAATGGCCCTTGGCCACGACACAGGATGTATACATCGTCGGCTCCGGATGGCTTATCCAATACATATTTTACCGACATACACCCATCACAATCATTGACCGTGCCATGGGTACATCCGGCTCAAATGGCCGCCCAATTACCGGACTTTGCAGTGCAACCAATATCGGCAACAGGAGGAAAGGTAGCAGGAGGGAAAGCAGTCCCCTGATAGGCAAGGACCGTTTCTCTTCAAGTACAATGTGGCGAATATTGGGCGTTCTATTATCTTTCTGTCTTTTACACTGGTTTTTGTTGAGCTTGATTTAAACTCTAGAATAGTTTGTTCTCTTGTTATATCTATTCTTTTGGAATTTCAGCCTTTCCATATATGTAAATCAGATCCGTCAAAGTGATTATTATATAGTACAAGAATAGTTGCCTTGGCCTCAGCGTATCTTTTTAGTAGTCTTGTTAGATGTTTAATTAGATATTCCTATTGTCAAGCTTCATAGTTAATACCTGACAGAGAACAAGCGCATACAATATTGAATTGTGCAACAACCTGTTGTATAGTTATGTTTATGGTGTTGGATACGTGCAAAGGGTCTTGGCAGTGACATCAGCTCCGATTCCTGCCTCCCTTCCCCAACTCCACACCACTTCACCACTTCACCATGGTCTACGCATTTATCCTCCCAACCACCTCACCTCTCTCATTTCAATCATTCATATCCTCCACCACTCACCCATCCCTGCCCCAATCAGCCTCAACAGCCCGCCATGCTCTCCGCTGCGCACTGAAAGCCCACAAGCGCTTACCCCGCGGCCCGCGCCAGGATGCCCACCTACCCACAGTTCTGTCCGTCCTGAATGAATACATCCCCTATGTATTCGCAATCTCAAATGGACTGAATGGTCGCTCTGTGCCAACTGATGCATATCCTTCTGCCTTCCAAGATGGCTATACGTCAGGAAGGACGAATCCCCGCACCGGCGAAATAGTCGACATCACGATCCACGCGGAGATAGAGTCGACATGGAGATATACGCTGTCGTCCTCAAACGGATTGAATTTCGGGTCCAGCGGAAATAATGCAAGCGGAAATGGTATCCGCACGCGGAATGGGCGAGTCTCTGGCCGAGGCATTCACTTCGAATTGGCGTTTACGCTCGCCACTCTGGGGTATGTATTGAGTAGGATGGCGCACGCAGGAGTCGTCGCTGCACTATACGCATCGACTACCCCGTCTGCAGATGTCCGTGGTTCTGCTGTGCAGATCGCAACCCGGTATCTACTACAGGCTAGCTCGGTACATAACTTTCTCGCGTCCTCGCCAATTTTCACCGCTGCTACTGTGTCTACGGTACCGGATCTCGAGGCTGCTACGCAGTCAGCTTTATCCTCTCTTGCCATGGCGGAAGCTACGTTACTCGCTGTTCTTAAAGATGATGCATATGTTGCGGCGTGTATCCAGTCCCGCAACCCCAATGATAAAGAGTGGATGGTTCATGCACCTTCCATTCCAAAAGTACGCGCTCTGCTATTTGCAAGACTCTGTGTTCGTGCCGCGGAGTACGCCGAACAAGCGGCTGCAGGTCTAGGTGCTGTTGGATCTACTTCTGGTCGTGCAGGCCGCGTGGATGAGGATTTGGTCCGCTATACAGGAGTTTTGGCTCGCGTTGCTCGGGCACGCGCGTGTCGATTCTTTGGTGTAGATTCTGAATTGTCAGGCAAAGTGGGTGAGGGTATTGCGTGGTTGCGAGCTGCACGCACTCCACTTGGGCTGCGTGGAGCAGGGTCTGCGCAGGAGGACGCTGATGCGTCAGGGGGGTCTGCAAAGGGTGGCCTGTCCCGTTTAAAGCGCGAGTGGACAGAGCGGCGTGAAGATCGTCGAGTCACTAAGGATGCTGGGGGTAGCCGCAGCGAAAAAGGTCCATTGGATGCGGGGGATGATGCTGGTCGAAACGAGGAAGGAAGAGTCCTTGCGATGCTTGAGACCAAATGGGTGAAAATGAATGACACAGTGAGTTTGAATACTCTATCCCCTCCATAATCCCGGCGGGTCTCAATATGCATGGTTTACTGATTCAATGCAGATGAACACACAGCCCATTCCACCCTCTGCACCATTGCTTTCTAACCTGCCTTCTGGTCGAGATATCCACTCCCCCCCAGCACCATACCAACCCCCTTCATTAGATGAGGACCAACTCATGCGGATGCGTGCTCCACCAGATGAGAGAGATGATGTTCTGTTTGGAGGTGATGACGACAGTGAAGACGATGCAGGACAGCCTGATGGCCGTGGCCCTCCGGGTACATTCCCGGACCGAAGTGCCACAGCCTCGAGCATTTATTATTGAATGATACCCAGATATAACCATATATGTAGAACATGGGATATGGTGATTTAGGCATTCAATTGCCTCCCGAAGGACAAGCACAAGGGCCCGGTAAAGTGACAAGGACCGATGGAACGTGGGTCACTACGGTCTCTCCGAACAGCACTGCAACATCGTATACAAAAAGAAATAGTGATCAAACAAAGTGATATTATGTACAGTACAAACGGACAAGAGCACAAAGAAGGTAATCCTCAGACCCTCTTCTGCCATCTTTTCGTCTCCCTCCGACACGGACCCGATCTGGGTGGCTATAAGACCAAATTTGGACAGAACTGAATCGAAACCACGGGGGTTCAGCCCAAGGGCGACCATTTCATCTCGACATCAAAATTGTCCATTCCCCGCGGTATCGACATCAACCATCAAACCGGATCCTCGAAACGCAATCGCATAGCTGAACACGCAAAAAAAGACGTAAACGCTTATGCCGACTCTCCACCAAAGCGGTTCTTCTCTTGTCCGAGGTAACCCTTAATCTTGCTGTCCTTAAGGAGCTCGAAGTACTTCTCTGCAGGGAATATAAAGGTCAGTACAACGCATCGCAATCAATCCACATAACCCTTCCTCCATCCATTCAAACCCAGTTCGTTGACGGGAAAAACACCCGCCAACCTTTCATCCCCAGATATGTAGCGTATAGACAGGAGAGAAAAACAAGGAAAACAACCCACCTCGGTAAACACCACACTTCTCGAGGTGGTTCACGCCCTCGCGCGCGTAGCACTTGCCCAATTCCTCGCCGACTAGACGCGCCATCATGCTGCGGACCCACTGCTCGCGGATAATGGCGTCGCGGGCGTTGTGGACTGCGACGTTGTCCTCGAAGTCGACGCCGTCGTAGGTTGGGGCGACGGTGGGCTTTTTTGGCGAGGAAGGCGGCGGACTCGGCGGTTGGCATTGTGGGTGGTTGGTTTGTGTGGTTTGGTGTGAGGTCAGGGTGAAGTGAGGTGCTTTGCTTGCTTGGGCGCAGGACAATGGCAGCAAGGGTTGGTGGGAGGGAGTCGGCTTTTGGAGGCTGCTTGATGCGGTCGTCTGGATCGTTGATCTTGAAGGTTGGATTACCTGCTTTGTGATTGGGTGGAATGAGGGCGGTCTGGAGTGGTTTGGTGCGGGAGACTGAGGAGACCTTTTATGCAGATCTGTATGGTCACGTGGATCTATACATACCGAAAACGGTAGGTCAGACAATGAGGTAGTTTTGATAAGTCGACATTATATTTTTATTTGATTCAGAGCGAGTCAAATATATTTCGCTGGAGAAGATGTCACTTGCAATAATATCATATTTTGACCATGGTTGTTCACACCAGCTACCGTACGCCTCTATCAAGACAAAGTGAAACCACTAAAGCACTATACATACAAAGCAGAATTTCAACAAAAAACGTCCCATAATGCGAGGAATAATCGCAACAATATAAAGATGCCGTAACAAGCATAATCGATGTAAAGAGCATAAAACAGTATGGATCAATCACCCCCATCCCTAACTCTTCCGGTCATTCGGTCGTATACATCAGCGACACCATCCCTGAATCGCTCCCAGCGAGACCGGCCAAGCCAATTGCTCAGCTCGCGGTAGTAGTATATTTCAGACCAGCAATCCCGACCAAACATACACCCAGCCATGTTGACGAGGAGATCGTGTGCGTTCTGTTGATAGTGAACGACTGGGTTATCTCCGTCGCCGCATGCGCCAGGTGGGAAGGCATTGATGCTGCGTTGTGGTAAAAAGCCAACACTGCTCCGAATCCATGGTTGACTCTGATAAATGTACTCCAGGGCATCCTGTTCTTTATGTTCCCATTCCATATGCATCTGCTCGTACATGACGGGATCCCACCAGATATCGAGCAGGCGGTCTGTCCAATCAGATCGGCGCACGAAGAAAGATCCCAGATTGAATCCGGCGCAGTCTTGTGTCAGAAGCATATTCAATGAATCTGCCTTGCCATCGCCTTCGAGGGAACGACCTAGCTCGTCGAGCCAGAACTCGGGTAGTGGGTGGGTCATGTTGAGAGGGTTATACGCGGTGATATCGCGGTAAACGTAGGACTGGAGGTTATTGAATAGATGGTGTTGGAGGGATGTGTCGTATTCCATAACCCATGTGTTCAAGTCTAGCCACCAGAACCACTCTGCGTCTGGATACTTGCGCATGGCTTCGCGGATCACATCGCCCTTCTCCCAGCTCTCACGCCATTCATGTGAATAGCGCTTCTTGGCCAGCAGATTAGCCAGCTCTAGCTCATAGCCCCACTTGTGTGCATATCTCTTCTTGTTCCATATGCTGTTGCGTTCAATGGCCCATTCACGTGCACCCTTCCATTCCATGACGCCGCCCTCCACGTTCGATCCGAGGATGATGACGAACTTGCTCCCGCCGCCTATGGGTGATCGTCGGTATGTTTGGATAATGCCTGGAATGTTGTTAGAATAACACGTGGAAAAGTCCTCGTAGTAGAAATCACTTACTCGTCCAGAAAAATAGATATCCAACCCACACCAACAACAATGCCAACAGCAGCCGGGACCGGCCCCGGCGCACTGGCATGCGTAAGCCACCTAGCAGACCATAGCCACTGCTTGAACGCTTCCATTCCCGACCAAAATCATCCTTATCGACGTATTCACGTGAGGAAAGCCTTCGAACGCTATGAAACCGAGTCGAGATCTTGTGTCGTTGGCGAGAGAAGAAGCCGCTATTGCGTGTTGAGAATGATGGATACCCGCGTACCTCGTCGCTTTTTGCCTTCGCTGCTGCCCACGAAATGCCACCTGCCGTACCTGGGGAGATTGAACCGGGTGATAGACCGTTGGGTGGTACAGTGCCACTAGCCGGAACAAGTCCCGGGTTGGACCACCCCCCCGCCCGGCCGGGGAGAGGGTGATCGCGATAATGTCATCGCGTCGATCTGCGCTAAACAGCAAATTGGCAGAGAGTGATTGTTGTGAAGTCTTTTCAGTATGTCGGAGGGAAAGTACGAGTGGAAGGGATGGATTTGATGTGAGGTCAGAGAGATGTAACGAGTGACGTGAAGTTAGGAAGAGAAGTAGTTAAGACACACCAAACATCATTACATACATGTAGGTAAACGTAGGACATTATGTGCCGGATTCGAAATGCGAAGGAACTTGAAGCCGAATGCGGTGCCAATACCACGGTCTTGGAGTAGGAGCGATTTGAGTTTCGATCCTTCCCTTGGTTAAATGGGAAATTGGATTTGGATGTCAAATTAGCCTCAATATAGTTAGTTACTTTAAAACTATTGGATTTATAAGACTACAGGTACATATTGTATAGTGGAAAATTAGTCCAGTTGACATTAAGTCCACCTATAAATAGTTACACTCAAAGTATAGACCGATTGGAGATCGGCTCCACTTATCTACATCTACTCAACCGCTTGCGGACAAAGACCATTGTGGACCGATAGCAATGTAGTTAATTCCCATCGGATCACACAATTACTATCAATCTACGTACAAAGCAGAAGGGCTAATAATACCAGATCTCAATCTAATCCCGATCCTTGCATTGAGGCTGAATGGGCATTCGGTTCGCCAGCCCGCCAGCCTTGGCCATAAGAGCCTGTCGCACCATGAACCCGGCTTCATGTCCGGGCCGAGGCTGGGCGCTGTCGCCCTGGGTGAAGTCGCACTGGAGCTTGAGGAACTTTGTTCGGTCTTTGTTTTGGTACACAGTGATGATGTCGCCCGTGTAGAGCTTCCCAAATTGTAAAGCCTCGGGACCATCCTCGGTCATAGAGCCACGGCGCAGCAATGTGTCGTTTACCCATATGCCAGAACGCGCTTTGGTGGAGAGAATAGCCATCACACCTGGAATTTCAAGCCAGCTTTCACCTGCTGCGATCCTCGCCTCGATTCCTGGAGTCCAGAATGTAACCTCTAGGGCATAGGCGGGAATCCTTGTGTCCATGCGGTCGGCATGCTTGACGGTGGCTAGTGGGCCTCGACCCCATGAGGTGAGTCTATCTTCAAGGTAGATTGTCAAGTCGAATATCGAACCGGGGAGACTCTTCAACCTTCCATATCGCTTTGGTGGTTTCGCGAACTTGGGATCTGACAGAGTGGAGGAAATAGGCGGGGAGTTGGGTCGATGAACAATCGGTTCTGACGGGTCTGATTCTTCCGCATTCATCTGGTCCAAGATAGCTTGGCCTGTCTGCGCATCAAGGGTGGTAGCAAACTCCGGGTCGTATTGTGATTTGGAGGGGAGGGAGGTGTCGTTGGGAGCAGGGTCGCGGCGGCTGCTGCGGGCGCTATTATCGCTAGATGCCTCGCTGGCTGTGTCGGGGATTGCAACCGCAAGGTCAATCCGACGCGTGAACTTTGCTTTTGGGGTTGGCTCCTGGGGACTCGAGACAGGTTGTTCCTGAGGACTCGAAGTCGGCGGCACAGAATCCCTGTTTAGTGTACTAGCTGGCATCCCGTCCTTGATGTGCCCAGGAGTGGTCTGCCGCAAGGAGGATTTGTTAACCGGGCCACCCTTGACTTGAAGAGCGGGGTTCAAAGAATTCATGTTGAGTTGCCCAACGAGCTTCTCAGCGCCCATCAAACTGGGCGCAGTGCCACCGAAGGGAACCACCGGGAGGGAAATAATCGACTCGTTGGGATTGTCGCTCATCATCGACTCACCGGAAGAGAGAAAGTCAACGTGAAAATTGTTTGCGTCGTATGCATCCATGTTGCCGAGTGCGTGGGAGCTTCGCAGCGCTGAGGCAGAAACTTCGCCAAACAAACGTTTGGCATGATTGTCCACCACTGCTTGCCCATCTTGGAAGCTCTCAATATTTGGAAGGCTGGGATAGCGAACATCGGTGGGGATGTACTCAATCCGAGGCCGTTTGGAGATTTCTTCACTGCTGCTACCTTCTTCACCCTCGGCTTCATGTATGTACCCCGGACCCTCAGCGAGAGACAATTGTGAAGCGTCTAGCTCGTCCTCGGCATCCTCGCCAATGATTGAAAGCTCACGTTGATGGTCATACAGCAAGTCGTCATCATCCTCATACTCATCTACATCAGGGACCTCCGCAATCCAAGGGTGCTGGAAACATTCCTTCTCTGTCGGACGAGAGAAAGGGTCCCGGTTGAGAAGCTGGGCGACAAAGTCAATGCCAGATTCAGACACGCCTACTTTGCGCAAGGCATCAAAATCAGCATCACTTGTCATAATAGTACGAAGCATTTGGACACCTCGATCTTCTGCACGCCCTGAGTATGGCGGAACGCCACACAGGATATGGAAAAGAACTGCCCCTAACGACCACATGTCAACGGATTGGCTGTACGGAGATGTTTTAGGCGGTCTTCAAATATCAGCAGAAGCTTCCCAAGAGAAAAAGAAATCAGTGACTTACTGCTCTCCAACGCGACGCCTCTTTCGGAGCTCGCCACGGCGGTATTGATCATAGTCCGGGTACACCTCAGGCGCACAGTAGAGAAGCGTTCCACAAAAAGTCTTCAAAAAGGTTTCCTGCTCCACCACTTTCGACAACCCAAAGTCGGATAATTTGATTCTGAGAGGATCCAACGAGGCAATCAGGATGTTGTCCGGTTTGATATCCCGATGGGTGATGCGGCGTTTATGCAAATAGTGAAGTGCTCGTAACGTTTGTCGTGCGATCGTTCTCACCATCTCCTCCGCGATTCTTCCCTGGGTTTGCAGATATGTCGACAACTCGCCGCCTGGCACATACTCCATGATTATATAGATCCATCGATCATGCTCGTGGTGATTGATGTATTGAACGATATTCGGCTACAACGGGTTAGTTATCACATTACAAGGCAAACTCAGGAACATCGCTTACATGTGTGAGATCTCTCATGATTTTCATCTCATTATCGACCTTTTGATCAAGGATACCATTTTTCATAAAGCGGCGCTTGTCGAGTTCCTTTGCTGCATAGATGGCGCCATGTTGCTTGGTTGCAATCTTGTACACAGTAGCGAATGCACCCTTTCCAATCTGTCCAGTCACGTTGTACTCGGCACCACCAGTCCAATGCATGCCATATGCGTTGGCGGATGACCATGCCAAGGCCGACGGGCCTGGGCCCTGTCGTTCTTTATGCGTCGGGGCATGAGCATGGACTCTTTCGAAATAACGAAACAAGTTCTGGTGATATTGGACAGCGAATCCTTCTCGTGACGGAATTCGAACCACAAAGCGGACCTCATCGGAGGTTTGTGATCCGGTAATGACTTGAATGACGGATCCATTTGTGAGCATTCGACTGTTGCCATCCTTCTGGGATTTCCGCAGGCGGCAATTATCCACAATGGTACCATTTGTCGACGTATCCTGGAGCATAAGAATGCCGTCCTCGGTTAGAAATATGCGAAAGTGAGTGTTCGACACACGTTTAGCATCGTCATCAACACTCAGAAGAACATCGCAGCGAGAGCGATTGCGACCGAAGCAGAAACCAAGTCCCAGGTTGTGAACTTTCGACGACAGCCTCAATGCCAAATCTAAGGCTGCTGTGTGGGAGGATTCATGCTCCAGTACGTCCCTTTGGAGTATATGCTGAGCACATATTCCTCCAGTAGCACCAACAGCATCATGGGCAGCATGCGAATTTGGATGGAGGATACAGATGATGTCGGCCAAGTCTGAATCTTGGATGCCAGAGTTATTCATTCCCATTCGGCGAGGATCAGCACATGGCTGGGTGGATTCCTGAGTGGCTTCCATTATGAGGACGAATGCAGGTGCAAATGAAGGTGCTAGGAGAATGAGTAGAGAAATGAACTACAGGTACAGATCCGATGGGGTAGGGTATATGTGCTGCAAAGCTAGCAAAGGAAATGTGCATAAAAAGGTCATTAAAGTCGTAGACTGGGGATATAATAAGTCAGTAATGTTGGACCAAGAAGTAATGGTAAGGGGGACTTTATATATACCTCGAGGGGAATGGGTACTGGGACCAAGGAACCGCACACCCGGGCAAAAGTTGGGCAAGATAATGATATGTATGGTTTAGGACCAATGACACATTAACCAGTGTATGTGTCGGATGGTCAAAGGATTGGTCACAAATGTTTGCCTCAGTTATTGCAAGGAGCGGAATAAGCAATGAGTGACCGATAAGTGAACTGTGTGCCTTGCAGAGTGGGGTGTCCCTCCTCGACTCTCCTCAAAGCCAGTATTGGTAAACAGAGATGATGATGCTGCCCATGTAATTCGCAGTGAGTCTATGCAGCCCTTGTCCCCAAGCCATAGGAATACAGAGCTCGATCCTGGTGATAAAGATGTCTACCGGTGGAGGGATACCGGACTGTCAAGATGGTGTTCAATGAGATGCTACCCAATGGTGTTTCCGGATTAACAATGCTCGAATTAAGGAGGGGGCTGTATTCTGCAATTTCGAGTGGGCCAGGAGGTATGTCTGTGAAATTCCGTTCCAACAAATTAGCAAACGTCGTTTGGAAGCTTGAAGAGACCTTTGTTTATCATCGACTCGAGGTCGAGGATGAACTCACACAGCTTGAAAGATTGCCTATCGACCTGTCCACAGCTAGTAAAAATTGAGAGAGTAGACAGATAAAAATGGGGACGCCTGGGCGCAAAGTCGCACTCCTGGAAGGTCGTCGTCCGAGGAACAAGACCAGGAACGAGCCGCGACTCGGTACCTGAGGCAACGACGCGTTCCTAAGGCGCGTAAACTCCTTACTCATCAGGCAGCAGGCACGTTGATTGGCCAAGCGGGATATGGCGGGGGGAACCATCTATGGACGGAATCTCCTCGAGTTCGATCTATGAGAGAAAAGGAAAAATACATACGTACATCTATCTCTACCTAACTAGTGAAGCAAGGCTTTCATATATGTACATATGGAGGTAACACTATATCCAGTTATTGTTTCCTTCAACTACTTACTCCCGTATGGCTTGCTAACATCTTCACTCCGTTTGAAATCACCCTTGAGTGCAGTATCGAACACTTGTTCCAGTCGTGCGAGCGCTTCATCCGATACCTCTGTGACAGGTCAGGTTTTGATTCATGCATTCCCGGCCCCAAGGCAGATTAAGGGAGCACTTACGGTAATGGACCACCACGCGGCCACCCATCAATCTCAGCCCTTTTTGCTGTCCAATCTCTGCCAGGTCATTTGGACCCACTCCTGATGCCTCGAGATCCAACCAAACCATGTTGGTGTGCAGGGGGTACTCCAGCTTCCCACTGCGACTGGTCCACAGATCGGCTACGTGCTTCGCCTTTTTATGTGTTGCTGCAAGCTTTCCGGTCTGGCCTTTGGGGTCTGTGCCAAAAGTTTCAGTAAGTGCAACCCGGGCCGCAGCTGCAATCACGCCCGTCTGTCGAGCACCGCCACCGATAGATTTGCGGAACCAGCGCGCTTTCTTGATAAACTCTTGGGAGCCCACAATGATACTTCCAATGGGTGCCCCTAGCCCCTTGGAAAAGCAAAGACTAACGCTATCAAACAGGCTTGTATATTCAGGTAAGCTCCCAGCCCCGGACACGACGGCCTCCCAGAGCCGGGCACCGTCCAAGTGAACCTTGATGTCATTAGCATGAGCCCATTCCACAATGCGCTTCGCCTCGGCGAGCGGCATAATCATCCCATCCAGGGTATTCTCCAAACTGATCAATTTGGTCGGACAATAATGAATATTATCACCAAGCACTGCATGCTTTTTGACATCTTCCAAGGTCAAATGCACCCCGTTTTTGGGAATAACAGGGCTCACAGTGGCACCAGTCCAGGCGCTCACACCACCAGCTTCATAACAAATGATATGTGATCTATGGTCGCATAACACTGAGTGAGGTGGCTGCGCGAGATGCGAGCGAATGGCCACCTGGTTTCCCATTGTCCCGGAAAGGACCAACAGACTATCCTCATGTTTGGTAATCTCGGCAACATATCTTTGCAGCTCGTTGGTGACTGGATCCTCCTCGAACACATCATCCAGAAGAGTTGTTTGGCAGATCGCTTCGAGCATCGACGGTGTAGGCTTCGTCATTGTATCGCCTGACTCAAATCAGCTTCAATTCCGTCTTTGGCATTCCCGGCTGAGTCATACTTCGCAGGTCGAACTCCGCAGCTCCAGCCCCGTGCCAGCCTGTGGGCTTCTTGTCAGTGGTGCCAATGACTGCCGAGGCACGACCCAGGGCAGCATCAGTAGAGAGTTGTGCCATCGCGACCGGAAGGATGATCTTTCGTCCGCGTGGGGCTATTATTTGAAATGCCGAGGAAGACCGACAGAACGGGTGCAACAAGCGATTCATGGATGAGCTTTGCGACAGCAAGCGCAAATGACTCGAGGGAATTGTGAAAAGAGGGGAGCCGACACGTGATCCGGGGACAGAATGGATGCTACATTGTGGAACCGGGCAGTATAGATATCGTCGATATGCAGCGGATTACATTGGTGATCGGGGGATAAGCAGACAATTTATCCCAGTCCAGGTTCACAACCAAAAAGTCGTCTTTCCCCTATCAGAAGTGTATAAACTGTAACTCGAGGCTACCGCGGCTATGACGCCACTGCAAGTAGTCCTTATCGATAACCAAATTAGGACTAGTGCGTCCAACGGACGGCCTCGACCGCTGAGTCAGCTTTGGCTGGCCGCGGGCGGGCAATGTGCTTCAGTGGTTCAAGCCCGCACAATCTTACGGACTCTCTAACTCCTCACCCTCATACTGGTCGCGCAAAGATGGATCTATCCCATCTCACACGGCCTGGCATTTTGTGTCAGTGTGCTCGGTGCTCCAGCTCGCTGGCTGCACTAGAGAATGGGTGGGCCAAACTATCTAATGCTTACTCAATCCCAACGGCGTGGCTCAGTGTCGACCTCCATCGCATCGCCGTTTCTTCAGAGCGGAAGCAAATCCCTCAGACATCGGACATGACCCTATTACGTGGCCGTGTCATCCAAGAAGTGTCATGTAAACTCTGTCAGCAACGGATGGGGGTACTTTGTCCACTTGACAACGGGTAAGTGGCTGTGGACCAACACTGCCGCTTCTCACTTGCTAATCTGTTCTTAGGATGAATATTCTGTGGAAAATGTCGAAAGTCGCTTTTAGGGAGATTGTTACCATGCGAACGGTGGAGCCGGTCTTCAACCAGGGGGCCCTTGAACGACTAATTTGTCCCCCAAAAGAACCTCCGCGCCGAAACCCCGACCTCGTCCAAGGCAGCGCACTAGTGCCAGCTGGCTGCACAGACCCCAGCACCCTCGATCCCTCTATGCAAAAGCAAATGCTTCACCAGGGTAGAAGCATTGATCAGATCTCCAACTCAGTGTACCATCTCCAAGACACAATGTCAGATCTCAAACATTCATTTACAGCACTTCGGATTGAGTTGAATGGACCCGGCCGAAATCTGGGCGAAGGCTCCATACTGCAGGGACAGGACTTTGACATGATTGCTATGGTGCTGAAGGAGCTAAAGTCCAAGTCTGACGAGATCGAAAAATTGAAGTTGGAGATTGAAGCGCTGAAACTGAAGAATCGCTACATGGGAGTAACCATCCCACAGCAGCAAGAGTCATTGTCGGTAATGAACATGAACGCTGCGCTTCCCGAAGTTCGGAGCCCCGGCTTGCTTCAAGCGGGCCGGAAACGTAACTGGCCTGACGCATTCCCGAGCGATCGCAGTCAGGCAGTCGCGGACTCGTTCGACGAAGACGATATGGTGGACGAAATGTCGCTATCAGATCCGCCGAGGTATAGCTCTCGCGTTCCTCTCAATGACGAACGTCAAGCTGCAATTACCAAGGAGCCCCCCGGCACAAGAGGAACCGAGGTCCCTAGAGGTGCACATGCCTCCTCGAGAGCCCCAAAATACCTCTAACTCCCTTCAATGCCAATCCTATACACTACAGCAAACTATAGCCAAACGCCCACGTCTGAGTGCCCCGGTTGAAGATAGCCCTCAAACAGCTCCCCCAGAGCCCCAAGCTGTTCCTCAGAAAAGACAGCCTGGCAGGCCAAGGAAATCGATCAGCCAACCCACCATTCCCGCTTCCACCGAATCACCAAGTACAGCTCCTTCTAGCACGCAGGAAGATGTCGAATCAAACGGCCAGCAAAACACAGTGCGACGTCGCACGTCTCGTCGTAGCTTGCGTGCACAATCCCTTGGTCCAAATATCAACCATGGACTTGCGCAGGAGGACCAGCAGAAGTCACAAGAATTGATCAAGCCCCCTCCTGAGGCTCAAACAGCACCCAACAAAAAGACAAAGCGTAATACTGGCTCCCCCAATGGGAAACGAACTGGTGGTCCAGAAGATGATGGAGATGAGGCCGCTATGAATGAGAAGCGGAAAGCTAAGGTCGCGGCGCGGGACGTCATGGCCAAGATGGCTTTACAGCACGAGGAGGCCTTGGAGGCCGAGAATACACGATAAATTGTCGGCGAATATCATTCACATACTTGTACACTAGAGAAAAAACAAGACACAACTGTATTATGGCCAAAACTCCAACCGAAAACGATTGGTAGCTGCGGGTAGTTCCTCGTCAATCCCCTCGATTCCTTGTTATACATCGAAAGGTGTTTTGTGTGGTTTATGAAAAACATGTCGGTGTGCTCGTATATTGACGTCCCTGATATCATTTCGGCGCAAATAGATTAGCTACCTCAGGGACACTAGCCACATACATATTCCGCCGATTGCCCTAGTTTATACATATATGTATAGAATAGAGATCGTAAAAAATCTAGCTAGCTCAATTCTTTTTCTGTTCTCATTGAAAAAGCAACTCGCGATTAATTGATGAATAGCTGAACAACCAGCGGTGAAATGCCCGACGGTTGGTTTCATCATCTTGCATCTACAACTCGCAGTGGAGTTTCACCTAGTCTATCAAGCTCGGTCACGGTGGCTTATATAGTGCGGAGGGCTGTATTTCCCCCTTCTCAAATGGTGAGCATTGAATAGTCGTGCCAGAAATCATGTCTATATATATATAGGCTGTTTCCCATCCATGGATAGTTCAAGGACGATTGGTATTGCTGTACCATACTGCAGTCTTAAGTTCACTCCCTGTGAGTTTATGTCCTCCACCGACCTTTGGATACTAATCCCACAATTCAGAAGTTACCCAGTAATTCAGTATGCTCGTCTACTCCGGCATAACATCAAATGCGGAAGAGGCATACTCCATTTTTGGTACTTCCCAGGGCCATCTACAATATTATCGCCATAAAGATAATATCGATGTATTTGTAATCACAGATATCGGTAGAGTAATTGGAAATTGGATTCCTAAGCTATATGCCAATATATCCTAACGCACTATCATGTCTCATTAATTATCATTATTTTCACTCTGCAATGTCCCCAAAGACTGAGAGTTACTAGCGAGTAGAGATGAAGTCCTGCGAATCGGACTGTTGTTGGCTGAATGACTGAGGGAATGCCGCGATCCCACCAATGATGCCAATGGCCATGAAGGCAAGAGAGATGAGAGACCAGATGACTCCCCAGCACTGGGAAGATCCACCGTATCTCTTCGCAAAGACGCTGGCATCGGAGCTGTTTACTTTGCGAAGGATGAGATCGTCACACTGGAGCACAGGTTATTAACAACATAAATCAACAGTGTGGTAACTAGTACTTACAATATCCCAAACACTGTACAAAGCAGACATGACACCAATAAACAGCTGTAGAGAAAATTAGATCAGTAAAAGTTGACGATGAGGTGAATTAAATCATCAGACATACCACGACCCAGCGCAAGGCTTCACCGTGGGCAATGAACCAGCATGCCACCAACAACCCGACTGCAAGGAGAACAGTCATGATGGTCAGCCAGTCTCTCCGCGCCCACCAAAGGGTGAGCAGAAAGCAGACACCAAGGATGATACTGGCAACCTTGCTGGCAACGATATTAAAGCCAGCAAAGATCAATAGAGCGCCGATAATCGACGATCCCAGGTACCCAGCAGGCAGAGTAATAGCACTCATACCGCCCTGCATGACAGTAACACCACCTTCATGTGGATCCAGCGATATGGACTTGACTTTTCCGCCGGTACAGCAAGCCGTAATCGCATGACCGAATTCATGGAACGCAATCACTAACATCTGTCAAGGGGTTAATCGCAGTCTGTCAATATAGGGCTGGAAGTATTTACCTTGAAGGGCCATAGTACCCACCGGACATATGGTAGATTCCATAATAGCGCGATGACCACAACATATGCTGCCATCACCCCTAAGGTGACGCCTTGGGTGTGGTTGACGCTCAAGCCACGCCGGGCCAGTTGGTGCGGGGCCGTTTCCACCGCGCTTTGGGCTAGCGCTGCATATAGGGCTGGCATGGTGTGCGATAAACAAGGTCGGAAAATCGGGAAATGGAAAAATGCAAACGTGCGAAATGACGGAGAAAGTGCAAGTGGAGTTTATTTAAACTCTTAGAGAGATCATCCACGCGTCCCTATAGGGACGCGCATGCCACTTGTTATTTTTCGTGGCGCAGGTGGCTGATCTGCCGTGGCTATTTTTAGTGGCTTGGCCCGCTTGGCCTTTTAGGCTGAAGGGTTTCACTCTCTTTCATACCACCGTCTATCAAAACATTGAAAATCGTATTATTGACAGATAATTGCAGAACTTCAGGATTCAATATGATATATGTTTCTTATAAGAGATATCATCATCTGAAAAACTTATGCGCGGGTTACACATGCCAGCTGTCTTGGATTGTAGGTGAAGGATTATATATATAAGCTCCATTTCATACATTAAGTTAACAAACACACTTTGGAACTTCAACTGCTCTTTATCGTTTCACTCACCATTCAATTTCAACAACTCGTGCAACTCAGTCTTGCATCGAATAAGAGATTGAATGAGTTCCCTGGGAAGTACAAGATTAAAATGGTGGTTTACGATGTTAAGTCTTCAACAGCAGTCACATGCCGCCTGGACCGACTTCGAGAGGAATTATGCGAGCGTCGAGTTGCAGAGAAAAGATGCGAAAAGCTTAACGAGACTTCAGATGCTCTGTAATGCCCTTCCGAATCGCAATCCCAACGAAGTGCAATCTACCCAATTTAGGCATTGGAGTTTGTACCACATATCCGAAGTCTCTACGCGACCATTCCCATTGTAGTGGTTGCTGGGGTGATACACTTGCTGGCGATTTCCTACTTTGTCGCCCTGCAATCTTCGGACAACCAATTCACCGACAGAGCGATTACTGATACTGGTGATAGGTTGTTCAGCACAATGCACATGGATTGATAAGGTTGCTCTCTACGGCAAGTGCTGTGTCTGTCGTTGTTCACAGATGAAAACGATGCTTTAATCATTGTCAATATTTCAAAATTTTCAAATCAGAGGGTTGTTTACTACCTTTAAAAATTCCTGTCTTCTTTGATTCTGATTTTGTAACTCAGGGCCTGAGTCACGGAGTGACTGGCAAGACCCATTTTAAAATAAAATGAACATAGTAGATCTCTCTAAAGATGGTAAGTAGTAGTTTCGAAAGCCTCCAATGAAACAGGAATGTTGCTACTACTTGCCAGTACTACCAAACCCCGCATTTCGGGGATTGGGATCAACCTTGGAACTTCCATTGTGAGGTAGAAAAGTCAATTTGATCTACAAAGTAAGATCTGGGTAATGCGGGGAGAGCCTGTCTCCTACCAACGCTCCTCCATCACCATGCTCTGCGTGCTCCCAGTTCTCCTAGCAGGACTTGTAACTGGTACATGCTCCCAGCTAACTACAGAGTCGAACACAGACACAACCTACCACCAAAATGCCGGTGTTCTCAAATTTGTTAACCCCCTCATCGGTACCTATGGAACAACACCAAATGGCAATGGCGGCATGATCCCATCGGTCAGCCCTCCCTTCGGGATGACCCGATGGACACCGCAGACCCGCGAGAACTTCATCTCGCAAGTACCCTACGGTGACAGCGACCGTCTCATCCATGGATTCCAGGCCACGCACCAACCAGCTATTTGGATGGGCGAGGCCGGCCAGGTTGTACTGATACCGGGAATCGGCGAAGTGCAGCCTCTATTTCAGAACCGAGGACTGCGGTTCAGGAAGAAGGATGAGAGGAGTACGCCATATGTTTATGAGGTCCTTGTTGATGCTGCTCAGCTCTTGAACCGTGACTGGAATGCCACGGCTGAGGCTGTAGGCGATGGGCCTGTTCCCGGGGGTGCGGGCTCCGTGCCGGATGAGGTGAAGGAGGGTGCCAGTGGACGGACGCGAAAACGGCGGATTGAGCCTATGCCTCGTAGTACAGATGGTGATGACAATAAGAGATCAATTCAGGTATCTGGTCGCTTTTCATAATCATCCTGAATTATTTCTGATGGATTTCAGGTTGCCATGTCCGCAGATTCCCACGTGGGCCATTTTCGATTTGACTTCAAACACAGCTCTACCAATTTCGGCGGCGAAGAACAGCCATGGGTATTTATTCAAGCTTCGCGTCGGAACTGGACAGGCCAAGTCCATGTGGATGCGAACAGTCGGGAGGTCTACGGCTATAACACTGAGCGTCAGGATTACCTCCTCGGACCGGACAAAGCACCGTCGTTCAAAGGGTATTTCGTATCCCGCTTTTCTGAGCCGTTTACTGAATTTGGTGTGGCAAATGGAGACTCAGTTATAAAGGATGAGATCCACCGACACGGGAATTTCACTGGTGCATATGTGAAATTTGCCAACTCGACATCCCGCGTCGAAGTGCGGACTGGTGTTTCGTACATCAGCGTCGCACAGGCACGAAAGAACCTTGAGATCCAGGCTCCAGATGAGCGCACCTTCGAGGATACTGTTGAAAAGGTGAAGTCAGCCTGGCTTGAGAAGTTGGGCAGGGTATCCATCAAGGGCATCAACAAGACTCGTCCAGATAACGACCCGCGCACTATTTGGTATACTGGCTTGTTCCATGCACTCCAGTATCCAAGTGACTTTTCTGAGCCAACGTCAAAGCGGGATGGTGCACCGCGTATTTTCTACTCGGGCTATACCGATAGTGTCCACACCGAGAACGACTCATATTACCAGTCTTGGTCAATTTGGGATACATACAGAGCCGAGCACTCTCTCTTAACTCTATTCGCACCAGAGCGTGTGAACAGCATGATGCGATCCTTGCTACGTATCTTCGATTGGTCTGGTTGGTTGCCAATGTGGGCCAACCTGGTCGAGACAAATATTATGATCGCGACGAATGCAGATGTGGTCCTTGCCAACGCTCTAGAGCGAGGCTTCAGGGGCTTTGATATTGGCAAGGCTTGGCAAGCAGTCAAAAAGGATGCTTACACCCCGCCTGATCAAGATACCGATACCCTGTACTATGACCGTGAGCCCGGTACTTCATATGAGGCCCGTGCTGGACTCACATCATACATGAAGCAGGGGTGGGTGTCTAACGACGGATGGTCCGAGGCCGGTAGCCGCACATTGGACTACGCATTCAATGACTATGCCTGCTCGGTTGTTGCTGCCCATGCGGGAGAGAGCAACGCCACTGTGCAAGCGCTCCAGAAGCGAAGCGGGAATTACGCGTATCTTTGGAGGAACGAGACTCAGTTTATGCAAGCTCGTAACGCGAACGGGACATGGGCTAATAACACTTTTGGATGGACCGAAGGCGATGACTGGGTCTACACCTTTAATGTGATGCATGATTTGAAAGGACTGGCTGACCTTTTTGGTGGTCGTGAAGCCTTCCGCAATAAGTTGGATTCTCATTTCCAGGGCGGTCATAATGACCATACCAACGAACCAAGTCACCATGTACCCTATATATATTCTGCTCTTGGTTATCCCAATCAAGCAGCCGAGATAATCAGGAACATTGCTTGGGAGAACTACAATGCGACCAGTGGAGGGTTGGGCGGAAATGAAGACTTAGGACAGATGAGTGCTTGGTACGTCTTCTCCGCATTGGGATTCTACCCCGTCAACCCTGCAAGTGACGAGTATGTTGTCGGGACACCGTTCTTTGAGGAAGTGTCCATCCGTATTTCTAACGAAGCGAAAACTGGTGGAGCTGTCGCCAATGGTAGAGAGAGGAGGCTTGAAATTCGCGCTCCGGGGGCATCCACGAAACCATACATTGTTGGTATCAAGGTGGATGGGAAACCTGTCAACGCCCCTATTTTGAAGCACAATCAGATTGTACATGCGGCAAGAATCGAGTTCGAAATGAGTGCTACACCCACTTCCTGGGGAAGTCGCCCCTTATGGGAAACTTGATACTTGGAGCGCGTCCAAATACACCAGAGAGATCAAGACTTGAGATAGAACTGGATGTAGCGATCACCGGTTTTGACAATTGAAAAGTCGCTTCGTATTCCAATTGTTATGGGGTTAGAATCTGTTGGTCGAGTACTTTTTTCCAATGTCCATTTCCCGCGTTCATCCATCGACTTCCTGCTTCGTTGGGATTCATTAGTCGCCACACATTTCTAGCTAGTTTGATCCTGCAGCATACCCATGTCGATATTGCATCTTATTCAAATGTATAATTGGATCCGAGGACCATCTTTGGAACCCCTCATGTATTTTGTATCACCTCATTCTCATGATCTGTTGCAAACTATTGCGCCATAGTACATGCCGTCTTGCAACTGAACACATAATTCCTTGGCCATTGATAAAGTTCTACCCCATCGACTTTCTAACTGGTTGCAAATTTATTCCTCGGCTTTCCCATTGCAACCTAGCGATAGCATTTAACTATATCCGCTGGAAGCTACCATGCATGATACCCAACCAGGATTAGAGCGTGCATCAGGGCAATACTAACCGAAGCTGGAATTTAACATAAACGCCACAAGGGCTAAAATCCCTGCCGGTCATTCCATCCCGTCTTATCATGTTACTATAGGTTCTGGGCAGATGAGGCCTGCCGCTCCCTTGGCCGCGCCCCAGTTATTCCAGGGGACCCAAGTTGAACAAGAGTATATGTACATACCATGTCTCGCTATGTGTTTCAGGAAGATCCCAGTTCTTCTCAACTTTCCTCCTACCTTTCAAACATGGGTATTCCCTCTCCCGTACGGGAAGACACAGAGCAGCTCCCTCAATATGATAGCAGAGATAATGATGGTTTGAAATTTACCACCGAAACCGGTGGAAACACCTCCAAGGCCACATACCAGGAGGCATCGGGAGCTCCCGTCGAGGTTAATTCCCCGCTGGGGTATTCGGTCGGTTGGGTTACTGTGGTGTTCTTGAATTTGAGTAAGATGATTGGAACGGGAGTGTTTTCAACACGTACGTACACCTCAACACTCTTCGGATTGTTTGACGATATCCTTACATACAATAGCATCGACGGTCCTCAAGGGTGCCGGCTCTGTTGGTCTCACATTGTTCTATTGGGTGATTGGATATTTGATGGCGTCGAGCTCTCTATCGGTCTACATGGAATTCGCATCGTCTTTCCCCAGTCGGTCTGGTTCGGAGGTTGTCTACTTGGAACAGTCGTATCCCCGACCCAAATACTTCTTCCCCACTGTCTTTGCAATGCAGACGGTGCTTTTCTCGTTTAGTAGCAGTAATGCTGTTGGTATGATTCCATTTCTGGGGTATGGCGAAGCAACGAGTACTGACATTATCTAGTACTGGCCCAGTATCTCTTCAAACTTGCGGATTCGGAGGCGACTCCGTGGAAGTTGAAGGGGGTCGCCGTAGCTTGCTATAGTGTCGCGGTACTGGGTGAGTGATAATCCTTGCTCTTGGTGTGATACGCTCTAATGATCTCCCCACAGTTCTTGCGTTTCACACCAGATGGTCTTTGAGATTGGCAAATGCCATCGGGTTGGTCAAGTTATTGACCTTGATATTGTACGTGTTTACCCGCAATATACCTGCAAGACAGATATATTTAACTGGCAGAGCTGACCAAATTTAGCATCGGTGTAACTGGTTTGGTGGTTCTCGGAGGTCATACCTCAGTGAAAGACCCCAAGGCAAATTTTAGGAATGCCTTTGAAGGTACTACCGGCGCCACAGCCTACGGAGCAACCAATGCATTGACCAAGGTTTGGTTCTCCTTTTCGGGCTATGAGAATGCTTTCAATGTTGTCAATGAAGTCCGGGTATGCCTTTCACATTACAATTTGACGACCATTCTTTTCTAACTTGAATTAGAATCCTACCAAAACCTTGAAGTGGAGTGCTCCGCTCTCATTGGGAGTGACGGCAGTCCTATATGTGTTGGCCAACATTGCCTATTATAGCGCTGCGACCAAAGAGGAGATTCTAAACTCGAAAGTCGTTGCCGCTGGTGTTTTTTTCGAGAAGGTATTTGGAACTGGTGGTGCCTCTAAGGCGTTGAATTTCCTTATCTGCATTAGTGCTTTTGGAAATCTCCTTGCCGTGCTTATTGGACAGTCCCGTATGCTCAGGGAGTGTGGAAGGTCAGTGATGAAACAGTGTGTATATTTTGGAAGTGACCTTAACCCGTTATTCGGAGATAGACAAGGTGTTTTGCCTTTCACTTCATTTTGGACTTCCACGAGACCGTTTGGAACACCGCTCGGTCCGTACTTTGTGAAATGGAGCTTAACGGTGATCATGATCCTGGGGCCACCCGCTGGTGATGCATTCAGTTTCGGTACGTCCCGGTCTTCTTGCTAACCTGCTGTTTGATGACTGCGGGAACTAAAAAAGCCGTGTGCTAATTTTGGGAAATAGTTGTGGACCTCGGAGTTTACTCATCGAGCTTCTTCGGCTCAATACTCACAATTGGCCTGGTGGTCACTCGAATTCGTCGGGCACGCCTCAATCTCCCGCCACCGGACTACCAAGCCTGGCATGTTACAGTGGCATTTGCAATTCTCTCTAACCTGTACATGGTCGTGATGCCATGGTATCCGCCCAGTACTGGGGCCAATGGAGGCGATGTGAGCTTCTGGTATGCAACATATTGCGCGGTTGCTCTTGGAATGTAAGTTGTTCCTGTCCTTGCTCATAGTTGGTATATATCGCTGACTTGACCGATCAATACAGTATCGGCGTGTGTGGAGTTTACTATTATGTCTGGATTAAGCTTCTTCCTAGAATTCAAGGATTCAAATGGGAACAAACTGTTCTCAAATTGGATGATGGTGCCCTGGCACACCGGCTTGTCAGGGTCCCGAAGAGGAATGCCTGAGAAATATACGGAGTAACCAGGTGACCACAACAAGTGGCGCATATCATTAACATGTTAGCCAAATACTCCGTACATTCATATTATCACTGTTCCAAGGCGATGTCACCATATCTATGTATCATTTTAGCGTTAAAGACGTGATCTCAGCAAGCCCGTGTGGAGTCCGCCTGTATCCAGGCCAAGGGGTCGGAAACTAATTATTACTAATAATGCTCTCTGAAGATGCCTAAAGATGCCTGATTATATACCGCGTTTGGCACCACTCTTACAGTGTAGTGTAATGTATTGTAACTGAAGCTCTCAAATGGAAGCCTCCCGGGTAATCGAAACCCCGACCATACATATCGCGGGATACACTTTACCGGTCCGCCCCACTTCCCCGGGGCCGACCCGGTCCCTTTCCAGCCACATTAGGGACCTCGGCAGCAAATATCTACACCTCAATCTACAGGTGGAAGGGTATCTGTATTCGCCTGATCTATCAAGGAACTGACGTCAATCCAATCCCCGTATGTTATCATAGTAAGCCCCGTTGTAAGCCCCGTTGCCGATGGGACGCTACGCGATTAGCCGACGGGTGGTCGGCTGTGGGGCCTATTTCTCCGTGAGCTTTTGGTATCGCCAACTCAGGTTATAAAATTGGCTGATCACTTCTAGAGATGATATGGCACCGTATTGATTGGCTCAAAGCTACAGACTGCTGGCCAATAACACTTGGAACGAATATACCAAGTGGGACAGACATCTCCTAGGATGTCATTCAAGGACTCTGCAGACTCTACTATTATGGAGACCGCAAGGTTTTATAAGCTGGACCATCGCCACATGGACCCTGCTTGACTCCCACCATATTCTCATTCTAACATGCGTCCTCCTAATCTTTGGCTTTGGGGCACTCTCGCAGCTCCGTGTGTGGCGGTCCATGCTGCATGGCACCTAGGAAACGGCTTCGAACTCACGGTTAATGACAACCGTCTCTCCATTGCCCAACATGGCCGGTCAATCTGGGGGACCGTGCCAGGCCAGCCATTTGTCAGTGCCAGCGCGGGAGATGACGAGGTGATCGGCTCCAACGGTAACTTCAAGATTAATGAAGTCGACCAAAACAAGTGTACCGGTCAGAATATTAGTGATGTTGCCCTTCGGTCATGGCAAGGAAGTTCAAACGACAACGCTGCGGTAATTCAGGGTCAACTCACCGGATGTGGTGATGCCACTCCTCATTTCTCTGTCGCCTTCTGGGTTCCGTCGCAGTTCCCCAATCGCATTGCCTTTAGCGTCAACGTAGACCCTGGAAGGTCGGCTGATGCCGCAACGAAACTGTTCATGACATACCGTTCTTCACCGTCGGAAGACTTCTACGGACTTGGAGCGCAGGGATCCTTCGCCTCTTTCAAAAACCTGACTGTCCCCATATTCTCGCGCGAGCAAGGTGTGGGTCGCGGTGACCAGCCCACAACTCGTCTTGAAAGCAAGGACAGCTTCTTCGCCGGTGGAGACCATTTCACAACGTACACTGCTATCCCGCAGTATATCAGCTCCAAATCTCGGGTGTTCCACCTGGCACAGGAGAGCTCTGCGTACACCAGCTTCAATTTCAGCGATCCTAATGCCGTTACTGTGCGATATGATGGCCTGGCCGTGGACGGCTACTTCATGCAAGCCGAAAACATGCTCGACGGTATTTCCATGCTCACAGATTATACCGGCAAGATGGTTGCGTTACCGGAGTGGGTTGACACCGGTGCAGTGCTTGCTATTCAGGGCGGCCAGAGCAAGGTGAACCGGATTGTCAAGCAAGGACTTGAGCTTGAATGTCCCATTGGTGCCGTTTGGCTTCAAGATTGGTCTGGGACACACTCACAAAGTGTGTCCTACATGTCGCTGAATGTATCTCGTCTTTGGTGGAACTGGGAATCTGACACCACACTCTACCCGACATGGAAGGAGTTCGTGCAGTCTCTGCGGGATCAACACAACGTCCGTACCCTGGCATACATCAACCCTTTCCTAGCAAATGTCAGCACGAAACCTAATGGCTACCTCACCAACCTATACGACGAGGCTAGCCAGGGTCGTTACATGATCCAAAACTCCACTACTAATAGCACATCGGTCATTTCCAGTGGTCCAGGGCTTGACGCCGGTATTCTGGATCTCACCAACCCTGCTGGACGATCCTGGTTTAAGGAGGTCATGCTCGATCAAGTCTGGAGTGCCAATATCTCTGGATTCATGACAGATTTCGGCGAATACACCCCTACCTACGCGGACACCCAGTTCGCCAACAGGAGCATTGATCCATTCTTCTACCATAATGCCTATCCCCGCGAGTGGGCTGCTCTCCACCAGTGGATTGGAAAGAATGTATCTTCATTCTCCGACGCCATCCTCTTCCACCGCTCCTCATCTATGGCGGCAAACCGGCATATGAATCTATACTGGGCAGGCGACCAGAACACCAACTGGGGTGTCAACGATGGCATCAAAGCTGCCGTGACCGTTATTGGCCATATGGGTCTGTCAGGCTATGCCCACGGCCACATGGAGATTGGTGGGTACACCACTACTTGGGATGGTAACGGTGTTGTGAACCGCTCTTCTGAATTGCTCGGTCGATGGGGCGAACTTGCCGCTGTCTCGAGTGTCGTCTTTCGTACCCACGAGGGCAACGTCCCTGAGGTCAATGCCCAGTTCTATACCAACTCCACTACATACTCTTGGTTCAGTTATAACGCGCGCTTGTTTGCAAGTCTTGCCAAGTACCGCCGTCGCATCTTGGAAACCGAAAGCATGAACCTGGGCTGGCCCTTGCTCCGCATGCCCGTCATCTACCACCCGGATGACGAGGTCGCCAAGTCAATCAGCTACCAGAGCTTCTATCTTGGCTCAGATTTATACGTCGCACCAGTGCTGGACCCTGGTCGTACTAGCGTTAAGGTTTACTTCCCCGGCAAGAATCAAACTTTCACCCACGTTTGGTCTAGGAAGAAGTATCACGCTGGCCAGACTGCACGCGTCTACGCCCCTTACGGGAAGCCCGCGGTCTTTGTCGTTGGTACGCCGAACAATAGTGATTTGGATGACTTCCTGCAATTTGTCCGCCAGGAGAATAACACCCTTATCCATTTCTAACCGCCACCGCAGCTGTCCGTGAGAACCCTTGATGAATAAAATCCCCAATCCTGGTTTCTCGAAACGCCTCAATCAAGATGGGTTTGTAGTTAGAAGCTGTTCATGTCAATTTCCTACCTTTACAGACAAAAGCCCACCAGGGCCTCCGATTTTCACTCACTTCCGAGACCGGTCTATAACACTTGCAGATAGTATATATATTCCCGGTTATACAACATTTTACATCGTAGAGCGATACCCCTGATATGGTATCGCAGGCAGGAACTGAGGCGGCACCTTCCCAAAGTTTGTTTGTCGACCCCACATTGTCTGATATTTCCTTTCTCACTTCTTCACTTCTTCACCATTTTCCCACATATCACACTACAACATACTACAACTCTGGAACCCATTTCACTGTGAGTTTTATCAATGTATCTTCCCACAGACTGTATCCGAGTAGCTAACATAGTGGACATGGACTAGTGACCACTGTCTGAACCTTACTAGGAAACTCAAGACTCATCCACCGCCAAAATGCCAGCAACTGATGCTCTTCGTATATACCCCCCTTGTGACATCGAACACAATGTGGAATCCATGGCTGACCTTTCTCCAATACAACCCCCTCTCACCCCTGCCGAGCGGGCGATTGTGAAATCCTATGGCGGCTGGACTTCCTTCATGCAATCCTTCGGGCTTAAGCCATGGGACAATGATGACGCTGAAGAAGGAAAGAGAATCCTGGAGGGCTTTGTTCAACAGGATGACGACGATGAATGAGACACTTACCACTGCTCTCTGGGTGGAACAGAAGGATTGAGACACGGGGCATGGATACCGATCATACGTTATTGAGATTCTCCTTCTGACCTTTCACAATGCGACACAAACAATGATTTTTATTCTTAGTGACTTCCTATTCCGGCTTTGTAGGCTATGTATTGTATGCTCATAACTATCTTTGTCTGCTCAGCACCACCCCCCAATACAATGCACCCAGAAGTAAAGCCATAGACAAAGGGGCTGTAGCTAGAGTATAGAGCCTGTGCATGCCTTGCATTGCACGCAAAATGAATTTGTTGAAACTCCAAGGTGAATTACCTATGTGAAAGCTCCACGTAGGGCTTCAATATTTCTATCACTGTGATAAACATTTACCCCACTGTCACTATATGCCACAGTAAAGCTAACTAGTTACTATATATATAGTAGTGCAGTGTTACCAATTAAAAATGGTCGTCGGAGATAACATTGTTAACTTGTTGCATTAATGACATTAAACACATAATACGTCACGTACATCAAAAGCGCGAGAAACCAGCTCTAATAGAATAAAAACATTCGAACCTAACTAACCATAGTCGAAGACCAATTCATAACCCATTCAATACCTTCCCGACCCAAAGAAACAAGATCCGTAATCTAGAGCGTGTTGCCCGCTGGCCCACCGAGGAACCACTCCGCGAAGCCCTTGAAAACCATCGACGTGATTGTCTGCTCAGATAACTCGTAAAGATCAGAAGAGCGCAGAACAAGGCTCTCACCATCAAAGTAGGACTCCAACAAACGCGCATTCTTGCCCATAAACGAGACAATCAAGATCTGCAGAATAACCAGTTAGCAGTGTACAAAAGTCGATAGGGAGTTGGGAAAATCAACGACTTACCGGTGCGACCTCATGGTGAAGTAACCGTACTTTTCTCAACTGGCTCAGCATCAGGCGAAGGATGATCAATAGCTCCCCACGACACAATGTGCTATCCACCCCCTCCAAGCCATGGTATATGACTGCTTTCATATGTGGGGATTCCTTGTCGGGAATGTCCATGATCCTGAACACGCCGAAATCTGGCTTGTCATACTTATACAAATGCTTGTAAGGGTTGTAATCACCGACGCTGTCGAGGGCCGTTAGAGACTATGAACTAGTATAATAACAATATATCTTAGGATAATAATAGAAGATACTGACCTCATCGAACGCCATATCCTATCTTCACATACAAACTTGGTTTTAGACATAGCATAATAACTCCATTCTCTTTCGAAGTGATATGCTCGAGACATTGCGTCTGTAAAAGCAGTCTTGTCATTGAGGTGCTCGATCGTTCTGCGAATTAGTTTCTTAGAAGGTTGCGGGAGGTTGAGTTTCGGCGCGAAGAAGCGTGGCTTAATGTCTGAGTCTTTGTTGAGAGCCATTGGCTGTCGCTTGATGTTCAATTCATCTAGTTGCGATGCATCAAGTGTGTGCACTTTCAGAGCATCGATGGCATCTTCGAGCAGGATTAGAGTCTTGCGCTGCTCCAAATGGTCGCTTGATTCCTTGGGAGTTGTGTCTGAAGACATGTTTGTTGGTCTCGCGGTAATCCTGGCTTGGATGGGAGTTTTCAGAATCTGGACGAGCGTGACTGGGATATTTCGGTGGTTTTATGTTGAAGGAGCACAGTAGGTGTGTTAGTAGGGAACTAGAGAAGGGGAACGAGTGGTGGATGTTCAACAGAGTGGAGAGTGCTTAACAGAAAGTGATGTTGGTGATGTGAGTGGGGGTCTGTTGCCGGGCGACTAGACCTCTGAATAGCCCAGCCAACCCGCAAAGGCCCATAATAGGCCCCAAGCAATACAAAAATGCCAATTTATTATAGCTGCATAATTAATGTATTTTTCTCCGGGCTTTCTTTGGTATTCAAACTACCATCTGGGCGATAGTTGAAGCTATACAGAAACCTTCTTCTTCTAAGCTTATAGTTAGTTAATTTTCATGAAGCTTTACTTTATAGAAAGGTACTTGCTTTTGTTAGGGAATTACATAGTAAGTAGAGGTACCATTAGTGCTACTACAATTGACAACCAAGCATAGACCCAATATAAATATCTTTCTATAATAATACTCAGTACGAATTCGTGGTCAAGTTAGATCCGTGATGCGGACAGCGATTAAAAGTCATCGAAAGAGAGGGGAAATGAGCGGAATATCGGAATATCGCAGATGATGTTGTGTTCTGTAGGGTGCGTTGATAACTGGCTGACCCGACGAGACAAGAGACCGTGTTTTGGAGAAGTCGCCCAATGTTTCTTAGGAGTCGCAAGATTGATGAAGTTGGATCAAACTGACAAAAACAAAGGATAGAGTAACTAACCAGTAAAGCGACTTTGATGAGATTAGTACAGTCAATTTTGCCAAGGTTATAGAATATCTCGACGACTGACTCCGACTCGAGAAAAGTCCCATTCAGGATATTAGAATACATTTAGGTACCAACATGAGTTCAAATAGGTGCTAAGTGAAGGCTTTAGAGACTAAAAGAAATAAAGGAGTAGACATAGTATCAAGCTCGAAACAACAACTTAGTAGCTTAACTTTTCTCGTCGTGATATCAGATCTCTTCTGTCATGTCAGGCGGTCATTTGGCAGCAACAAACCGCCTTCAATGGAAAACATAGTGAACTTGGAGAAGAATGTTCTCGTCAAACTGGCAGGTGACCTTATTATCGAATCTCTTTCATCTCCCTAACATCCACTCACCCTACCCTCCTTATTCCCACTCCTCTTCGACGTCCTTCTTCCCCTTCAACACCACCCCTCTGTGGTTACCTGAGTTTTCGATATTTCAACCCTTTGCTTCTACCAGCTGCTTACCCTACGTTCATCCTAGCGCACCACGACCCAACGTCCCTAGCAGTTCTGTGTCTAAACAGCACTGTCAACCACGAGTGAGTTCCCCAGTATCACGTTTCGTTCTTCTGATTGCGCGTCACTAACCCCATGGTATTCTCCAGCGCGTGACCGCCCTCGGTACCTAGGACCAAAATGAGTTTGTTTCAACCCCAAAACAAGCGCACGGCCGCATCCCCGGCATCTGATACTCCACCCTCAGAGAACGTGAGAACACCGACGCAAAACCCGCAATGTCCGCAACTTCTTACATCTTCTCATAATTCCCTGACACCAGTGGCCCCGAAATCACTAAAACCAGCACGACCAACCAAGGCTACTAATTTCGAACCTGTCAGACTCAATGGGAGGAATTGGGCCAAGTTGGAAGACCAAGAGGCTCAGTTGGCAGCATATCTCAAATTTCAGAATACCTCCGACCTTCGAGAATTCGCTATCTCATGGCCGGTTTTATTTGCCGAAAAGGACTTCGCACTAGCGGCCCAAAAGACGACAAAAGCTGGTGTATTGAAACTTCTGTGCAATCCAGAATCGAGAAGTGAAATCGTGGCTGTGGATTCATCTCCCCAGTTGGCATGGACCTGGCGGCCAGGAGATCCTATACAGTACCAAAACATCCAGAAACGGAATATTGTGGCTTGGACTTTGTGGAAGATGGTATTGAACGTCAAACAATACAAGGCTGCCAGTTTTGCGGAGAATCTGGCGCGAACCCAAATTGAACAGGTGGAGTTTCTGAAACGCCATACATCCGAGAAAATCGGCTATACCTTAACCTTCCCAGAAACGATGGACAACTTTCCATGCCCTGAGCTTGGTCCCCTGAGGGACAAGGGGGAGAACGAACTTGAATGTTACAATCGTTGCTGGGAAGTGCTCCGATATCTAGGCAGTGGGTTTCAGAGGGGAAACTGGAAGCGTCGATTTGCAAATATCGAGGTTATGAAAATGGGACGCACTGTGAACCAATCGCACGCCCCGTCGTGGATGCAGACGGCAGCACAGTCTGTTCGCCCCGAACCATCACGACCGATTGAGATCCAGATATGCTGGGTGCACAACGAACGTGTTCCGATGTACAATGAAACGGTGCGTGCTATTGAACAAGCCAAGAGCAGACGAGTGGCTGTGCCCAGTTCAGAATTCAAATTCCCCTGGGACCCCCGCGTTTTCGCCAATGTCCAGCAGTTTCGTGATACTATTCGGCGCTGCCTAAACTGCGAAGCATTGGGTCTAGATCTGCAAAGCCTTCAGGTCCACTGTTATGATGAAGACGAACATTGTCATGAGGAAGCGGATGCTTTCACTCAGGATTGGACGGCATTGATAGCTTTCTTTGAAAATTATCACCATGCCAAATTTCTTCTCGCGGTTCGCCTGAAACCTTTCGTTATCCATGATCCAGTGTTCTCTATTTATGAGGATGGTAATATTCCAATTGACCCGCTCCTCTATCTTGCCACCCCGGATTTCGAAATTAATGACACAAACGAAACTCCCGATACCCCACAAAGTAAAGGCTAGGAGAGCGGCCCGATTATATTGACATCGGCTAAGCTTGGGGAGTTACAAACGGAGACAGAGCCTTGTGGTTGTCCCTTCATCGGTTCCACCACCTTTGTTGTAAAGATCTTGTAATTTTAAATGAAACAAAATATTTCGCTTCGCCCTAGCAGCCTTATATCTACCACCGCAGGAAGTGTTACTTCCCAGTAAGATTTACCATCAGGATGACCGAGCATATAGTTCCCAACAAAGCCGCCCAGGAAGTATATATATACGTCAGTGGAGACCCTTCATTGTCTGTATCGCCTGACAAAGTGACTTTATCTCCAATTTATCTCTTTGTGATTGTTGTCTAGGAACTTCCTTCACATGTACAGCAGTTTTCTTCCTTCCACATACATGGAACATTGGCTACAGGTAGTTAGGCTTTCGAACAACGGCACATCCATGGATCACTACACCGTCCAGCCATGTATTCCAAAACCCCAGAACCTGCTATGAAACTATCTAAATTGTACTCAGATTGTATCCTTGATTGGGTCCTTCTCAGCATCTTCGATCTTTTTCAAAAATTCCGCCGCAGCCTTAGCATCACCGGGGAATATATTCTCGGCAATCATCCGGCGCGGTGAGCTACCAAGCCATTGGAACAGAGAGAAATCCCGGAATCGGTCCGCTCGGAAGATTTCCAATACCTCTAGCGGTTCATCGTCACTCAGGTTCTCGACAAAGTGTCCCATATTCCGAGGGACGATACCGACGTCACCGGCCATGTAGTTGAATGTTCTGGCATTTCCTTCCGCGGCAAAGATCGTAACTCGCGCACGACCTTTCTTGAAATAGCTCCATTCGTCGGCGTTGGGGTGCCAGTGCATCTCGCGTAGGGCGCCCGGAGCGATCTCTAGATGGGCAGCTGCTACGGTCTTGGAAATTGGGAAGTTTGAGGAGTCGGTAATACGCACACGACCCCCGCTTGTTTCAAGGGGTTCTTGGGCGTGCATATGGTGTGTAAAGTTTATCTTTGACTTCTTGAATGTGCGTGGTTTTTCCTGGTCAATGCTTCCAGGGGTTGAGCCTTGGAATATGTACTTCTCGGATGACGGGATATTGTCGAATTTTTCAGGTGACATCCGGAAGTTCTCTCCTAGGACTGCTTTGGGAGTGTGCGCTGGAGACTGGGTTAGTATGTGTATGTCATAGATTGAGACAGACAAGTTAACATACCCAACCAATCAGTCAACACGAAAGTGGACTCTTCGGAGAAGTTCCCATCATCGAAGATCAGAAGAAATTCCGTGCCATTTTCACCAAGACCTTGGAGCGAGTGTGGATGTCCCGCGGGGAAATACCACAGATCTCCTGCCTCCAAGTCGTCCATAAAAGTGGCGCCTTCCAAGTCCAGCGCGGTGACTCGCACTTTTCCAGCAAGAACATAGGCCCATTCGGCCTCCGTATGCCAATGCAGTTCACGGATGACCCCTTGATCCAGACGCATGTTCACACCAGCCAGTTCACGGCTAGTGGGTAGCTCGCGGATAGTTGTTTGTCGGGTCCATCCGCCTTCCTATATAGACTTAGATAACGATGTACTACATCTGACATTGCATTGACCATACCTCAATCCGGATATGTGAATCCGCAAAACTCCATCGCATGTTAGGCATACTGCCATGATCGGTGCTCGGCGGACGAACAAGATCAGGATTCTGGCGTTCACGATCTCGATTCCGAGGTCCCATCACGGTTGTGCCATCTCCATTGCGGAACGGCAATGGCTGTCGCTCGTCGCCAACAGAGTCGACCTTGTGATCATACGGGTCCTTGTGTCCCGGAGAGAAAGGCGGATGTCGTGAAATCGGCTGTTGACCGAACCATTCTGCGGGATGGCCAGCTGGTACTTGGAGTAGCTTCTGTAGGCTGTGGTCCGGGGCAGGGATAGCCCATGTAGCCTGCAGACATGCCAGGTTTAACAGAATGTGTGTAATCTGCATGGTGAGCTTCAGAATGAATTAGTTACAGAGAGGATAAAAGAGGAAGTTCTAAGAAGGTAAATGGTAAATGCACAGTCAGAAAATGTTATTCTCCGCATCGACGTCACGACATTGCCGGTCGCATATCGTCTGTCTCCAACTGTTTACTCCAACAGATTTGCCATTTGCCATTTGCCAATTATATTCCAACGCATTGTGATGATCTCCTAAGGGGGCATTACGGAGTTTCATTCTTTGCCGAGATCGACGTCGAGTTCCTACGCCGCGGGTTCCACATAAAACGACTTGCCTTCACTTCAATCCGTCCACCAACTCACCTCATCACCAATGTCTCTCGAAACAGACGCCCTGTTGGGCAACCACACACGTTCCAAACCCTCTCGGTTATCCCTGATATCCAAACACCTGCGCAGCGACCTCGACCCGACGTACGGCGACCTGGTCCTGATATTCTGTTACGTCATCACCGGCCTCCTCGACAGCTCCGCGGTGCTTATATGGGGCTCCTTCGTGAGCATGCAAACTGGAAACACTGTGTATTTTGGCCTGGGCCTCGTTGGTACAGAAGATGATCGCTGGATCAAATCCGGAGTCTCTATTGCGGGGTTCTGTTTGGGCTCACTGTGCTTCGCCACCTTTCACCGTGTCTTCCCGGCAAGACGGAGATGGGTGCTCTGTGCGTCGTTCCTTGCGCAAACCTTATGTGTCTGTCTTGCCGCTTTGATCGTTACGATTTATCGGCCGAGTCGCGGTGAGCCCTTGAGTTGGTTGGTCCTCGTCCCGGTGGCGCTTGTCGCATTCCAGAGTAGTGGGCAGGCTGTGACGAGTCGTGTTTTGAACTTCGGTGGCTTGACTAGTGTTGTTCTTACTAGTACTTATTGCGATTTGTTTTCGCATCCTGATTTCCTATCGAGGAAGGTGGTTGGTCATGCGGAGGAGATGCGGCGGATTGGCGCGGTCTTGTGTTTGCTGCTCGGCGTGGTGTTGGGTGGTCTCTGGGCTCATAGCTCCGTGGGCATGATGGGGGCTTTGTGGACCGCAGCAGGTTTGAAGTTATTGATTGTTGGTACTTGGTTGGCCTGGAATGGAAAGAGCGAGGATGATACAGAATGAGCTTTAAAAGGCAAGTGGATGACCAGGGTAGTATATAGATTGTCTGTTGGGTTCATATAGATGATACTAAAATTACTATCTCAGTTGTATGTAATGGTGCTCGTTCCCACTACTATGGAATTGAGTTAAACCTCTTTCGATTGTGTTGAAATGATCATTTTACTACCTTGGGTCCTTCAATATCTCCATTAATACCCCCGGTCCATTCCAATTCAGGGGCAGATGCGGGGTGCAGATGTCGATCTCTCCAATGCCGTGGTTCCACTCCATCTCTACCTGTACGGTGATAGATCATATTGGAGAAATTGGAGTATTGGAGTAAGTCCTTTCAAGAACAAGATGGAATCGGAATCGCGCGAGGCCGGGAAGGCAAGGGGTAGTTTATACCTCGCCTTTCATGTATATCATTACAAAGTATTGGGCAATTGCCCCTATGTCTTGTTATAGCCGTACGTATGATTCTCTGAAATGCTTTTCTCGAATTAACTAATGAAATATTCCGGACCATGGTTGTTTTTCTTTTCGTTTGCTTTTCTCACTGGGGTTTTGAGACAACAATAACAATGGTAATCTGCACATGTAGCACTTGCAGAAGAAAGAAGCAGAAACATCACAGTGACGATAAAGTCTTCCCCCGAGGTTCCCAAATTGGACAAGGACATGATTGCAGAAGAAACCCGGTTGGAATAGCAAGGCCGTACGTGCCAATCTAAGGAAGTCCAAACATGGATAACGTCCATGGGGACTAACTCGGTGTAGAATCACTTCTTATGAATGTCAACGGCTTTCTTTCCTTTTCCCCTGGTTGCACGAGCCTTCTTCCACACTGTGGGTTTCTCTTCCTCTTCCTCCTTTTTCAAACTAGACTCGACGATTTTGACATCCTTCTTTTCGATTTCATCAACCTTCACAACAGCCTCAACCGCGGTTTCCTTCGTATCTTCCACATCTGTATCAGAGCCAACAACAACTAGATCTTCCTCGTCTTCCTCATGTTCATCAGACTCTAGCTCATTTGCCTTGGATAGACATTGGAAAAGGCGATCCATGTCTTGAACTACCCGGTCGTAAACGGAGTGGATCGACTCAAGTGCCTGCCGCTTCTCCCCAAACTTTCCCTTCCCATTGATGTTGGGCTGCTCAAGTGGTGACTGATAGTATGTGCTATCATATTCTACAATTCTCTTGCGCTTTTTTGCTTTCAGATATTCAAGGCTCGGACCAACCTGCTTTTGACTATTGTTAGATTTGTTTTTTTTTTTATATATATATATATATATCGCGCACTGCATCGCTAGGAAGTTCTAAAGGGGGTCGGAACCAAATGTAGAGAACTCACAGTACTCCCTTCGTCATTACCCTGATTCTTGGTGGCCTTTACTGTCTGATGATCAACCCCTATCACTGGACATGGACCTTATCAGAACGTGATGTATCTTGAGCAGATATACGACTTACATAGCGAGCACATGAAACGCCCTCTTGCTTTAAAGTAACAGTTCATACAACAACCGCCAAGGAAATCCAGGCTGGTCGCTTCATGCGAAAGAACGACACAACTTTTAAAAGCACCACAACCAGCCTTGCAAGACACGCAGGATTCTTCATTTGTCATAACATCTCCACAACGTTGACCATGGGCAGCAATAGCCTGTCTGGTGTTGCTGAGAATGGCATGAGTAAATCGAGGTTTTACCCAATCGATGTCTCGGATAGGTTTGAATTTAGATATGGCCCTGCAATAGAGCGTGCTATTTGCTAGGTCGTCAACCTTGACGTTCTTCTTGTCGTCTAAAGGGAACATGTGATCTATGAAACGAATGTCAGCACCAACTTAAATGGCTATTGCACAGAGTTGAACAATGACTGGGGAAATGACAACTCTTGCTGATCTTGATCTCAAACGCTGAATCCGACTGAGGTGATTACCAAATGATACAACACTCAATATTGTGATACGTGAAGGCTGTGAACTGATGGGGACCGATGAAGAATGATATCCAGTGTTGGAGGATGAAGAGGAGAAGAAGTTCCAGGGAATTAATCTCCTATTTATATGCCACCAATCCATAGGGCCACAAACACAAACATGGCCTCAGATAACAAGCTTAGACCCGCATATCGATTATCCATACAATATGTGGTTCCTACAAAGCCTGGATCACAATCGGATATTTGCTTTTCTGGAAAGTCTCTTCCACTTCTCACACTTCAAGTCGAATTCATATATTCATTGCATGGTCATCATCTCGTACCGAGGGGATAGCGTTACTATGTGGGCAGGGCCTATAAGAAAACCAAACCAAATCTCAATGTCAATCGCTCCGTTGAACCGTCACAACAGGGCCAACATAATGCCTCCTTCCCTGGAACGCGTACATCAAAAGACTAACGATAAACACTCCAACGAAGATAACCACACTCCAATTGAAATCTCGCGCCGAAGGGGAAGGACTGGGAGGCCAGAAAGACCAAAACAGCGCAAAAAGAACATAAAGCAACCCAAGTATATTTATTGTAAGACCGAAAGGACCAAGACTCCAACGTCGAGGAGGCAACGTTTCGGGACAGGCGATCTTCCGGTAAATCACGCAGCTTATCGACACCGCGTATGTGTACATTAGGGCGGCAACATTGAGAGATATGATCGCGTTGAATGCAACTTGAGAGCCGATGTTAATTAGCGACAACAAGCCGCTGATCATGCAGGAGAGTGCGATGGCTCGAACTGGGATTCGTCGGTGCGGGTCAACTCGCGAGATCCAGTGGGCGAATGGTAGACCGCGATCTCGTGCGAATGCATATGTTTGACGGGCGGTTGACGCATTGAAGAGGATGTTGCTGAATATAACTGGAACCAGGATTATGGCTGTGAGGCCATTGACGCCGGAGGTGGAGAGGAATTGGCGTAGTACGTAGATGAAGGGGAACCCGGTGCTGTCGTTGAGCGCGTCGGGTACGGAGGGTAGAGCGAAAAGGAATCCAACGAGTATTATCAATGCGAGGACTCCGTTACCGAAGTATCCCCATGCGATGGCTATCGGTACGTATCGACCTGCGTCCTTAACTTCTTCGGACATGTGTGCGGTAGCGTCGGAGCCTATAATCAGTGCTTTTGTGTTAGCGTTGTACCTTGGCATTGTGATCTAGGAATACCCGTACTCAGAGAGCCGTAAATAGCTGTAATTTGACCAATCATCAAGCTGATACCCATAGTAGGCCAGTTCCCACCATTGTGGAACGAGGTAAATACGGTTTTTGCGGAATTGTGAGGAGCCATGGCGAATAAGACAACGACAATAACGACCCAGCATATCAAATGTAGAGCAAGGAGGAGGTTCTGGATCCGTGGCATCCAGCTTGCTGCGTAGACATTAAAACAGTATATCACGGCTATCATCGCGAATACAAACAGCGTTCCATGCCAATTTTGCGGCTCATAGGTCGGGTCGCGGAGGGAGATGAGACCCTGAATGATAGTCCCGGTTAGAAATGACCCAGATGCAGCACCTGCCTGCCAGGCTAGTACGGACATCCACCCTGTATGGGAACGGTTAACGATTGGCAGGGGTCATTACACAAGCGATCTCACCAGTGGTGTAACTCAGAAACTTCTGGTAACGAGGTGAGGAAAACTCCGATACCCAATGGTATTGGCCTCCTGATGTGGGTGCCCTAGTGCAACGAACAAGTATATGTCAGAAAGCTCCGATGGTGAAACACAGCGATCGATTAGAACTCACATCGAAGCCATCTCGGCTAACGAAACAATGATGAAGCCAAACCCCACGAAGGTCCACACATAAGACCGAAATACGCCAGCCAGGCCACCATTTTCGAGACCTTGCGTGTTTGAGCTATGAGGGGATTAGTGGCTTCTGTGATGTCGATGGCGGAGACTTCCTCTTACATGAGTATGAACTCCCAGGTAGCTTGAAGAACAGCTGAAAAGCTCAACGCTGCAAGGGGTCGAAAGTTGCGCTTCAAAGATTTCAGTTGATAATATCCAATTTGCAGCAAGAAGAGCCAAATAACACCTTCAATTCCTGGATTTTTCCCATACGTGTCATGTCATCGTGATCCTGTGGGCTTCCCTCCATCTCCGGTCGACCTTTCGTGGAGTGTTCTTCTTCCATCGTGTGAACCCTGTCAAAAGAAGTGATCCGATCGTGTGTCTGTGAGATTTCTGGTGGCATTTTGACAATAGACGTCGGTAAACAAGGGACGTTAACATATCAAGACTGGTTGGTTATAGAGGAGCAGACCTCGAATGTTAGATATTGATCGAAGATGAAACAGACCATCTAAGATTGGAGATACAAACACACGACAGACTCGAGTTTGTCAAGTCTAGTTAATATCGGCTGTTCCGATGCAGGCATCCCACAGAGTGATACAGCGAGTCGACTTTGAAGCCGAATTTCACCCCACCTATATGTTACATACCCCTTGAGGAGCGATGAAATCTACCGACACCGCGCACACAAGGCCACATGTTAGGGCCTTCAGAACAAGTCGGAGCGGAATCGGCTAAACCTTTATGAAGGTTGGGAGTATTTTGAAGTTGCACAGCGCGTTTGACTGTATATCTGGTGGGGAAGGACCTGTCATCCTCGGGTGGGCGGGTTAGTACGTTATCCCTGCAGACCGTACCATGTTGACTAGGATCAGGTCTGCTGAAACGAAATCCAACACCAAGGCCATTCCTCGTGTTGAGGCATGTAAATCGATGTATCAACTGAATTCACCAATGAACCTATCAAAACGCAACTCGAGGGTTGCTGCCACTCTCATTGTCTCCCTATCCGTTGAGGGCATTAATTTCGATCGTATGTCGGCTTCCATCGGCATGTTCCCGTGTGGATGTAAGACTGATCATATCCCGGGGTGGTACAAATAGATTTCATTTGGAAGTCGTTCCGAGAGGGGTTGACCTTGTCAAACGGACTGAAGATAAATCTGCGACAATTAAAAACGAATGCGCCTCGAAGAAATCTGCTTGTTTGTCGGAAATAGTTAAGTACAGAACTCTACGATATTCCTATTGAAGTGTGTTCTTATTCCTAGCGTCCTATCTGCACACTCTGCTATCCCCCCGTGTACCCTGTTAGTCGTGATTGCAATTAGGCAAACGAGAGTTAGGTACACACATACTACATAAGGAGTACATCGTATTTTGTTACTGATCGCTCTACTGTACGGTACTGGACATCATTTCATTTTGTTGTATTCGGCACAACATAAATGTAACAATACAACTAAACCCTCCGAGTCACCATACCTCACCAAGTACGGAGTACATACTCAATCAAGATCGAAGTTAACAGAAGTTCGCACTTCCTTATTTTACTAAATCAGTCCCAGACTAAGTAAGCCCCCCATTTTGTGCTTGCTAGAACATTAAGCGCCCAAGTGATCTACAAAATGGTACGTTAGACAAACCCAATACACTCGCCCCCATGATTCGGTACTGAGTACCTCGATGGCTACGACTGTACCCCCGTTCTATGGTTTCACCAACAGACAGAATTGGTTTAAATCTGTCGGAATATTCCGTAGGGGTTGGCAATCCATATACAGACCACTAAGGATCATGATATCTCACAAAAAGGCATGCTGACATACTCCCAAAATCAAAGACGCGCAACAAGAAGCCAACTTATATCCACATCCCATGTCCCGGTGATCAGCTAATGCGCAAGGTCAAAGCTCAGTTTGCATCCAGGCCGAGAGTTGATGGAGATCTGCGATTCGTGATTAGCATTCCCTGCATCACGGTGTAAATTTTCTGAGTCAGCCAGGCTGTTTGACTCGAGCTGAATATATCCTCTATCGAGTCCCTAGGAGGAGATCAGAATATGTTTCTTTCTTTTGGCCATGGCAACTCCTTCCCCAGCGCCGTCAAGCATGACACCTCCGCTGACAGTGGATACCGAAACAAACCATAATGGAGTAATTACAGTCATCGCTTCTTTCTCATTATTTTTGGTTCTGGGGTCGCTCGGGATTCGTGTATATTCTGCATACAGTAGAAGAGTCCGTCAGTTGGATGATTTGACTTTCGCGGCAACTGTGGTATGTCTTTCCGTCTCAACTAATGCAGACTCTTTTAGAAGATCTTAGGGACTGACATTAGATAACTTAGATTCTTGCCTTATCACAGGTATCTATGATCTTTGTGCAGATCCACTTTGGCTGGGGAAAATCAAAGTCGCTGGTCGCCGATGAGGATTGGGACTCGCTCGAGAAGGTTAGTGACCATGATCAGGATGCGGTCTTATTTCTAACATCTCCTTGTAGGCTGTTTACAGTGCAGATATCCTCTACATTGCAGTATTATCCTCATCAAAGGCGTCAACGGCTCTATTTTACCGGACTATTACTCTACGTAGTTCGCAATGGATGAGCTATGCTCTTCTCGCAGTTACTCTACTATGTGCCCCTGTTACGATAGTTCTACTGTCAGTCCGCTGTGGTCGGCATCCATGGCATGATATTAACAAACAATGCTCCGTTTTGGTAGGTCATGGTATCCTTCAATACCATATGTTCGTTCACTCATATTCTCTAGTTCCCTCACTGGCAGGGTGTCACAGCATTGGATATCATTTTCGAATCTATGCTATTACTCTACCCTATCCGGGAAATCATGCGACTTCAGACGACAATAAGCAACAAAGTCATTGTAATTCTGGTCCTTAGCTGTCGGTTTTTGTACATTCAAGCTCTCCTTTAACTAATTCCCTACATCAACACTAACAATAACCTGCGATACTTACAGTCTCATACCAATCTCCGCGATCCACCTCCATTACATCAGTCAACAGGTCAATTCGCCAGATCCAACACTCGAAGGAAGCTTTGCTACCGTTGTGGCGGAAATCCACGTGGCACTCAACGTTCTTGTACTGACGGCACCATTAATGAAACCATTCATCGCGGCCTACGTTGACGAGAACGGGCTCGCCTATACCGACGTGTCCAATTCACGGACCAATCATAAAGGCACACCACACTCGGACCGATCTAATGAAACATATCCAGGGTCGCGGATGAGTAATCCTCCGGCGAAACCCGGAATTTTGAAGAGTATTCAAATATCGGTGGATCGTGACGATGTGGAGCTTTTGGAGAGATGATGACGCCCTCAACGGGACCCGGGATAACTACACACTTAATGAACACACCTAATAGGAAGCACTCACTCCACATTGTTCTTGATATAGGCCATCAGGATGGTCTGGATATTTTAGCCTCCAATTTTGCCAATTTTGGCTGGGTTGGTGCTGAATCTTCCGTGTAGATTTGAATTAACACCTATTTCAGGAGCGGTGACAACCAGATATACATATCCATTCCACATGTGCTTGATCCAATATCGGATACAATCGGACAATATCGCATGTAAATGTCAGCATCAGAAAGGTTCCAGAAGTATAATTAACGATACTGCGAGCGGATCAACGTCTCAAACAGGAGGCTGTACCACCAAAACCATCACACACAGGACATGATCTCCATATCGGGCTATTAGGTGGCGGAACCAAGCAATCAATTGCGATACACTTGGAGCATTTTAGTGCACCCCATTTGTATGTGCGCTCAATTCAGCTATTGGTCTTCACCTTCCAAATTAAAGAAGTTCATTCCCCAACTCTTCTCCTGCGGATGCCAACTCCGTAGGGGTTTCCCCACACTATGACATCATCAGTCTACAGCTAAAATCGACCTTATTGACCAAAATATTTTGTTTTGGCATTGGCTCGTATTTGCTTTGTATTTCTCACTCATATCATAACCGAAAGTTCTCGTACGGAGTTCTCAAAAGTGACCCTAGTCACTGCCATGGCAGATTCTCACTATCTCGGTACTTCAAGTCGCGACATTGACAGAAGAAGTCATTCAATAGAAAAAGAACAGAGAAACCGATCGGAAGATGATCACATCTCACACCTTGCAGACCCATTCGGGGATGAAGAACTTGCCCAAGTCAAGTATCGTACTTTACAATGGTGGCAATGCGGCATGATCATGATCGCAGAAACCATCTCCCTAGGTATTCTGTCCCTTCCATCGGCTATGGCAGTGCTAGGCCTCGTCCCGTACGTTCTCGCTAATTTCCCGCTTAACAATATTCTCACTGGTTTATAGAGCAGTCATTCTCATTATCGGACTTGGTATACTCTCAACCTATACTGGATATGTGATCGGCCAATTCAAACTCCGATACCCGCAAGTGCATAGTATGGGGGATGCTGGGGAGGTCATGTTCCATCCCATGGGGTTAGCTCGCTTTGGAAGGGAGTTTTTGGGAACTGCTCAGCTACTCTTCCTTATCTTCGTCATGGGTAGTCATATCTTGACGTTTAGTGTCATGATGGATACAATCACAGATCATGGGACTTGCTCGATTGTATTTGGAATTGTTGGCTTGATCGTCTCATTTATCTTTGCCTTGCCTCGAACCCTTCGCAAGGTGTCTTGGTTCTCATTTGCTTGTAGGTATATCTATACCTCTTCTGAAGTGGGCCCTTTGCTAATGACCATAGCCTTCGCAAGTATCATCGGCGCACTTTTGATCACTATTATCGCAATTGCTATCCAGCACCCGGGTGACAGCAAGATAGACGCGACTACAACAGTCAGTCTTTCAAAGGGGTTCCTGGCCGTGACAAACATTGTCTTTGCTTATGGTGAGTGCCAACACTAACCGGTTACCCGATTCCAACTAAATTGTACCTAGCTGGCCATGTGGCTTTCTTCGGCTTTATTTCCGAAATGGAGACTCCAACGGACTATCCCAAGACATTATACTTGCTTCAGATAACCGATACAAGTATGTATGTGATAGCTGCTGTTGTTATATACATCTACGGTGGGAAAGATGTGGCTTCACCCGCTCTAGGCTCGACAAAGCCGATAACAGCAAAGCTTGCATATGGAATTGCTATTCCTACGGTGCGAGATACCTCGAAAATGTCTCTACTTCCAATAAAATGTTCCTAACTTCTTGCAGATTGTCATATCTGGTGTTATCAACGGGCATGTTGCGGCAAAATATATTTACGTCCGCCTTTTCCGGGGCACTGATCACATGAAGAAGCGCACATTCTTCTCCATCGGGACCTGGATTGGGATCACCTTTGTGCTATGGGTGATAGCCTGGATTATTTCCGAGGCAATCCCTGTGTTCAATACTTTGCTCAGTCTAATCGTGAGTGTGGTTGGTAATTGCAAGTGAGACAACTGCTGACATGGATTCGTTGAGTAGACTTCTCTTTTTGCTAGTTGGTTTACCTGTGAGTGATATTAGGTCTATATCGAATGTTGACAGTGCTGACCTGAATAAAAGACGGCCTCAGTGGTATATTCTGGTTGTTCCTGAACCGAGGCCAGTACATGGATTCCTGGAAAAAGATGGCTCTAACTGCTATCAACTTGGTGATTGTCGCCATTGGTGCTTGCTTAGTATGTCAAACCTTCGAATACTGGGCTATTTATCTGAATGCTAACTTGATATAGTGTGGTATGGGTCTCTGGGTGTCTGGTAAGGCAATTCACGATGATACGAGTGGTTCCAGCTTTTCATGTGGTCCCAGAAGTGGATGAAGCCTGGGGCTGGAGTGTACAAAATCCCATGTATGTATATGCAACCATCTAAACAGATATAGTTCGGCTTTCTTTCTAGTGAATTAATATCAGAAATCTCAACATACGGGGTTATTCCTTGCTCGCTTTAGCTTCCATCCGCTCTAAATACCTTGAACTTCCGTGGGGAAATACGTAATGTCGTCGTTATACCACGCATGACTCACCCCATCGCCGATGGATGAATCGATGGATCGATACCATGACGTGTTGCAAGATCACCCGTTGTTGCAGGTTAAACAAAGAAATGCAAATGACCTTTAACACTCCATCTACCCCTTGGAGTGTTTGCAAGGCGTGTATGAACGGGTTCACGGTGATGATATACTCAGTGTCAACCGTTGGTACATCGCGAACGAATCACCGGCCCTCTTTTGTCATTCCCTAAGGGCCTCTATAATGGCGAGCAAAGAGACCCAAACGTCACCGTCTCCGTCTAGTATCCGGGAAGAAGCGCATGATTCAGCTAGCTTACAGACCATGTTCGACGATGGCGACACATACGATGTGCCCGATTCGCTAGAAAGCAACATAGGGTCTGCAGAAAAGGAACCAGATAAAGAGAAAGAAAGCCTAATTGTGGACTGGGACGGCCCAAATGATCCGGTATGGCATCCGATTCCCTCCTTCTTGTATGTACACGTCTAACACAATTAATTATAGGAGATGCCGAAGAACTTCCCCACATGGAGGAAGTGGGTGATCACCATGATGCTAGGACTAATGACAATCTGCGTTACATTCGGCTCATCAGTCTTCAGCACCGCAACAAAACAAACAGGGAAAAAGTTCGGCGTCTCCTCAGAGGTAATGGTGTTAGGTGTCAGTTTATTCGTCCTGGGCTTCGCCTTTGGCCCTATTATCTTCGGCCCCCTGTCTGAACTGTACGGTCGCAAGCGTCCACTATTTGTGGGAATGTTTATCTTCGCGATCTTTCAGATCCCCGTCGCGGTCGCCCAGAACTTGCAGACTATTTTCATATGTCGCTTTTTCGGCGGACTCTTTGCCAGTGCACCACTTGCCATTGTGAGTGTGCTGCATTCTTTCCAACTCCGCATTCATCCTCGCTTATTGGAATTTGTTCCCTGCTTAGGTATCCGGTATCTTGGCTGATATGTTCGGGCCGGTAGAGAGAGGCATTGCAATGGCCATTTTCGCCGCGGCAACCTTCATCGGTCCGGTAGCTGGACCAATCGTCGGCGGGTTCGTAACAATCTCGTACCTGGGCTGGCGGTGGACAGAGTACATTACAGCTATCTGGGCGTTTGCTATGACTGGCATCGGGGTTCTAGTAATCCCCGAGACCTTCGAGGGGACATTACTCCAGCAACGCGCTAGGCAACTGCGCACCAAAACTAAGAACTGGGCTCTCCACGCAAAGGTAGAAGAGAATGTAGTCAGTCCTCGAGATATTGCGGTACGATACCTTCTGCGCCCTTTTCAAATGCTCCTCCGGGAACCCATTCTTCTGCTGATTACCCTTTACATGGGCTTCATCTATGGGTTTCTGTACCTATGTTTCGTAGCTTATCCGATCTCCTTCCAAGAAGAGCGTGGCTGGAATGAGGGCGTTGGAGCATTGCCGTTTGTCGCTGTCGTCTGTGGTGTTTTTTGCGCTTGTCTGATTATAGTTATATTTTCATTGACGAGGTATCGGACATTCATAGTCCGCAATGGTCGAGTCCAGCCAGAGGAGAGATTGCTTCCTATGATCATTGGAGGGATCATATTGCCTGCGGGCATGTTTTGGTTTGGCTGGACATCAAATCCCCACATAACTTGGGTTCCCCAGGTCATATCTGGGGCGTTCTTGGGCTCAGGAGTACTATTGATCTTCTTGCAGGTGTCATTATCCCCATTGGAAAATCGCGGTTATTTCAAGAATACTGACCAATATTGCCAGGGTCTCAACTATATCGTGGATGTTTATCCCATGTATGCAAATTCTGCGATCGCAGCTAACTCCTTCTTTCGTTCTTGGTTGGGGGCTGGGTTTCCCATGTTCGCATCGGCACTGGTGAGATTTGTATTTTTCCGGGTACTGGAAGAATTAAGCTGATCACCAACCAACATAGTTCCATAACCTTGGTGTCAATTGGGCGATGACTTTGCTAGGTTGTCTAACCGCCGCTTTGTTCCCTGTTCCAATTGTGTTTTTCATCTATGGGCCGACGATACGGTCATGGAGTAGGTTCACCACAAAGGAAGAACAGGGGTAATTTGATCTGATATAGTGATATCAGTGATTTTGACTGGAATAGTATATCGGTATGAACTGATCCAATATTACCAATTGGAATATACATATTTCACGGTCTCTTGGTATTTATAGCACGAGCCCGATATTCTAGACCGAGGCCTTGGGTCCCTTGGGTGCTTATCGACCAGTTTTTATGAAATTGCAATGACCAGAGTGGTGGAGCCTTTATATCGGTTCTCGGCTACTCGTTCGAAAATCCACCGAAAGACAAATATGAATTACACGTAGTTCGTCTTATCGCGACCGAGGCACAAATCGTCAAATTGTCCATCGGCCAGGTCCGATGTGGAGCAAACCGTCATGAATGAAAACCAACATCCCTGCTGAACGGTCTAAGCAATCACCTGGTAAAGTGCAGCTTACCCCGGCTTTTCACTAGAACCTCAGGGGTTCAGCTAAGCTTCCCGGGGTAACGCACCTGGGCATGTCGCTGGAATCAGTCATCATAACATCCCGCAAGTGAGGAATCTGGGGAAACCAAGACTTTTAGCTAATATTGTCTTCCCGTTTGATGACCCTCGAGCCTTTCTACTCCACTCTTCTTGAAGACTTGTCCAGATATGTCCTCGGTTACACACCTTCGCCAATGGGAACTGCGACTCATCGCTCCGGGGTATGCCGCCCCACGTACTGCCGACTCCACCGGTATCAAGATCGTCCGGTAGACGGCGTTCGCCGTCTAACGCTCAGATGAGTGCATAGTTATATGATCTTTATATCCAACTTCATATCGATTTGGCGGGGTCAATCGGTGTGGCATGACCTCCAAGCTCTAGATCTTGATTCCACCTCTGTTCAATACCAATATTGCACCATGGAGCCGTATTTTGGCCTCCGTGGCCCTTCCCTGAATAGGGCTATCATGTGGTTGGTCGTGTGTCCGGCCTTTGTGACTTATGGATACAATCAAGGTGTGATGGGAGGTCTATTGACCCTGGAATCCTTCGCCGAGACCTTCCCACGAATGAACACTCTCACTGCAACCGATGCAGAGAAGACTTCCAACTCGACCATTCAAGGTAAGCCCAATCGTTGAACCTGGGGGTGCAGATCAATCCTAGATGCTTGGTATTCCCACCGCTTGGCTCGTCTCTCATGCTATATCATTTCAGGCACGGTCGTCGCACTATATACCGTGGGCGGAATATTCGGTTCGCTATCATGTATTCAATTCGGTGACAGGCTCGGCCGCCGGAAGGTTATCCTGTTCACCTCTTTCATCTCGATGATCGGTGCAATCTTGATGGCAACATCCTTCTCCCTTGCTCAATTCATCGTTGCACGACTCGTCCTCGGATATGGCACCGGCGGTTACGTTGCTACAGTACCCGTGTGGCAATCCGAGATTTCGAAACCCAACAAGCGCGGTGCGCACGTAGTAACAGACGGTATCTTCATCGGCGCCGGTATCACCTTCTCTCTCTGGGTCGACTTCGGCTTCTACTTCGTTAAGACCAACTCGGTTTCCTGGCGATTCCCCTTAGTATTCCAGGTCCTACTATCACTGATGGTCATGGGCTTTGTGATGCTCTTCCCTGAGTCACCCCGGTGGCTGGTGAAAAGAGGTCGCACCGAGGAGGCGCGGGAGATTCTGGCGGCGCTGGACGACGTCGACCCTCAGTCGGAACAGATCACCCTCGATATTCGCGATATCGAGACCTCCCTAGCCCTTTCTGGAACAGGTTCCTGGAAGGATATGTTGAAGATGGGCGAGCAGCGACTATTCCACCGCACTGTTCTGGCCTGTATGGGTCAGATGTTCCAGCAGATGTGTGGAATCAATCTTATCACATTCTACGCCACGACCATTTTCGAACAATATCTCAAGCTGGATCCTGTCCAGTCCCGTATCCTCGCTGCATCCATGTGCCTAACACAGCCGCTGGGCGGCCTCCTGGCTTATTTCACCATCGACCGTCTCGGTCGTCGCGTGCTTATGTTGTGGAGTGCGGCCGGGATGTCAATCTCCATGGCCATCCTAGCCGGCACCACCTCCCTGAAAGATAACACCGGCAGCTTGGTCTGCGCCGTGGTATTCCTTTTCGTCTTCGAGTTTATCTTCACGGTCGGATACTCCGGCTTGACCTTCTTATACGCCACGGAGGTTGCTCCGCTCCAATGCCGAGCATCTATTAGCGCCGTCTCCGCTGCCGCGGTGTGGACGTTCAACTTCCTCCTTGCCGAGGTCACGCCCGTCGGTTTCGCTACCATCGACTGGCAGTACTATATTATCTTCGCCGTGTTGAACGCGGCCATCGTGCCGACTGTTTATTTCCTCTTCCCGGAGACAAATGGCCGCACGCTCGAGGAGATCGATGAGATATTCTTGCAGTCGCGCAGTATATTCGATCCGCCCCGTATTGCTCGGTCGCTTCCACGCATGCACGTGGCCGAGGCTCACGGTGTGGATATCGATGCTAAGGAGGTTAGAAGTGTCGACGAGGCCATGGGCGAGAAGCCCGAGGTGTAAATCATTCATGAAGATATGAAAAAAGGGTCCTGCTGGTTTATCGGGATATGTAAATAGGATTGCCGGCCGTGTCCTTTAAGGGCCCGGTCGTTATGAATTTATCAAGCGAAGCTTTGTTTTGGTTGCAGATTATTTTCCCGTTTCAGTTGAAATTGGGGGCTTAGTGGTAAATTGGGGGTGTCCGATGATGCGACCAATGTCTCACTTGTACTTGGCGCCGTTTCAGAGTATGCTGCAGAGTTTCATCTTGCCAAGCATCCTTATTTCCTTGATTTATTTGGAGACCCGCCTGTCGATCACTTGCGGGATGGCGATTCCCCCTCTCGGGGTATGATGTTGAACAAAGTGGAGGGAGTGAAGAAAAGTGAAAATAATGCACTATGCCCGTGATGTTTATTCTTCGGTCACGGAATTGCCATGAACTGGGAACGTTGACAGTCGCCGGAGTGATCTCCGAAGGAATATGTCCGGCTAACAATGTCTTACTTCAAACAATCCTGCCCGGTTTCATGGTCTCCATAAGTAGTCTCCGTGTTATATCCGGCGCAGCCGGTCTTACCTTGGGGTACAGGTATATATAACAGCGTTTGGAATGGAAGGCATCGCAGGTTGGAAAGAACACGACCAGAACCTCTAAACTGCGGAGTATAAAGCAAACACACAATCACCTGACCAAAATGCGTTCTCTTGCATGGCTCGTCTCCCTTCCCATGATGGCCGAAGCGGGTGAAGTGTTATGGAGTGGGCGATTCAACGCCTCCGCAACCGTTGCCGATATCGATAAGTGCAAGTGACTCTCGGGAGATGTTGTTGATTAGTACTGATAAACGAGAAGGGTCATGGTCTAACCAGGCCGGCGCTTGGCAGTGGTATGTTCATGGGAAGGCACCGACCGATAAGTACCTCGGTCTCTCTCCTGACCACAAGAACCCGGCGGATACCAGCGATGCACAGGGGATTCGAATCACAATTGTAGGCAATATCCCCAACCCAACGGAACTAGAAGCTGATAGTACTTAGGACGGCACATCGTTCTGGAATGGACAAGATATGGCACGATCCGAGCTCATCCCCCAGACCAAAGCGGATCTTGGTACCGGGCATCTGTTCTACCACTTCTCGCTGAAGACAGAAGACACCAATGCACCGAACCCCAGCTTCGAGCATCAGATCGCGTTCTTCGAGGTAATAACACCCTGCCCAATGTATGGAAGAAAGCAACAGCTAACAAGTATATCCACCACAGAGCCATTTCACAGAGCTCAAGTACGGCACTGCGAGCGGCGCTTCGGGCAAAGACAACACCCTCCGCTGGTGCGTTGGTGGAGATTCTCACTGGGAAACTCAGTTGAAAGCAGGACATTGGTACAACTTCGCCTATGACATCGATTTCGATGCGAAAACTGTTGGATTGTGGGCATCAAATGGTTCCGATAACCTGAAGCAGGTTGTATCGGCTGTCAAAGCATCGACATCGACGAACTCGGCGGATTGGCATATCGGCGAGTTGCGACTCCCTAATGGGGGTGTGAAGCCGGCTGCGGAGGATTGGTTTTGGTCTGGCGTCTTCGTGGAGAAGGCTCCGATCACGGCTGCTATTGCGGGTCCTGCTTGAGACATAACTTCAGTGTTTTGTTTGTGAAGCGCTTGATGGTGTGGACCAGGCGAGGCCTCGTGTTAAGAAGAAAGACAAACAACTTGACAAACTTGACAAACTTGACAAACATCAATGCTCACTGGATCTGCCCATGACGTCGTACGTGAAACCGGATAGACTAATACAGGTCTCGGAAGAGCTCAGGGAGGTCTCAGACAAAGCGCAGGAACAAATAATTCAGTCATAATATGTAAAATTCGAAACTATGTGGTGATTTAAATTAGGGTAATAGTATAAAACAGAATCATTTACCGCACGGTGTAACCGCCGTCAATGAGCAAATCGTTGCCCGTCATGTAAGTGCTAGCATCGCTGACCAGGTAAACGTAAGCACCCTTCAGTTCCTTCGCATCACCGTTGCGACCCATGGGGATCATAGAGTTCCAAAGGTCCTGAACATCCTTGGCAACAAAATCAGACAACCCGGTGTCAATGTAACCAGGGGAAATGCTGTTCACGCGAGCGAAGTCCCGCCATTCGTTGGCCAGCGACCGGGCAAGGTGAATTGTGCCGGCCTTAGCCACGTTGTAGGAGGTCTGTTCCTGGGGGAAGTTGGCAATGTGGCCTGACATCGAGGCCGTAATGACAAAGCTGCCGCTTCCCCGCTCCTTGAAGTGCGCGCCAACGGCCTTGGCGCAGTGGAAGGTACCAGTCAAATCGGTGTTGATGACTTCGTTCCAGTCGTCGACAGACCCGTCCAGGATGCCGCTGTCGGCTGTCCGTCCGGCGTTCGCAATGAAGGCATCGATCTTGCCGAAGTCTTTGATCACCTCTTTCACGAGAGTGTCCACGCTCTCCCAGTTGCCTACGTCGCACTTGTAAGGTCGGACTGTCACGCCGTATTCTTCGGAGAGTGCCTTGGCGTTCTTCTCGCCTCCCTCGCGACGGGAGGAATATGTGATGGCCAAGTCGGCGCCCATCTCGGCACAGCCGCGGGCGGCTTCGATTCCCATACCACGGGATCCGGAAGCTCCAGTTACAATGACAACCTTGCCCTTGAGGCTAAGGAGGTCGAGCAGGCGATCGGCTTTAGGGACAGGGATAGGCATTATGGTCGAGGTTTGGTCTGGGAGGTGTGGTGGGGTGAAGAGAGGGTAGGTTTGAATGGAGGGTTGGATTTGACAGTATAGACGAGGACAGTGTCAGTGTTGTAATTTGAATATGGTCCTCCAACTTCTGGACATGAAGGTGACTTAAATACTGTCGACGCCCCTCATATGACTTCATGGCTGGGCTCCACGAAGTCTCCTAGCGCTGACATCAGAAGCCCAGGTAGGTATAGATAGGTGTGGACATGCTGCGCCTGGCTTGATCAGGGTATGGCCTCTGTTGCTCCAGCCAACTTGGCATATCCAGTCATAACATCGAATGACATCGGTTTTGTCGATCGCCAGTGGACACCGATGGGGTGGGGTAGTGACATCATGACCTTAACTGGGATCTTCCAAGCCGAAAGCAGTTTTCATCCAACTTGTTTAATATCATCGAGTGTTAGATTATATGACATCGGACTACTGAAGGTATCGAAGGTAATTTCTCGATAATTCTGGAAGCTTCCCACTATTGTGTTATCGCATGTTCTCTCTCATCAGAACATGTCCAAGCCATCATGGACGCTCATGGACGCGGGGGGATCGCCCCACTTGGACGCGCTAAGGAGAAGTATACTTCTCACTCATTTTGTATACACAAATATTCTCTAGCAATCCATGGGAGGACTGGATATGATAGCTTATAAAATGTATTCTAGCTTTTGGAATTGTAGGGATGAAGGGAAAACCCTCCAAAGAAACCCTAAAAAGTGATGACGAAAACGACAAGACCCAAAGAATTGAAACAATCGAGTCATTGACTCGTAATCAGGAACAAAAGAAATCCCTCGGCCACTTCTAACACAGCCAAGTATCTAATAACCGTTTTGTTTTCATTCCAAATACAAATATGACAGATCAACCCGAAGGAATCCCTCCTACTCAGCCAATCCACGAAGGGGGACCTTCGCATCGATCGTCCAGGGGGAGTTCTCTACACCATAATCAGTTTAACGATTCATTTTTGTCAAGGTCCGCACGAGGGATTTGCCTGAGGAAATTTTATACTCAACTGACAATGTTGTAGAACACATTCCTTCTTCCAACGAGATAGTCACATAGGTCATGTCGGCCGACACCCTTTACGTGGTAGCCAGGATATCGAGCTACATACCTGGGATGGCCCGGATGATCCGGATAACCCGTAAGGCACCAGAAACGCATGGTTACAGGGTTTCACTGACAACTCAGATTCAATTGGAGTAAAACATATAAATGGATACTCACTCTAACTATTTGTTTCATGTCAGTGTCCGATCATTTCCCATTTAGCTGAAACAATACTAACCGAGTATAGTTCAATCCTCACCGGCCTACCGGCTGGATCATACGGCGCGGGAAACAAATACATGGAGCAACAATTCCATGTCCAAAATGAGCCCTTTCCTAACCTTGCATGGGCCACGGCGTCTTGGAATATGGGCGCTGCATTCTGGCCCCTGATCTTTGTTCCATTGACCGAGTCCTCGGGGCGTATGCCCGGGTACTTTATTGCATATTTCATTCTAGTCGTATCCCTATTTCCTTCGGCTTTTGCTCAAAATTATGCCACATTGGTCGTTACCCGCTTCTTCGGCGGAGGCGCATCTTCGGTGTCGATCAACATTGTCGGAGGTAGTATCAGTGATGTCTGGTACGGTCCCAAAGCTCGGAGCTTACCAATGTCTCTGTTTGGATTTACGAGTGTGGTTGGGATAGCTTTGGGTCCATTTATCGGAGCAGCGATTCAACAAATCCATAAAAGCAGCCCATGGAGATGGTAAGTTTTGCATTCAAAAGGTTTCAATTAATGTGTGGAACACTGCTGATGAAAATTCAGGATTTTCTATGTTCAAATCATTTATAATGCTGGATTAATCCCCATCTTCTGGTTCATTCTTCGCGAGACCCGTGCAGATGTCATATTAAAGAGACGCGCCAAAAAACTCCGCCGTGAGACTGGCCGCCCTATATACGCCGAAGCCGATTTGGACACCACTAGCGTCTTGAAGCTTGTCCAGATTTCATTCGAGCGTCCTACACGGATGCTCTTGACTGAGCCTGTGGTCATCTTTTTTACCCTGTGGGTCAGCTTCGCCTGGGGAATTCTCTTTCTCTTCTTCTCGAGTGTTGCCCAAACCTTCAGTTCAAACTATGGCTGGGGAACGTTCCAGACCGGTCTAGTTCAGCTAGCCATATCGGTCGGAGCTGTGATTGGGACAGTTCTCAACCCTATCCAAGATTGGATCTACCTCAAATCCGCAAGCCGGAATCGTGAGAATCCCGGTAAACCTATCCCAGAAGCCCGGTTGTATACTTCTATACCTGGCAGTCTGTTGTTCGCGGGTGGACTCTTCTGGTACGGTTGGGCCAGTGTTGGGGACGGTTCTGTCCCGTGGATTGTGCCAGCGCTGGGAATTGGCTGTACTGGCGTAGGAATCTACTCCATCTACATGGCCGTGATCAACTATTTGACAGATGCATATGAGAAGTACGCTGCTTCGGCATTGTCAGCTGCTTCATTGGGTCGCAATACCTTTGGCGCTTTTCTGCCCCTTGCCTCCTTCCAGCTTTTCCAGAACCTGGGCTATGGTTGGGCTGGATCATTACTAGGCTTTGTCGGGCTCGCCTTATCGGTTGTCCCTATTGTGCTTGTACTCAAGGGGCCTGCTATTCGTCGGCAAAGTCCATTCATGCGTGAGGCCATGTTTGAGCCTGATGAGGAGAGTGAAAAAGATGGTATCTCAAGTGAAAATGACGGTGCCTCACAAAAGACGGGAGTGTGATAGGCCACTTCTTTAGACTAGACTAACGTGTTTCACTAGCGAGTGTCCCACCCTATCCAAAACGTGTCAATTAATTTAAACCATACTTCTTCAACCACCCACCATGCCACTGACTCGCTCTAAAAGCTCTGGAAATTCTACGGAGCAAGATGTAGACATACTATCTATCCAGGCTTTTAAGAGTCAAGAAATCTCGTTAATTCGTAACGTAGCCCCCGGCCATTTGTAGTACCAGATACCTATCAGCGACCACCGACTCCGCTAACTTTGTCTCGCATTCCCGCAAGGCCGTGGTGGTCGAATCTCTCTGGACATACATCAACACTAGTAATGAGTTCATGGGTCACGACTGACAGGACTCTTTTATATCTTGAGCATCTTTAAGGCCCCACTCAACAATAGTGGGCCACCACCTAGGTTCCTCTTCCAGTCTCGATTTCACAGTGGCTTAGACCCCGTCATTAATAAAATCCCAACCAACGGCGGTTGGCCTCCAATGTGGTTTATTTTTCAACCTCATTTTCGCAGTCGCCAGAAAGTGTTGTAGGGCACTTCTCTATCGTTTGGGCAGAGTGTGAATACCCAATAGTAATGTCATTTTTCAACACAATGTCAGCGCGGGGACCTCGACGAGCATGCGATGTGTTCTTCAGTCCGGATGGATCTACTGGGGATACGTATATACGATATGGCTAACACTTCTGAGCAAATAAATTCGCCGGAGTTCCTCCGATACGGACAGTGAAGGGTCTCAGAGCCCCGCAGCCCGGCCTGCACGGTCCACAAACGTAGAGCGTGCCACCGGACTTGGCCTGAGCCCGACCTCGGTACCTACGTAGAAACCAAAATGAGTGTCTCCCCGGAGAAACCACCTCTACCAAATTAACAACTATGTATGGAGGGCGTTAAACCAAGCGGGGCCGAAAGAACGTCCCCAGCCAAAGAAAACCGTACTGAGTGGCGGATTAATATCGCAAAGGATGATAGTTTGCGGGCAATATTAATAGTGCGGAGGCTGCTGTGGCCACCGACACCAGACCTCACGATGAGGACGGGTGGATGCAAATGGTTACTTTCCGGCGGGATTCATCGCCTTCTGCCCAAAGGCTCGCCGTTGTAATGGCTGGGCAGTCTTGGAAAAACATGGAGAAAGGTATATAAGAGGGGGAGGGATTGATCATTACATCAATATATCCAGCCAGCATCGAGAACTGAACTGGACGGAATCACGACAATGGTGCGCATCATCTCATTAATCAAGACCATCGTCTCCTTTGGGGCCCTCGCCTCTGCATTCACCAATCCCATCCGAAACCCCGAAGGCAGCGATCCCAGTGTCGTCTACTCGGGCGGCTACTATTACCTCCTGGTCACGACATGGACAGACGTGCAAATCACCCGGGCGACTAGCATCGAGGGTCTGAAGGACGGGGAGAAGAAGGTCGTCTATTCGACCAAGGACGCCTCGCGATGCTGCAATAATTGGGCCCCGGAGCTGCACTATCTCGGCGATAAATGGTATATCTATTACACTGCTGGGACTGCAGATGATACGGAAGGGCAGAAGTCGCACGTTCTAACTGGTATGGTTACCCACCTAGCCCCTTCCCGGTGGACCCACCGTTAATTCTATTCCTTTATAATGAGAGGAAGAAATTAAATAACTAACTCCAATGTGTAGGAGGTAGCACTCCTTGGGACCCCTGGTCCTACGGCGCCCAGCTAACAACAGAATGGGGCATCGACGCGACCGTCGCCCGCTTCAATGAATTCGGCAACTTCCTCGTCTTCTCCTGCTTCCATGGCGTCAAATACCAGTCGCTCTGCATGCAAAAGCTCGGCGACGACTTCATCTCCGTCACGGGCGACATCACCGTCATCTCGGAACCAACTGAAGACTTCGAAATCCACGGCACCCCTGTGCAGGAAGGTCCCGCGGCGTTGTACACAAATGGACAGACGCGAATCGTATACTCCGCCTCCTACTGCTGGACACAATACTACTGCCTAGCCAGTCTGACCTGGGATGGCAAGACGAACCCCGCCCAGGCCAGTGCGTGGACGAAATCAGATGGATGTCTACTGGCCTCGAGTAACGGGAACTACGGCACGGGACATAATAGCTTCTTCCAGAGTCCGGATGGAACGGAGGTGTGGACTGCCTTCCATGCGACGAAGAATAGTGAGGGGGCGTGTGATGGTACGCGGTATACGATGGTGCAACCGGTGGGGAGTAATAGTGATGGGACACCGAGCTTTGGGGAGGCGGCGCCGTGGACGAAGGTGTTTGAGGAGCCCAGTTCTTAGTTCGCACTCAGAAGTGCCTAAATTACCACTGGCTGAGGCGTATGGATGGGTTGGGCAGTTGTCATGGTGGAGAGTGGCTCCCTTGTTGTTATGTAGGTATCATGTCATGAAAAAAGGGTTGCAACAGATGTAGTTGTCACATACACACACACCAAGAACCCTATCCCTAAGATAAATAAAGTCGTCGGCTCATATCTGTGATTAAACCCGCAATCATAGCATATTAACAAGTTTGTACAAAGTAGTTGTCTATTTTGGTAATTCTCTTGAGCTAAGGACACCACTCAACAGGAACTATCAGTATCATATCCATGCCGGAATAATTCCATGTGCGTCAAGCGCTTTGGATGCCATCATATAAAAAAATAAAAAAATAACGCCGTTTAGGTGGAGATAAATGAAATTGAATGTAATGGGTTTAGATAGGGTGGGCCGCTCGGCAGTGAGATACGTTGGTCAGTGGACACGCGTCACCAAAGAAATGCCGATGCATGAAACAAAAAGATAGGGGAATGAAATATACTAGGTCTATTTGAGCTATATGCTTGGTTAAGCCTATTAACTGACGTGGAAAGCATTGTATGTTACAATTCAAGAGCAGAGAGTACCCCGTAGGCTGACCAGGATTGACTGCAGGAGCTAAAGATATATACAGCTATGAAAATTCTCGGGCACTACACGGCAACTTAAACTAAATCCGTATATCCATATTGCCCCTTCCAATAGCATATACTCTATTCGGCATTTGCTAAATTTGGCAACTGAAAATTTAAGCTCATCGTGCAAAGGATCATCTCAGCCCACAAGCTTCGTTACGCCGAGACATCTCATTCTTGGCGCGCAGTCACCGCGGGTCAAGATATATCCTACCGGTCGATTTGCCCCTTCAGCGAGATACAGCATCAATCTAATTGAATCCAAGCAATGCTTAACAGCTCAATCGAAAAGATTGCCCTTATTGGGGGACTCCCCCGATCCCTAGGGGAGGGCTCGGGGACTGACGCTCCGCTTAATCAGCCATCACCTTCGCCCGCGGGAGGTCCAGTAGGGCTATATTGGGAAGGAAATGGGGTTGTTGCCAATTCATAGACGCCCATTCGTCAAGCCTGGTCAATTTTCCCAAGTGGAATAAGCTTGTTTGTGGAGTACATATTGGCCGCCATCAGTTTTCGTGAAGTGTTGACGCGGCGCCAAGCAAGCTGGTGTAGGAGATGTCCCAGAGTTGCTGCCACTCAGGTCTAAGCCATTGAACATTCGGATAGGCTGGTAATCCAGGTTGTTGGACGTCCTCTTTCTATCCTAGAGGAACACGCGTCCTGGGAAAAAAGTATTGCGAGGAGATATAAATTCAGGCTCTCGCAATCATGAGCTCCAATCTTTCGAAAACTGCTTCTATAATTCTACCTTATTCAAAATGGTCCAGCTTTCGAAATTCCTCACTGTTGCAGCTGCATTCCTGGTGGCTCCTGCCATCGCCCACCCAGGAGAGAAACACGACCCCCACGTCCTGAAGAATGAGATCCATACCCGGGATGCCATGGCCGCCCACGCTAAGCGATCCCTCAATGCTTGCGAGAGCAGTCCCGCCGCGCACCAGTTGAACAAGCGTAGCATCGCCCGTCGCTCGAACACTGTCCAGAATCTCCGCCAGAAGCGCGGAATCACTTCTAGTAAGCTACATCCTTGATCGTATCACGCATGAAACACTAACTGACGTGCATCAAGGTTCCCAGAAATGGCGCCGTGACCTTGCTGCTCTCGAGAAGTGGGAGGCTATCGACCACAACCGCACTGACATTCTGGATTACAGTCCTGCGACTCCGGAGTCAGTTGTCTTTGGTGCTAACACCAGCTTCGTTCTGACGCCCACTGTCACGGACGGTCCCTACTATGTCTGGGGTGAGGTCGTGCGTCAGAATGTCAAGGAAGGGCAGTACTCGGAAGGTGTGGATGTCTTCCTCGAGGTTCAGTACATCGACGTCAACACCTGCAAGCCCGTCCCTAGAGCCATCGTCGATATTTGGCAAGCCAATGCCACCGGTGTCTACAGGTAAGCTCCTAATTGCCGTGAATGTGTCTAAACATTGCGATTGGAGCCAAATCATATATCTAACTATCCTTGTTATGAATAGTGGAATCTCAGAGTCGGGCAACTACGCCGCAGATGGCTGGGACTCCACCTACTTGCGTGGCATCCAGCAGACGGACCACGACGGCGTCGCAACCTTCGAAAGCATATTCCCAGGCCACTACGATGGCCGAGCCACCCACACCCACCTCCTCACCCACCTGAACGCAACCCTCCTCCCCAACAAAACCCTCAAGGCCGACACCGGAAGCGTCGCTCACATCGGACAGCTGTTCTGGAATGAGGTGCTCCGTACTGCCGTTGAAGAGACGTCCCCCTACAACACCAACAGCCAGGCTGTCACCTCCAACGCCGAGGATATGTGGAGTATCTTGCAAGCTGATAACGCTTACGATCCCTTCCCTGAGTACATTTACCTCGGCGAGGGCTTGGACGATGGATTATTCGCTTGGATTCAGATTGGAATCAACACCACCGCCGATTACACCGATCACTCGTACTACAATATTGCCGCGTACCACTATGCTGATGGTGGTTACCAGAACTCTGATAGCTCGATTGGTGGCGGTAGCGGTGGTGGTGCCTCTGGTTCTCCTCCTAGTGGTACCGCTATGCCTAGTGCATCTGCCTCGTCTGCTTAAGTTATTGGATCAATGATGGAATGTACTCAGTCACTGATCTGAAGAGCTTGATAGCAGGTTGCTCCAGGGTAGTGAAGACCGCAGTGCATCTCTTTGCTAGACACTGCATGTAAATGTTATCCTGTTAGTTATGTACAAACAAATAGACATTGTACATATATAGGCTCAGTAGACACATTTCATACCGACATTTTCTATGTGCAACTTCGTCTTTCTGATTCCCCTTCTAAGGAGCTTCCCTGTGGTTTCTACGAGCATGAATAAACTTCGGCACATAAGTTAAGCCCCGACAGGTGTGCACCGAACAGGGACAATTGCCCCCTCAGCGGGCTAACAAGTTGTTATGGCACAGGGCATAGTGTGGAAATATCCGCGCACGGACGGCGTAGTTTTGAAGATCGTGGGAATCATCGAATTTGGAAGGACACCAAAAAGTTATTAATAGTATTATTATTATTATTGAGCCAAGCCTCTGCAATTAAGGTATCATACGCACAATTTTCAGAGATGGGGTAGGTCATCTCTCGTAGTTACAGTCCTCTAAGCCTTGAGCCTTGGGTTGTACGTCTAGATAAATTGGTATTGTACAAAGTGCCTCGGCTTCAATGTCGCTTGTGATAGACAACTGAGTTTAACAGTCAATAAGTTGCAGAAACCTAAAATTCACACTATACACCAAGGTTCAATATAAACCAACGTTCAAGGAAGGTTGTGTACAGAGAGAGCAGGTCCATGGTTCGAAGCGGTTCGCAATTAGAGTTCAAGCCATCTGGAATCGACACACCAACCACGTTTCATCTACTGCACCATCAATAAGGTTGGACGTAAAACGTCCAATCATCAAGGAAATCTCCATTTTACAACCCCATGAACCCTGGAACCCTGGAACCCTGCTCCGTGAGGACCAATGTGGCTACATACCTATCCCCCAGTTCCAGGGTTATATTCAGCTGTTACAGCACGGGCGCTGGAGTCCTCAAGAGGAGGGAAGCCGAGCGAAACTCAAGACATGCCACAAGCATTTTCCTGCAACCTCCAATTCTTTGTAACCATGCCAAGTGCCGGTGTGCGAAAACTGGTATCAAGTGATGGTGCGGCCCAATAAAGAAAAATGAAGCATACAAAGGATACCCATTCCCATAATTTGCGCTTGGTTAGAACGCTGGAATTTTGTGTTCATTCAAAGGAACCACACTCGACACGGGTAATAACTCAAATTTCAGTACAAAACAACTCTGCTACGATAGAGTGACCCCAACTTTTCGGCCGTTTTGGGTGGTTTTGTGCGGCGATCTATTGCTATTGAAGATAGACTTGATCTGAAGATCCAGTCCCCATTTTGCCCCCACTAGCGAGGTATGATTCACCGGTTGATCCCTCTAGTGATGGCCCATTCTTTGCAGGACTGACGCCGAGTTAGGGGTCTTTAACGAAAATAGAAAACTTAGGGGTCTAGAGCCTACGACAAAGAAGTCAAGGTTCATTGAAACCAGAATAGCTGGGCGGATGATCTTCGAATATAACCATGATGGATTTCCCCATTTTGTTTTCTTCTTGGCATTTTCTGTCTATAGATGCGGAGGGGATTCTCACGCCTTCTACTCTCTCATTATGGATGCTAAAATTGACCCGCTTGAGGGGCTCGACCTTGATGACAGCCACAACATCGCTATTTTGACAGTTACTTCTGTCTTCTTCGGTATTTCGCTGGTGAGCGTTATGCTAAGGTGTTTCGTTCGCACCCAAGTGGTTCGTGCCTGGGGTTGGGATGATGGAACTATGGTAATAGCTATGGTAAGCTACCCTGCACCTTCCACGTAGCGAACAACTACTAATACAACCCCTTCCCATACAGGCGCTCAATACGGCCTTCGCCCTCTGCGGAATCTTCGGATGTAAATACGGCTTCGGGAGAGAAATGGGTTACTTCATCCTGCACCCAGACGACCTCCACCGCGCAATGCTGGTACGATCCCAGCCCTAGTATTCCGAACTCAAGCTTACATACCCCCAACAGTGTTGGTGGCTAGGCCAACAATTTTACGTATTAACCTGCGTCGTCGCTAAAATCTCTATCATCATCGCCCTTCTCCGAATCACCATCTCTCGTGTCCACGCCTACATCCTCTACGCCGCTATGGCCCTGGCCACCGTCATTGGTCTCCTCTTCTTCTTCTTCACCATATTCCAATGCTCCCCCGTCGACTATTTCTGGAACCGCGCACAGCCTAACGCTCATGGCTCGTGCATCAGTAAAAACCTCCTCATGAGTATCGCGTACTTGTATAGTGCCGGCGCCGCTATAACCGACCTTACTATTGGATTCCTTCCGGTGGCGTTGATCTGGGACTTGCATATGAATCGCCGCACTAAGGTTGCCGTTGTCGCTGTTCTGGGTATCGGCTGCATGTTCGTTACTCAAAAGCACTTCTGTTTAATATATTCGGTGCCAAATGCTAACATCCCTGCAGTGCGAGTGCTGCGGTTATCATTCGCATCCCCTACATCCCCACTTACAAAAGCCCAGACTTCCTCTGTACGCACGATCCTTTCTTTTCCGCCATCTCAACGCCCCCAATTTTAATACAGACACTCCCACTAACACCCAATAGACACCACTTACCAACTCTCTATATGGTCCAACATCGAAGCAGGAATCGGCATCACGGCCGGCTGTCTAATAACCTTGCGACCCTTGGTCCGCTTCTTGCGCGATAGCTCCTCCGATGCCACACCAAACTCATATCCTCTACCTAACAAGGTTGCCGGCGGCTTCCACCGTTCTGCGGCATCAAAGCAGATATCCGCTGATGACGCGCACCAGCTCTGGACTGATAGAGGGACTGACAAATACCGCGGCGTCACTACCACTATCTCCGGAGCTCGCCAAAAACAACTTAGTTCCAGCGAGGAGGCCCTGGCTCCATATAGTAATGACCCCAATTCTCCGGGGTGGATGGTGGAGAGGGCTGTTCACGTGTCCTATTCATGATGTCCATGGATCGGCCCAAGTCCCGGCCCCGGTGGCCTAGGCCCTTGAGAGGGTTCTGTATATAATTTACTTCATGATCTGACGTATAAGTATTCGGCAATTCAGTATTTCGATTCAAGATTTCTGCATCCATTGTCCTTTTTTTTTCCAAACCTTAATATCGAAACGTGCTGGTTTCTTATGCAAGAGTAGCCCGTTTGCCCAGCTATTGTGGGATCAACAGCCGATCACGATATGCCGTTTAACCGAACGATCTTCACTCTGTTCGGAGAAGGCACCAACCTGGGAAGCTAACCAGCCGACGCCGTATGATGATGTTCTGATGTTATGTCTAAAGGTTACCAGTTCGAAGGGAATATACTATAGCAATTCCTCCGAAATGATAATTCGAATATCGACAAGCTAATACCCATGGCAAAAGAGGCCACATAGAAACCAAGATCGAGCTTGCCTGTCTTCCCTATTTTTGGGGTCCAAGTATGTATCCGCAGATCTAAAACCTTTCCCCATATTTATATATATTTTATTTTTCAATAAGTAACTGTTAGGAACCCAGTAGTTCCTAAAGGCGTAGTCTACCCACGTGGCATTATAGCCTCAGGATCGTTGGCAACAATCAATTTGCTGAAACATACAAAGTCAATTCACACATGGCATCATATACAACCAATCAGGTATTCGCCCCGTTGGTTATTAATTATCTCACTGATTGGCATCCTGCGTCTTCTCACGCACAAGACCCTCCTGGGACTCAGCAGGCCGAATCGAATAGGGATCGACAACAGTCGACGAGAATTTGCTCGCCTTGATCTTACTAGCAAACAGGATATCCAGCTCGGCGTAGGTGCGGTCCTTCGCCTCGGGAAGGCGGAAGAATGCCCAGACAAAGGCAACAAGTGCCGTAGCACCCCAGAAGAATCCAGTCTTACCGGACGCGTTCCACGCGGTCGGGTTCATAAAGTACGGCTCCAGAACCTGCGATACCACGTTGCTGATCTGGTATTCTGTGCGCGCGAGACAGACTGTCAGAGGACGTAGACGCACAGATGATGTCTCCGAGACGATGGCGTAGGCGATGGGCCCGACGGTCAGGGAATAGGTCAAGAGCCAGAAGAAGCACAGTCCGGCTTGCGCCCACATTATGCCATTTGCAGAGGAGGAGACATCCAAGATACCGATTAGCAAGAGTGTTGCGCAGAGCATTCCCTGGCCCACAATGTATAGCGTGCGCCGCCCGAACCCGGTGATCAACCACCAGGAGAAACAGGTTCCAACGAAGGCAATGGCAGTGCATCCGACGCCGAGCTGGAAGGACCGGGTGACGGGAAGGCCGGCTTGGGTGAAGAAATATGTAGGTGAGTAGGCAAATGTACTGCCGGATAGAATCTGGCCGACGAAGGCCATGCAGCAAATCTCGGTACGGCGAAGGTCAACTCCTTTGAAGCAGTCGTAGTAGGTGGTGCCGGCTTCGATCTCGGATTCGAGCTTTATCGTGTGCACCATCATCGCCAGTTGTCCGTTGATCTGGGCTTCGGTCTTGCTGCCGCCCAGGCGGCGAATGCTGCGCTTGGCATCTTCCAGGCGATCATGGCGGACGAGCCACCAGGGACTCTCGGGTGCGAGCCAGCAAATCACCATCAAAGGAACGGGCCAGATCCACTGTAGGCCGAAGGGAATACGGTAGCCCCATTGGTCCTTTCGATCGACGAGTCCGTAGAGAACGCCGGAGGCGATCAGCTGGCCGATAGCCCAGCACAAGTTGACATAGATGGTGAGGTAGCCGCGCAGCACGGTGGGGCATACTTCGGATGCGTACGCCGGTCCGATGGTGGCGAACACTCCCCACGAAAGTCCGCAAAGGACCTGGCCGGTCAGAAGGACTGCTGCGGAGTTGGCGAAGAATGTGATGAAGATCAAAGCAGTGAGGAATCCAAGGGCGACGAACATCACAAGTCGGTAACCGTACTTGGACGCACAGTATCCGTTCAAGATACCGCCTGTGAACATGTTAGTCTTTTATCCTACTTTGGCGATCGGTACGAAAGCTCACCGAAGATACATCCAACAGTACTGGCCATGTTCAGACCAGTTTGCCAAGGTGCAGACACCTGCCATCCGATCTTACCACCATAATCCTGTCCATACTTCTGATTGAACGTGGGGTAGGCGAAGAAATTGCCCATCAGGATAGTATCGTACCCCTCCATGATAATGGACAAGGAGATCAAAACAGACCACATGACAGCCTTGCGGTTCTCACGCAACGCTTGCATCAGTGTCTGCGAGTGCTCATCGTCGGTTGCCTGCTTGGCCTCGCTGATCGCGCCATGGCCCAGGGTATCTTCGACATGGTTGGCGGCAGACTTTTCAACCGCAAGTACACTATCGAGAGTGGTCGCCATGGTGAATAAGGGACCGACGTTGACTATTGCAATACAAGATCCCACTAGATCTCAAACCCGAGGGGGGAAACCGTCATCTATATATGTCAATTATCGTGACATCCAAACTGCTACGATCCACTCTGCATTAGCGTGTATCCGGGGTTGTGGAGAAAGAAAAGGCCATTTGGCACCGGATCCCCAGACTGCAATCAGACCATCTTGGTATTCAGGCTAATTACCATGCTGGATTAAGTGTGGGAAGAAGACATATCTGTCGTACATATCCCTTGTCAGCGAGTCTAGACCAACTCTGGAATGTCCGACATGATGGTGTGAATATTTACACCTATCGGTAGGGAGAATATCGACAAGTCGGCATTGTTAGAAATAATTCACCCGCCAGTAAGTGTTCGGGTCTGGGGAAGCGAGGTTGGGGAAATACGGGGAGGCGATATGATTGGACCTGGCCGCGTAGCGTTGACGCCCCCGGAATGTATGAATGAAGCTATCCCTTTTCTGTAGCGGAAAGCAGACCGCACATTCAATCGGGAATAGGTACCCAGAACAACATTATGGATCTAGCCAGGAGTTCTTTCGCCTATTGGAACAAGACCCACGTCATGTGTGGTCGAATATATATATCACGGCGTTAGGGACCGACCTGCGTAATGTGGTGACCCTGAGGTCCCGGATTCCCGACATTCGACCCTCACAGCCCCCCAAATGGACATTCGTATAGCTCTCGGCATCCTCGAAGAAAGGCCACCACAACACGGAGGTGTAGGGTACGTTCCCATGAGTTTTACGTCGTGGTGTTTGGGTTCCGGATTAATACAGTAATCTGACTCATGTTAGTGTTCGTTCTCAAATTTTAACAAAGAAAGCCATTCATACCATACGCAAGGCGTACTACGAATGGAACGGGGCAGACATTAAAACAGACACGGCGGCTCAGGTTTGTAGCCATCTATCTATGAATGCCGAGGCCACCGTTAGTGCTGTATATAGATAGGGGATATGGCTCAAGTCTTTCCTATATATGACTCGCCCCTTCCACCTAAATGCCATGTGAGCCATGCTCCTGACTGAAAGCGAGGAATTCTTCCATTTCCATTTTTTGGGACCAGTAATCATTTTCCCGTGAACCCAGTAAGTGACTGAACCAGGATTATCACTACAGACAAGGTCTCCAGAACGGTAAGCGGATATAATAGGTATCACGTTCGAGGTATTCTCATTATCATTTCCTAACTCATCGAGGTGCTTTTAGATCTTCTCTAGAGATTTAAGGCGCTAAATCACTTCCTAGCGTTGACCGGTAGGCTCGGAGTTCATTATATCTCTATAAGAGAGCGTATTAGTTATTGCTATAAGAAAGGGTAGTAGGATTTCCTTACCTCTAGTTTGCTTCTTACTTTAGTACATTTTGAATTTATCCTCCCAAATATCCGGTAGGATTCCCTTATCGATTCCCTATAACACCTTTCAATCATACTATCGACATCATTATCGCGGAATAGTTAGTAAATAGTTGATAAATAAACAAATCCGGAATAGGTCTTACTGCTCGGTAATATGATTCACATAAAGTCTAGCATTCTAGTATCTGAGCGGGATCTGTTATAGGAACGTCACGATAGCCCTATTGTTTCGGTGGCTTGAAGGTGCCGTGAACTTGCCGAGATGACTTAGGAATATATAGAGCATGGTCGTTGGCAAGTGCAATGTGGGGCAGACGTCGGTTTTGCTTCTTTTCAAAGGCTCAATTGTAAGTAATTTGTATCGATAACATAAGGGACAAGGAGATACAATACCTGCTTACCTTTCTTTAAGGTAGGATTTGGCTTGGTGTTGTGATTCGAGTCGTAGTTAGGAGCCTTTGCTTCTCTGTGTCGCTTCTTATTTGGGGGAGACTAGGCAGAAGGGTGTCATTTGGTTTCCTGATCCAAGGAGTGGTTGGCATATTGGATCAACGTCATACTAGGTTGTTTATGAGAGAGGACAAGCTGGTGAATGACAAACTGAGGTGAGAGAGAGGAAGAGATGAAAAACTAGTGAAGCTGTTAGGTGCCTGGGTGTCTGAGGCCCATGGCCCCACTTGGGACAGATCCATTTGCAGTATATAGTTAGTCTCTCTCTCTCTCCTTCTCTCCTTATCTCCTTCTCCTCTCCGTCCAACCCAGACAGATGAATCCCACAGTGTTGTTTCTCCATATTGCAACCCCGTAGGACCTCTATCAGGTTATGTGCCTTCGCTTGTTCCGAGCAACGCTTTTTTGAGACCCAGTAGCTGGGGTAGCGGCCCCCGAGGCTCCCTACCCCGCATCCCCCGGCCACGAAAGAGACGCCCACGATGAAAAAGTCACCGACTATGACTCGTTTCTCTGCCCAGGAAAATGAGCAGATGAAGTCCGGGGACCGAACGGCATTTGTGGCGCTACCTAAGAGTATGAAGACCAAGCGCGCCGCAAAGAATGATGAGCTCAACAAGCACATCACGCGCTCGTGTAAGAAATTTGGGCTAGAAGCAGTTCTCCAATCCGGCGATTCCTATTTCGCCGTTGTTTTCGATACAACGGAAAACCGAGATCGGGCTCTGGAGGCTGTGCGGGCAAAGAGATTTCGTCAGGACTCAGTGGTGGTGCCTGTATAAGTAATGCCGTTCGGGGTCTCGGATGAGGCCACGAACACAGTATGGACGGTGCCGGGGGGAGTATGGGGACACGACGGAGAAGATCGCCGGCGCCATTCGGGCCCAATTTGGGGACGATAAAAACGCCGAGGCGTTCTGCTTAAAGGTAACGGTTAAACGGGTTCTTCAGCATGACATCCCAAACGGACAGTTTATGGTCCGTTTCGAAAAACCGGCGCCGTGGCTCGGTAAGCAACTGCAGATGGCCAACGGTTTTCGTTTAATCACCTGTGAGCCGGCGGACCGATGCCGGTTTTGTGGGCAGAAGGAGCATGGTCCCTGGGATTGTGAGGAAACCTCCACCTTTTCGCTGCTAGCACCCGGGACCGTTTGGACTGTGTTCACCCCCCCTTGGCCGTCCAAAGCAACCCGCTCTCCCCGCCGGGAAAGGAAGTTCTCCCCAGAAGAAACGCAAGACTGCACATGACACCGAAAAGGACCTAACCATGGCGGTGGCGTCGCAGGAGAAGAGCGAACCGTACGAAGAACCACCGGGGGAGCTGTGAGGAGCACCAGACGAGGATATGGACTGGATTAGTTAGGATCTGTGAGGGGAATGTTCAAGTCACCCATGGAAAGCCAACGTCCCAAGGTTGTAGCTTACAGATAAACTGCGTTAGGTAGCACAGGACCATGTCAGAACACTCATGACCGGTAAATCTAAGAAGTTGTTAATGGATTGAATCATTCAGTATACTACATATTACTACCTAGGTAGTCGCCACAGCTCCAAACCATCTTAGGACTAGCGGCTGATAGTAGTCCAATAAGGATATGATCACGAGTGGTGGAGCTCCCGCGGAGAGATTGAGAGAAACATCTCGACTCGGCCGTGACACAGATAACTACATTCATGGATCATTTCTGGTAGTCTAAACGAGGCTGGGATCACGGCGGGGTTGGTGGTCGACCAGCTCGTTAAGCAATGCTGACTTGATAAAGCGGCCTTCCATAGCGCAAGGAAATGAACCGCCCAATCGCCAGGGGGCTCCTCGGTGATCGCGGTGGGAAGGGAATTGTCCTCGCCGAGGCGGTGATACGTGGACCGACTATAAATGTTAGTGCAGCTCCTTATAACTAAAAAGAGGACCCTACAAGGAATTATCCATTGTTGAATAATATTTGTTGAGGCGAGGGAGACAAAGAAGAAGGGAAACAAAAGAAAGAAAAGAAAGAAGATCAGGATAGTGGCTTAGAACAACAATAGCAGTCGTTTCATTCTTATGTACACCAGCAGACCCACTGACTAAGAAGTTCAATTTGACCCTTTCCTCGTTATTATTTCGACATTGAACAAACTAACATTTATGCCTAACATCTACACCCTTGACTACTCGATCAGACCAGGAACCTGCACCTTACGAGTCCCTCCTCATTTACATCTCTGAATGTATGCCAAGAAAGTTAATAGTGTTGAAAACATTTGGTATGTAGTGTAAAGGAGGGATGCAGCACCACCAGTATGCATAAATGGGGGTATAATAACAGGAACCAAATGAAACACAGCTATGCAACAAATCAATAGAACAACAAAGTCAGCTCCCATCAATCCGCATCAACGTCCTAAACTCATTATCCCGAATACTCGTCTCGGGAATCATCAATCGGGGCACCCAATACGGCTTCATATCCACAATGCTCACATCCCTCCCCGCCGAATGGACAGACCAATTCGTCTCATTGTTCGATCCGAGGTAGAGGCCTTCGATCGGCACACCGTGACGGTAGCGTCTGTATGCCTGTACAGGTTGAGCTTCTGGTTTGCCCCAAACGAGTCGCCCTGTGCTAGGGTGGTGGTCTATTCCGACGGCGTGCCAGTCTAAGGCGCCGGCGCCGGGACCAGATAGCACGTATGCTTCGATTATGTTCAGGATGCCGTTGCAGCGGAGCTGGGTTTTGATGTTGTTATTGTCGCTTACGATCGTGATCTGAATCTTTGTTAGTCATATTGGTCTTCTGTGTTGGTGTTCGTATGTATTCATGGATGGTGAATACATCGATACCAAGGGTAAGAACTAACAAATCCATGCTCGATCGTATTAGGCCTATCACCGCGCTGCCGTGTGATATCGCTGCTAGACCCGAAGCCCTCGATACTGCACATCCCTTGAGGCCCGCTTCCATTGTAGCAGCTGTCGACCTTGATTGTCCAGGGCCCGGCGATCTTTGTGTCATTGTTGTACGATGGGAGCTGGGAGCAGTCTGTGATGAGCTCGATAAAGCGACCTTGTTTCCATTGCTTCGCACTGGCGAGTAGGAATAGAGACGCAAAGACAGCACTGGTGAGCATGATGTAGATTGTGGTGGTAGAGAATACGAAAGAACGCTCAGTTTTTGCCATCTTTTCGAACAGAGAACCGGTAAATCTTTATATTTCTGCCTTTGGAACGGGTGGCCATGTTTCTGCGATCCCAACTTTGCCCTTTGAAACCCTCATTCTTTTTTTTTCCAGAGTCCCCATTCAGCCAAAGGTCTGTCTTCTAAATTGGGGGTCCTCTCTTTCTAGGCTGCAACAAACCACCGTTATCAATCCACTTGGTCGCCAAGCTAGAGGATTTAACCTTTTGTGATTGGTTGTGAGATGAGCTTATCTCGCAAGGCTTACTGCTTCTCAGGGGGAAGGTTCATTGGACATATATATCACCACCCCACATAGTGTATCCCTCACTTCCGGCTAAAAGGCTTGACTTAAGAGCCAAAAACGTGGAAAAGACCGTGCCGTGTCTTTGATGTATTTTAGACCCTGAGATTGAGACTAAAATTAGTGAAAATAACCGAGGAGTGCTTGCCATCCACGGGGGTGCCGACAGCTTAGTGATAACCTTTTTTTATGTCTCACTTTCGTCTTTCCCTTCTCCGACTAAATTCGTGTACGTTGTATATATCCATACTCTTATCTCGTTATAGATATCCCATGCTATGCTATAGAATCCTAATATAATTTCTAGTCTAGTAGTCTAGTCATCTACTGGCGAGCAAGAAGCCCTTCAGCTTCTTCGGCATACTCAGCAGGCCCACCATGTGACTTGTCTAGGGTCTCAGCCATAGCCAAACCTTCACGACGACCCTTGTCCGCATTAACCATCCAGACAAGCGGAATAGGCAGAATAATTATCACCGCGATGAAGAAAAACCCACTCCGAACCTGACCAGTCACATCAACAAGGGCACCCACGATGGCCGGTCCAATGAACGAACTCCCCTTGTCAGTAGCAGCATAAAGAGCGTAGAATGCAGCCTCACTACCAGGCGGAATTAAAAGTCCAAAGAACGATCGGCAGTATGATGCCAGTCCCCCGGATACTACGCCGTGCACAATGGCTAACGGGAATATCTCCCACGGCTGTTGTAACCCGAACACCCCCAGTTTTTGATGAAGGGGATATAAGCAAGCAACCCGTAGAGTGGAATTAACTCAAAAAGGACAATGCAGACGATGATGGTGTGATTCGGTTGTAGGCCGAAATACCGAGACACATGTGGCCATAGGAATGCGCCCGTCATGCCGGATACCGTAGCGGTGATAGAGAGGAGCCCGATCAGCGGGGTGCTCAGTTTGAGTTCCGTGCGCGCGAACAGGATGGCTGTTCCTGAAACAGTGGCCATTGCATCGGAGAGGAGGAACCATGCTACGAGGAAGATAAGGACTTCACGCAGTTTGCTGGCTACTTTGACTGTCTCCCACAGTGATTTCCACGCAAAGCCGACTAGTCGTAGCCAGGCCCGCCATCTTCCGGCGCCCTTGGTAGAGACAGTATCCAGAGGTGGCCCCGGCCGGGTCTTGAGCAAATTACGGGTGACCAAGGTGAATACGCCCCACCAGATGCCGACCAGGAGCAAAACAAAGCGCATGGGGAGAGTGGCAGACACTTTTGCAAGGGAGGTCTTGGATAGTGTGATGAGCATGATAATACTGATGATTTGGACAAACACAGCAGCACAATATCCAAGACCGATCCCCCTGGAGGAGATTTTGGTCGACAGCTGCAGCTCCGGTGAAGACGACGGCGGGCCCTTGGGTCCCATTCCACCTTCTAGTGAGCTTCGTGGCTGCCCCGATGGTTGAAGTCCATCTAAACTATCGTCGTCGGCATCATCGTTACCCCAGGCATTCCACCCCGAGTTAGCTCCGTCTCGGTCAAAGCTCGACATTTCCGCGCCGTCATCGGCCTTCCCCTCTTGCAGTGACGGGTCGTTGGCCACGAGCACAGGCAGGTAAGAGTTCAGCACAACAAAGGAAGAACCGAGACAGGTCACACCGACGACTACCAATATCGATCCAAGAACGAAGACGGGCGGTGCAATGAATATGAACAACATGCTGGCGAGCGCACCGGCGAATCCGAATACCATCAGCAATGTCTTGCGATTGTTCTCTAAACATCCAATCGAAGTCAACTCCTATCCTTTTTTTTCGTTCGATACATTCTCAGTCTGGCGTGCTGCAATCATACCGTAATCCGCCAGCGCGCTGAACGATATCAGTGTCAGCGCCTGGATAAGTACTGCCAGTGAGAAGGTGTACATGGCGAAGCTGGCTGTGTTGAGCTCCAGGCCGAAGACCGGAACCACACATGGGCCATGTTCAGCATTATTCGTGCTGTTCCCTGCGGATGATCCGACACAGGGAAGGCGGCTCGTTTGTAGGGTGCCGCGCTCTCGGGCTAATTGTTCCAAGGTGAGAGGTAGAAAAGAGCCTGGTAGAGTAAGTTAATTTTTTTTAAATTTTTTTTGGGTGGAAATGTGTCTTTACGAACCTACACCACAGACCGCGAACACTTCAGCTGCAATCCCGTAGGAATACCATCCTAAGATCTCCCGGCGGGTTGTTGGTGTGGTATCTTCACCGGCATACCGTGGAGGTCGCTGCTGTACGCCTTCGACCGGGGACTGGAAGGCAGCAGATATATAAGATAGCATCGGGGGAGGTGTTGAAGTTGTCCCAAGGAACCCAGAAATTCGAAATTCCTGGAACACACCGACACGGATGCGCGCGGGACTAGCATTCCTGGTGATGTCATCCGATCGGCAGGGTCTACACCGTTTTGGGAATATCTTCATCTTCATCTTCTACAGAGTATACTTCCCCTTCCCTATATTGTATAATATCATACACAGCGCATTCCCAATATTCGTTTTGTTTTCTTAAAAACATCGTTATTACTATAAGAATTGGGGAATCGAGATGGTAAGAAAAAAAAAAACATTTTATCAAGTTCATTTATATATTTTTGCAAAGCTCCACAACGGGCGACTAAATATAGTGTAGGGGGATTTTGAAGGATTTTGAAGGATTTTGGTGCCTGGATACCTGAATTCGTACCAAAACTGTGTCCTGTAAATGGTGAATACGTCAACCTTTTCCTGTTCGTTTATGCTAATTATACGAATCCCCCTATTTCCTAACCCTATGTCTCCGCTGACTTCACCGAAGTATAGCGACTGGAGATCGAGCATGCTTCCGTCTTGCTGGCCTTTCTACCGCTAATCCCTATGTTTTGAACTTCCAAACCGGCCAGAAAGAATGGAGATGTCTGATTTGTATAGAGGTCAAAAGCTTCTTTTTTTGTACTTGTAGACGCGAGCAGAATCACCTGGGCAGGATGCTTTGATCACTAAAGGCATGTAAACCTTGGAAAGTAATTCAGGTATTTCTGCCGTTCTAAATTAAGGCATTGAAGAATAAAATCCTCCTAAAAGTGGGGTTGGAACCCCAGCCCCTATACGTCTTCGTACACGTTTGACTATGTTGCAGAAATATATAATCGTGAAAGGCCTGAAAGAAACTCCATTTGAATAAAGATGACAATACCGGAGACATCCTCTCTGATAACTTCGAACGACAGGATGTGTATTCTTGATAGTGTATGAGGCAGTACTCAATGAGTGCGTGCGTGGGATCCCTCGTTAGCTCCCCGGGAGGATTTCCTTCCAAGGTTGTCCGTTGAGACGGGATCTTACTAATTGCGGCGACGTCAACCTGAAGTCACCCATATTTAACCACCTAGGTAGACCAGTGAACAGTAGGTAGTTATATTTCACGTTTAATTCATTTAATTCACTTCAACCTGTTACTCAAAATGTCGCGTTCTGTCTTCCTTCTTGGTCCCGGATTTATCGGCGGAGAGATCCTAGACCTCCTTCTCATATCAAACTATAAAGTAACAACCCTTGTTCGTCGCGAATCAGCCGTTGCAGACTACACCAATTTAGGCGTAGAAACCGTGGTTGGTAATCTGGACGACTCATCAGTGATCAAGGAGCAGGTCGCAGTTAGTGACGTTGTCCTCCACACCGCAACCGCAGACCACTTGCCATCTGTTCAAGCAATCATCGATGGCATCAGACAACGAGCGGCAGAAGGGCTAAGGACAATCTACATCCACAACAGCGGAGCAACCTTGCTCTCCGATACCGCCCAGGGAGAGTACAAAAGCGATGCCATATATGACGATGAACTGTCCGGAGAGATCAATGCTTTGCCCGATTCTGCATCTCATCGCCAAATCGACTTGGTCATCGTCAGGGCAAGTCAAGAACTAGCCTCACACGCCAAAATGGCGATCATGATTCCGCCCCTTATATACGGCGTGAGCACTAGGGAGAACCGCCTATCAATTCAATTGCCAACGCTCATCCGGTACTCTATCAAACATGGCTATGCGGGTCAGATCGGGAAGGGTCTCGCGGTTTGGAGTCAGATTCATGTTAAAGACCTTGCTAGGGGATATATGGTTCTCCTTCACTGGATGGAGCGTGTGCCTGCCACTGAGATTGCGCTGAATCCGTACTTCTTTTGTGAAAATGACCAAGAGTTGTCTTGGGGCGAATGCGCTGCTGAGATTGGCCGTATACTGAAGAAGGCAGGGCGTATTGATCAATCTACGCCGAAACCCATCCCGAAGGAAGACTGGGGTGATTTGTTCGGGGATTTTTCTGGGATGATGCTCGGATCAAACGCACGGAATAGGGCGAATCGACTTCGGAAATTGGGGTGGGCACCCTTGGAAAAAGGCACCCTTGCCTCCCTGACCGAAGATGAGATTCCAATCATCATGAAGGAAACCGGGGAGTTCAAAGGTTATGCGAGCGTCGTTGCATCATAACTGGGATCACTCAACCGCTACCCTTCTGCCTCTGAATTACTCCCTGTATTAAGATGCTTCTTTGTCAGATAGAGACCTTGCCGTTGTCCTGTATTACTGAGAGGCTCAGTTTGAAAAGGAAAGATCATGACATGCATTGAGTACACATCATCCCGATAGGACTGTTTCGTGATGCGCAAATTGGAAGAGAAGAAACCACGAGCTTTGAAGACCTGTTTGTCCCCAAAACTGATTTTACACAGTAAGACCAGGAGCTCAAATGCTTTAATTTATGTCCAGATGTATACGCGATATAGAATGAAGCGTATGGAACTGGAAGATCAGAAGTTCACAGCAAAAAGATGAGAGCTGAGTCGCACTTGCCGATTCCGGGCCGGTGTAGGGCAGTGTAGGGCACCTTCCCAATCAGGCCGCACTTACCCTTCCCCCAAAGTCAACATCTCAGAAATGTTGTTCTTCCTTCATCTTCACACAAAGACAATTCACATGTGCAGTTCTGCCAAATCTATGTGCTATGGCGATTCTACATTATCTCGAATTCATCATCGGCCGACTGCTATACCCAATCCGTGGCCATGATTCAGGCCAGATCATTCACTGCTCGGCCTTCAAAGACATGCCCGAGCCCAACATGACCCTCGAATCACCCGAGGCCGGCCCCTCGGGCTCCAAGCTACCTCTCCACTGTACCTGCAAGGCAGTTGATGGCAAGGGCTGTCTTCCAGAGTTACTCTGGACTGCTCCCAACTGCCAGGAGGAAGTCAAGGAGTATGTACTCCTCTGTGAAGACCTCGATCCACCGATCCCATTCCTCGTCTTTCATCACGGCCTGATCTGGGCAATTCCACCCTCGACTACCAAGGCCGAAGCGGCCAATCTCCACCCCGATGAACACGCCAAGGTTTCCCGCCTGACCGTTGCTGGCTGGCGCTTTGTGCCCAACATCCTTGGACTACCATATGTCGGTGCTGGCGCACCCCTTGGCCACGGAAAACATCGCTACGTCTTCACCATTATTGCCCTCAATGAGTCGCTCAAGTTCAAGTACCCTGAGAACGCGACCAAGAAGGATATCAAGCGCGCTATTACGGGAAGGGTTATCGGATGGGCACAGTGGACTGGAACCTTTGAAAAGCCCTGGCCCAACTAGGTCATCTTCAACTCAGTTTATTTTACATGAACACAACCAGCGTGGGACGAATGTGGGTGAGGGTTTGACAAATGAGCCCAAGGTGCTTCAGCAGCGGGTGTGTACTTCGTTATCTTACATTTACCAGGATCCTCCATGTAAGTATCATTACGGAACTAAAGTCCTAATAACAACACATCTCTTGACATCCTTGTATTCAATTCTGTTTTGCATTTTATGACTAATTTGTGCAATCATCACTAGAAGTAGCCCATGGCATCCAGACATGTTCAAAATACCGTGGATGATATCTCACATCAGAGCAGAGTTACATATTCTGTTCTCATCTGGTACGCAAAAGGCTTGTCGACCAATAAACGTCCACATACGTGCAGGCATTGTCCTATGGGGGTTTAAAGCCCATCTCTCACTCTCTAACGGGTCTACGAATTCTATCCTTCAACGATCAACCAAACCCTAGAACCCCCCAGCTCTTTATTTTCAGGCTTTTTTTCAATGTCGCGAACTTCATTTCTACCACCACGGCAACATTTGCTTCGTTCGGCCGATATCAACGTGGAGGAAAAAGAGCCGGTCTGCTATGATACTTGAGATATTCTCCTCCGAGATTGTAATGAAAGCAACATTTCCAGGTTTCCGTCCAGAAATCCACCGAAAGCTTATCCCTTCCCGTAAGATCCTTCCTTTCGGCATATTCCGAGGTTGTAAAGTCCTCGTCGATTGTCATAAGATTCCACAATTCGGCAACGACAAAGGTTCAATGCTAGTACATGACCGGGCTATAGACAAGCAGGGGAATGAAAACTTCTGCCGCTGGAGAACTAGTTTTTGTGTTTGGTATTTACATCCTGATACATGTGTCGTCGTCTCTTTTGGATATGTTGCGCTCGAAAAGCGCCCCAAAATGGTCAGTCGAGAAAATCCTGCTTGGCTTAAAGTTTTCTGTGCGAGCCAGCTGACACGACGACCATTGACAGTGCAACGCAACTCATCCCGGGGAGTTGGCTTTGTTGATTCTGGCTCGGATTACTGGTCAAATGCTTTTATGATGATCCAATAATCTGCCGGCCAGTTTGATGTCTACGGTATCTACTCGGCTCGGTGATTTATTCAAGTTTTTGGCTTTCTTACAAGAACGACCCATACAGCTTCAAAGAAACGCTCTATATCATCACCCTCCTCCCCGGTTGATTACTTACTACTGACTATTGAACAATTTAGAAAGACCAACGAGCTCTCGAGTTCCATTCCGCGTCTACTATATACACACATTCAACCAGTGATCACTCGAAAATTCGAATAATCGACTGAAGCCGACGATCTGTCTCGTCCACCATCACAAGGTGCCATTTTGAAGGCGAGGCACATTGGAGGTCTTGGTTGATGAAACGGACGATTATTGACAAATGAGATAGGCAACGGCGCATCTGGCTGATGTCCTCCTCTCCCCACACGGAATGAACCCCCCTTGCGCCGAGGTAGTGGCCAATTTGGCCCTCACCTTCAACGCCCGTGCTGCATTCTCAATCGCCATGACTAATAAAGTGAGAATGTTAACCCTGGCGTTTGAAGCACAGCACGCTGGACATTGAAGGATGACCACTCCCTGTTGCTGCACCCTTTCCAGGTGGAGCAATACGCTGTTTGACCCTTTTGCCTCGTCGGGCCGAACGACTTCACTGAACGCTTGGTCATAGCAATTGCAGTGAAGGGAAGAAGCATCTTCCGGTATTGTCTCGAAATCAATCTCTCTAGGCTCGAGAGATTGACTGGAATCAGTTTCCATGGGTTCGTCCCAGATCTCATTGGAGGGCAATTCCATGATTCTGGCCGGATCCTGGACTGTTCCGGAGACCTGAATTGCGTTCGGTGCGAGACTAAAGGGGTAGATTGCACCACCCCGAAAGAGTGATCCGGCTTGGGTGCCCGGCGCAGAGGTGTGGATGGATGCTCCAATGGGGGGGTTCATCGACCATCAAACCGATCTGGGGAGCATGACACTGTGTGGTATAGTCAACACGCGGTTCAGGAAAACGGGGACCCCCAAAACTTCCGAATCCGTCAGTTCCTCCAAACGAGCTGGCCAGGATTGTGTCGGCGAATCCTGGATCGACGTGGTGGGTATAGGCCTCGTTTGCGCTGACGACATCCTGGTCCTGGACCCCTTCTCCATTTGTGTTGTTTTCTGGGCATCCGAATGGTCATTTATTGGCGCCTATATACCCCACGGGCTGGGTCTGTGCTCACCTGGAACCTCCGAGAACAGGGCTGTGAAACTCGGCCACTGAGAGTCTTCCTCCGGTGGTGTTACTTCAGTGCCGGCCCTAGAGTCGCTGTTGTGCGACTCCTCCCTCGAAGCAGGACCCGAGCCCGATGCTGTTGTTGGACTCGGGACCCGATTCGGGACCCTGCGCGCCCTCTGCGCCCTCGCTGCTGGGGTTGGCCTCGGTGCCCTCCCCCGCACTCCGCTGAGTCGGACGGTCAACTACCTCCACCTCCCCCCTGCGTGCCTTCACGACTGCCCCCGCTGCTGCTGGCCGGGTCGTCTTTCTCTTGGCCGGCCGGCCTAGCGGTTGCGAGATCGAATAGACACACTCATACCCGTGACCCTCGCACCGGTCACATGGGTAGGTGTGGCTACATCGAATCTTCGCTTGTTGGCAGGCATTACAGGTTGTGCGCATCTTTTGGTTGGGAAGGAGTTGACCGTTCGACTGTGGAGACCTCTTGGTAGAGCTCTCAGCCATGTATAGTCGTGGAAAAGAAGGGGAAATGTGTGTCCTGCATTCCACGATCAACGAGTCTGGTTTTTCCTGGCCTTGGGATGATTTGAAGTATTTATATTTGATCTCATGATCGCTTCCCCCGCCTTCTAGTTGGTGATCTCTACTGTCCAACATAAATAACACAGGACCACGTTTGATTGCACTCTTGCATTCATCACGAAAGGCTACACTGTTTACCCACACCATGACGAGCTTCGATGACAGCACTTGCCGAAAACACGAAAAGTTACATGGATCGTGAACTTTACTACTGACAAATAGTTTTGTCCTACCCCCCTTGGGACCTGCGTCCGAGTACCTCACTTGTAGTCTGTGGGGGGTCCTGAGTGTACAAGGATCACCAACTTTATCTCACCACCCATCAATAAACAGTTTACCAGGTCAAGTATACTTGATGCTGTTTTTTTAATGCTAATTGATTTCAGTAACGCCTTCGTATGGTATACACATTTCATGGAGCCCGTATCCCTCATTACGCCAGACTATCCGATCCGTTGTTGCACATGAAAATAGCTATTTCTCCCCTCGAGCAACATCCTATTCTAGCCGACGATGCTGCCAAAGAAATCCCATTGAAAGGCAAGGCTGTCATTCGACAACAGCACATGAATCCGGGCTTCAATATCTGCTCATTGACCGAGAAGCTCCCTCATACCAATGGCATCCGTCAATCAATCTGTCGACCTTTCGCCTATGCTGTTCCTGGCCGGAGTATCTTTTCAGTCGGTAGGACAGCTGTTTGAGTAGGCTTATCCATCCACAACAATTGGTCCGTTATTCCCCCCTGAGAACAGATTTGTTATTTCTAATATGATCATTTCAATAGATCGAATATCGACCTAGCGATCATTTTTCTATATACTATCTAAATTGCATTACAATCTCCGCCCCAAGGTAAGGACTTTCCGACGTCATCTCATCTCCTCGTGGTCAAGTCTCATACGATGTTTACTAGCACACATATATATGGTGGCAGCGTGGTTGCTCTGGACGATGACCACAATTTAACTTATGGACTGAAACCTTGCCACATGATTGCGAGAAACAAACCTTGGATGAATGAATGAATGTATGAATTTTTGTTGCGAACATACTTGTTGGGAAGGGGATTCGATTGGTATTGTATCTGCCACTTGCTACGCCTTCGAATACAGAAGCAATTCGACAATTCCAATGTTTTAGGCTTGTCCATAGCCAAGAGACCTTTCTTTCATTATCTACTACTATTGGCTTTACCCCTGAAACTCCACATCGTATAGCACCGGGATTTATGATATCAACCTAAAGGCAATTTAAACGCCATGGCCATTACAGCCACTCCGACTTTACGTTTCATCGCAAGATTCTCATTAATGAACTTAAACGCTTTAAATAGTCTCCTAGAAGTATGTGACACTTATATTTGCCATATAACATATCCGCCCCTCCCCACTACTCTTCTAGACTAGCCTTGACTGGCAAGTAGTCCGCCCGATCACTACTTGAACTAAACACAATAGTCCATTGCATTGATTTAGAGGCTGATCTCAAGCATCTCATGGGAGCGCAGAATTCCATACTCTAGGGAAGGTCGTGCCATACCGGACTCCATCTTCTTCGAGGCCAGGATCAAATCACACCAATACTCAATACCATGTTAAATATGACATACCACAATGGCACCAAATATTCATAGATAAGTGTTGTTGGGAATCACATTCTTGAATCCTCTCGCAATAAGGCATCAATCAACACCTGTACAAAGCCTTTCTCGTCTCTTTACATTTCAGAACTACACCAGGGCAGCTTACTTAAATTTCATGATTCCAAATAACGGAGGGTTTCAACAATAGTGTACTACATAAACGTGATATTCCCTGGTCTCCCTAAACCCTACTACCTAAAAATATAAACCAACCACACCATCCATTTCCCCCACGCGGTCCCTAGCTCATGGCACCAAGCCCGCCGTCCTCGTGGGACAATCCACGGAACGGAACGAGGTCGTCGTCGCACTCTGAGGCATGGAAGTTGTCTCGCCTTCGGCAGGTTCATGTCTACCAATGAAATAGTTCATAGCAATCGGAGGGTCCAATCCTGCTGCCTGTACAAACTCCCTGATGTCGAATCCGGCGCGGGCGCTAACAGTCTCCGGGAACACATGTGAAAAGCACTCAGGAAATTGATAACCTGGAGGCTGGGAAAAAAGGAGATACACGTATCGGTGGTGAGTATTCGGTGGTGCACGAGGAGCTATGTACGAGGCTGCCGGTCTATGTTTGTCCCCATGGCCCTGGCCAGGAGTTATTGTGGAAGGTGGTGACGGCTTTGTGCAATCTATCATTAGATTGGGTTGGTACCAGTGTAGAATTACTGATTGAGTACGCGTTCCGGGTATGATGGCGTCGAGGTCGATGAAGAGGATCATGTACTTTTTGTTGCATTGGAGGTTCATGCCGCAAATCTCCGGAATCAGGCTGGTCTCTGCGCTATTGTTAAAGTATTTGATTTAATCCCTTCGCCATTCTCTTACCTCGAATATCCAATTCCATGCCAGGAGTCATCCATTGCCCACCGGGATACCGTATTTGCAGTTGCTGGCTAGGGCACCAAGGGAGGTTCTGGACTATCGGTGTTATAACACCAAAGAGGAGTGTAAGTAGTGAGATCATATTGTGTTCTCGTGGAATCAACCGAGCAAAGGAAGATTCGGCTATAATATTTCAATTTAAAATTCGAGAGCTAGATCAGTGCCTTTGAGATTCAATTTATAGGTACGCTTGCTCTGCGCTTCTACTACCTGGTACGGTACGGTACTATGGTCTCTCGTGTACAGTTCGCAGTTGTGCATCAGTTTCGGCTTGTCTCTTGCGCCATTCCCAGCCCTGAAAGTAAACAATGCTTAGAATCGGCGTAACCAATACAATTACTCCTGATACAAAACAATATGTCCATTGCACACCAATCCGCTTGATCAAAGGGTTGACCACTGCTGCAGCACCAGCGCCCAAGAAACACCGGACAAGATTGTTAGCGGCCATAGCAGTAGCGGGCGTCTCGTAGTACAAGTCGACTATGAGGATATTCATCACGTTGTATGCCGCCGTAATACAGAAGCAAATTAGAAACACCAGAATAAGTGCAGCCAGGAGTGGGGGTTGTAAAGATATCAGTACTCCATAGCCGACTATTGAGATAGCTGCAAGTACCTAAAATGGAAAATGAAAGTCAACTAATAGAACGGGTCAGGTACAAGGACGTGCTAGGGAAACGTACTGTCATTGGTAGACCAATCTGCAACCTCGCTTGTTCGATGGGAAATCCAATGATATCCTGCTTCTGGTTCTTGTGTACCATCTGGCCGGAGTTGCGTCGAATCCGTCGATAATTCCAATCAACTAATACTCCGTTGGCAGTTGCACTGAGTAATGACCCTAGTCCTGCAGGAATGAAGCAGAGTCCAATCTCCAAGTCGTCCAGATCATAGATTCTGTGGAAGAGTGCGGGGATTCCAGCTGTGACGGCATAGTAGCTGCTGAATACAACTCCATTTGCCAAAAGGACTAGCCCCACAGGTCGGTGGAAAAGCAGACGCAGGGTTGACCAGGGGTTGGGGACATTCACGCGCCTCCTCGATACATTTGATGCAGGCGGGGTACCTGAGGTGGTGGTCCGGAAATAGCTCCAAATGGTCACATTCCATCCAGCTGCAAGAGTCGAGCCATTTCCCACAATCCCACGGCATGTCTCGGGGAAGAATAGCAAGAGCGGCACAAAGAAAGTACCTGCTGCAATAGCCAGGAACCAGAATATTGCTTCCCAGCCCAGATACTTACTTAGAACACCGCCAAGGATAGGTCCGATAGATGGAGCAAGAATGTTTCCTAGAGATGTAAAGCCCATGTACATACCTCGCTCGGCAGATGTGATAATGTCGGCTGCCACGGCAGATGCAAGGGCCACAGTGCCGCTGCTGCCACAGCTTTGAATGGCGCGAAGAGCTAGGAGTGCTGGAAAGCTGTGCTGTAGAGCCAAAGCAATGTTCCCAAATATGTATATCGAGAAGCAAAGGATGTAAGCCGGTCTGCGGCCAGCCTGGTCTGCCAATGACCCTGTTAACATTGGAGCGAGGCCCTGACATATCTTCGAAACCAGACATGTCAGTAATTTGAACAGAATTGTAGAAATTGAGTAACAAAATACCATGTATGTCGTGATCGTCAGATTAATTTGAGATGGACTGACTCGCAAGTCTTTTGCGATGGAATTCAATGCCGGGTAGTAGATATTGGCAGATAGAGGAGAAAAGCTTGAGGCCAGTGCCGCTGTCAGAATAATGAGGCGTTTCTGTGTGGATGTGAAGACGGAATATGGCTCGGTGGTAGCAGGATGTAGCAAAGGCGTTTCCTCATTGACCTCGTCATCTTGCCGCTGCACCTGTTGCTGGATATCTTGGTTATTCATCTTCGTTCAGGTGGAAGGCCAAACGAAACGGTGACAGAATTCCTTGTGGGCTTGATGTCGAATAAATACCCGGGTCTTTCTGGTCGTAAAATCAACCGTGAACCCAATATTACTGCATGTCGGCGGAGGGCCAATCACTCTTCAAATTGATGTCTTTAACGTGCTTTATAGAGACCAAGGAACATGTTACTCGATATATTCATTGCTACACAGAGCTTTCACTAAATTTTGCAGAAAAGAGCAGATAACAACATCATCGGAATACACACTCGTTGGCTTATAATCTCAATCTCTAGATCTTCGGATCCCTGGCCGAGGTCGGTTCTGCGTGACCCGTATACAGATGAGTTGGTCGAAACAGCTTGCCACGGTTTACTATAAACTGTCAGCCAAGTTACCAAACTTCCATAACCCATTTCCTTACCCATGTACTCTCTCCAATGCGCCATGATACCCATAATGCGATGAACAAGCATAGCTGCGGGAATCATATCAGGCTCGAAGCCACTAAATCAGTGCATTAGAACCTACGGTCGCAGTAAACATACAACGGCGGCACATACATTCCAGTAAACACGAAATTACCATAAAAGTCCGCATTTGGATACAGTCCCCGTGTACTGAAGTACTCATCTTTCGCAGCAGCTTCCTCGATCGCTTCGGCGACTTTCAGCAGCGGTTGATCAACATATGCCAAGTCCTTCAGGATACTCTGGATAGGACGCACACGGGGGTCCATTCCTTTGTAAGTGCGATGACCGTACCCGAATAATCTTCGCTTTCCGGATTTGATTTCTTCAATAAAGGCTGGTACGTTCTTTGGATCCCCGACATCGCGGAGAGCGCTTTGGGCGGACTCTGTTGCGCCGAAGTGTAAGGGTCCGTGGGCGGCGGCCACGGCAGATATCAGACAAGAGACTGGGTCGGTCAGGGATGAGGCGGTCACTAGGGTTGAGAATACTGTTAAGGCCATGCCGTGCTCAGCGTTGAGGTTGCCAAAGCGGCGGAAGCAGGAGATGCGTGTAGGATCCAGGCGGCTGGTCTCTGGGTCTACCAAACCGGCCATCGTGAATAAATTTTCGTAGTAGGTCTGGTGGAGAGACGGAGACTGCCAGGGAATACCAAGTCGGTGGGATCGTACTGCTCCGAAGACAACTGCATAGGCAGCGACGGTTTGTAGGATGATTTGGTCGGCCCGTTTGATGTCTGTTTGATAGATTGTGGCATTTGTGGTTGCTGGGATCACATTAGGTATACATGCCAGGTAGGCTGAAAGGCCTGCCACAATCAAGGGCAGTGGGCTGGTCGCCTTTCTGTTTGTTTCAAAGCTAGTTAGAAAGACAAGATAGCTGATATGTGACAAATAGAAGCGCCATACGGGAGATTGAAGATGGTCTGGCGCACAATATCGGGGACTTCTTGCATATACTGCACTAGTCGCTGGCGTAGCTCTTCGCGTTGACTTGCTGTGGGATATGCCCCCCATAGTAGCAGATGGAACATTTCTTCGAAGTCGGATCCCCAGAGTTGCTGCAGGGTATACCCTCGATATAGCAGCAGGCCGTGCTCATGGTCACTAAATGACAATTAGCCAGATTTCACAAGCACCTTCATGCGATTCTCACGAGAAACTGATAGCCGATGCTGTCACGGCCGTGTTCAGCAATCCGGGATCATAGACTCGCAATCCATGGGCAACTTTATCTGCGCGATTGGTGTTGAACAAAGGCGCCTGAATACGTTGAAGGTCGGTCGCGCGTACTGCATCTTGATTAATGGGGATTTCATAGTTAGCATTAGTGCGCGAGTCGCGGATGAATAGACTGCCAGTCGACATTTTGGAGCAAAACACTACAATTGAAATCTCAAGATGGTTCTTTTTCGCCGGTTGGAAATATTTGTCGCTTTTCACCGTCACCGTGAAAATAATGAGCCCAAAGGCACCGAGTAAATTGTCTCACCTCAACTCGGCGACAAAGATACCTTGTACTATGGTCTTCTAATCTCCTCTGTGATTGGCCTACAATATGCCTATACTGTGGACATCCTGATTGGTGGTCCATGTGCTCCATGCAAGTCATATTAAGACTATATCGTTGCATTCATCGTTATCACTCATTATAGGTTCCATAAAAAGATCTCCTCCTTTTTTAAAAATCTCAGAGAGTGCAGGATTTACTCCGGCATGTTCTTGAAAGGGTGGGCAAGGGATTCCTCGCAGAAAGGAAGCTTGCTGACGGACCAGATCTCGGTGTCCTACATCGAACAAGGGGTCAGTTACACTCCAGTGCAAGTTAGATCAGGCCCTAACTTGTGACACTTACGGGCTTCAGAGTCTTCTTAATCTCGGTATCCAGGGTACCGGCCTTGATGGCAATGATCTCGGGAGCGGCATCGGGGTCGTGGGCGATCGGGGAGCCACACTCGGAGCAGAAGACACGGTGGACGGCGAAGCCGGAGGAACCCTTACCAGCCCAGCTCTTGGTAGGACCGTTGATGGTCAGCTTGTCCTTGGGGACGACAGCCACGAGAGCTATAACAAAGTCAATATTTGTGTTTCGCCTCAGGTATTATCACAACTAACAGTAGGTGGAGCCACTCTGGCGTTGGCAGTCATCGCAGTGATCGTAGGCAGTGATCAGAGGTGCGTCGACGTCCACGGTGTACGTCACGGCTTTGCAAAGGCAGTGTCCGGAGAGAGGCATTGTGGATGTAATTGGATATAATTGGTGTAATTGATGTAATTGATTCTTTCAAGGTCCTTGAGAGTGAGTACCTTTGGAGAGGGGGAAGGAAGGTATTTAAGAGATAATGGACCCCCCAACACTAAGAACAGTTGAGGTGATGTCGGTCATTGTCCATCGATGTCCATGGATAAGTCAAAAAGTCCCGACTACTTACTTCTCCTCTTTGCCAATGCCACTGAAACAGGTTCCCAGTACCTCCCGTACGTCATGGCTTCGTGTTTTCGAGCTTTTTGACACCCAACTACTCCACCAAATTCGATCAACTTCTCTTGACAATTCCATTTTAACCCAATTTAACCCAATTGGGAGCAATAGGAATTCCAAATAGAGATTCTTGGAGAATTTCACATCAGCTAGTGCTGATTATTCGTTCCCCTCTCAGTCCTAAAACCTGCAAGACAATTCCAAATTATTTGTGCCCCGCCAGAGCTCCATGCAAGGATTAGAGCCATTTACCATTTACCCCTCCAAAACCTTCGAGAGATGTGCCCAGTCATGTTGACTGGTTGATCGGACTCCGTGAAAATCAGTTGAGATCCGCTTCCGCTGCGCCTTATCTGTCAACGCATTCTCCGACCCTTTCCGATTGGACCTCCCGATGATTCCAGATGTTGAACGTCCACGCATAAGATGGGTCTGGAAGCCACGAGGTGTCTCACTATTCACAACCTGTCAACCCAAAAAAAAATGAAAATCCTTTAAATCCCAGGACCCCAATGGAGATCGGCCAAATCTTCCACAACTCGAGAGAGGGGAGAGGGGATGATCAGCCCACATGTCCGCTAGCAATTCGCACGGCCTAAAGTGGGTCGCCCCAAGTTTCGATTCAAATCATTTTTTTGACTCGATTGCTCCATTATCGTGAGTTTTCGACTGAGTGGGTTGAAGCAGGGAGTACTCCGTAAGCTGAGGCTTCAAAGTCTATTCTGCGATCTACGTTGTGATCAGTCGCTACCCGCTCAGCAGTGCAGGACATCAGTAACATGCTGGGATCATAACCCGGTGGCCCGGTACATATTTGTCACGTTATGCAGGTTGTCCACGAAGCTGAAATCCCGAGGATTCAAACAGAGTTCGTTGGATATTTTTTGGCTGCAGGCTCTACGTGTCAATTCAATGCACGGCGGAACAGCGGGTCAGGGCATTTTTGGTCTTCCACCCCTCGAAAGTAGATGATAGCTCTAGGGATATTCATCAGCCAATTCAAATTGAGCTTTGGACCATGCCCATAATATCTGATATGATATCCTTGTATATCTTATTGCATTAGTGCAAGGTAGGTAAGTACAAAGTGTGCGATGCCAGCATATATTGTATGTTCCGTGTTGAGAGACAATATATATCTCATGCCTATTTTACACAAAAGCTGTTAATAGCTGCTATAACTGCCCCGTCGGGCATTGTCGATCTTGTCTGCTGCACTCTAGACACGCGACTGTCAGCTGCCGTCGTGAGAAAACCCCCTCTACCCACTTACCTGCATCTGAGCTGCCATTCCTCCCCGAGGGTTCTGACCGCCATACAAACTGGCTTCGGCATGTTGTGCGTCTCGGGCATCATCCTTGGTGATATATGCGGGCACATCAGCGGCAGCTGTAAGTCCGAATGCATCGTTACTGTCAGCGATCGACCGAATCTGCGCAGATATGTAGCCAACTCCGGGTGGTTGGTTAAATGCACGTCCCTGTGGGAACCTCGCGTTAGTGATTTGACACTACAATATATGCAGAAATTTGCATGGGGATTCCCTGACCTCTGTGGCTTGGATTTCCTCTGCATCATCTAGCGAGATCGCGCTGGATGGTTTCCGCGATACCTCGGCGACCTTACTTTCGAAATTCATCTGCCGCATAGAAAGGCTCTGGGCCGTTGCTATATTCGATCAATGATCTGTCGCTTGCAGATAGAATAGAAGTCGTACTCACCAGCTGGTCCACCCCGAGAAGGTCCGCGTCCAGTCAGCGCGCTCTCGGCCTGCGAGATGGCCGAAACATCATCCTGTGTGATGCGCTGCCCCCGCTCAGCAGCGAGCTGGATCTCGGCGACGGTAGGAAGATCGAAACTCATGACTTGGCGCTGATTCATGGCATGCTTTGTTGCATTTCACTTGATCACATCTTGTTGTTCTGCTATATACTTCGGCTTCATGGTCGGTGATGTCACGGTGAGGGCATATCGAATCGACCGAACTTTGCCTTCTCTCGTCAGTGGTGGGGGCGTCGGGTATATCCAGACTTGAATAGAATATTCGACGCTTAGACCAGACAAAAAATTGTGGGGGGATGCGCCATACCCTGAATTTGCCATGCTGTCTGGAAGACCCCCTACCACATCATTCCAAATCATCATCATCCGGTGAAACGATATTTGAAGTAATGTTAACAACCATAGACACTTCGTACAACGCAGTTAAGAATATCTGGAGATCTCCAAGGCAGAACAGATTGCTCTGCTCTCGTTTACTGGCCATGTTTTAGTTGGTTGACCCATAGGCAACGGGGTAGGGCAGCTTCCCAGCACCGTTCCATGGGTCTCTTGCTTGCAGATTGCCCCTGTCAGTGCCACCTCAATCAAACCCAAAAAGGAAAAAGGAAAGAACAGGTGTCAAATGAAAGCCCTCAGAACGAGCCCATCTTCCATCTTGCGGCGTCATCGACCGCTCCGGCCGAACGACGGCAACTGCATATCCAACGAGATCTAGTGAGCTCCACGTTGCGTGACATAATATGACAATCCATTTGACCTCTTGTCACGAGTAAGAACGCCTCCTCGAGTTGAGTTTATGCTATGGGTGGTGCAAGATGCATGTCTACGAGCTCATGTCACGGCCATGTACCCTCGCTGAAGGTTCACAGGCTTTTTCAGGGTCTTCTACATTTCCACTTAGCAAAGGTTCTACCCAGGAGACCCTGAAATCATACCATAGTCACTGATACAAGACCATCTGTCGTATAAGACGGTAGCGTATTGTCAATCCAAACGTTTTGTAATTTCTTAGATTTCAATTCATGACAGATCCTTTTTTTGTCCCACTCTAACAGTTCCTTTTGACGAAATGATCCTTTCGAGCATGTGCAACTATTCGAGTGTGATAAATCCGGGTCCGAAAAGGTTCATAAGCCAACGTCGCCATCTCGGGACAATGTCGCTGAAGATGGCAATTCTGACTAGAATGTCTCTAGTGACATATCATATATCTATATTGAACTCATAATTACCAATTATTTGGGAATTCTGAAATATATAATACATGTACTGTGTGAAGCTATATCAGCTGTTGAAGTAAAACCAACTTGATTAGCCAATTCGAACCGTGAAATTGAGCAAAGACTTCAGGATACAACTTTAGAGTCATTGGTTTTAATAAGGACCTGAGTGGTACTATGAATATAATAGGATCATCAGAAAGTCGATATAATTCATCTACTGAGGTTACTCTCAGGGATCACCGTATACACAGAAATCGCGAGACCTTAACAAATTGAGAATATCCAACCGCCATTATTTTCAGCACCAAACAGTCTAGTATACCCACACGACTAGATCTTCAATCTTCTACCAAGCAGAAGTCTCGCTATATACTCATCCCCATGCAGTGCAGCTAGCTTCAATGCTGGTGCTTGGTATGGCGGAAATGCCAGGCTTATCACTCTACCATGTACAATAGTGCATAATGCCTAAACCATACACAGGACCTAGATTAGGGACTAGACCCTACTGGGCCGGTCCAGGAGAAAGTCAATCCTGTACGTGTATGTGCGTAAGGGGGACGTTGAATATATATAGAAGCGTCCACGCCGGCCCATATGCTCCAAGCGCATTTGCAAGGGAGCCCGTGAACAAGAGACCCAGAAGAAATGCACTAAGATGAGGCCGAACAACACAAGGCACAGTAAGGCAATCCATATGAAGCTAAAACGTCCGTTAAATAGGCTTGAGTTCGGTGGGCGTCATCTTGTGTTGTAGCATATGTCTAGCATGGTGTCGTTCCGACATCTTTTTAATTTTCCCATAACAGGTTTGGCTTATGTTTTCAATGCGCTTTAGTTCATGACAGTTCGTTTTTCTAACTGGGTCTGGAGAGTTGAGTTGCTGAGCTTCCAGCCTTGGCAGGAACTAGGGTCGGGAAAATCCACATACGGTCACGTGGTGAAGCATCACCACCAGTTGATACCTGAGGCAAGATGGCAGTAATGCGATACGGAAAGCGGTGTGAGTTTACTATACGTGACTGTCACATGACCCATAGTCCCCATTCTCGTTGGACCAATCACAACCCCGTCATCATCCCGTTACCGGGATTGAGCTCTACCACTCTGCCTTTCCCCTATTCTATGATCAAAAAAATCAAGTTGAAGTCGATAAACAGGGGGTTAGATCACATATTGGATTCTATCTGTTACCTACATGTGACGATACCAGATTGTGTTCGTCCAAAGCTCAGAAATGGAGGTGTATGAGCACCCATTGTTCTCCATCTACAGAAGATGCTAACGTAACCATGAACAGTTTACCAAAAAAAGGAAAGAAGGCATGTACTATGTGCCGCCAGCAAAAGGTATGTACCAATGCATTTCCCTTTACAAAAACCGTATTGACTCTAGTAGGCTAGATGCGATGTCTGGCGAGATGAGACTGTACCGTGTTCCCGATGCCGTAAGCGCAGCCTCGAGTGCACCATAGATGATAGCTTCACAAGAGAGCACAAGCGTCGGTAAGTTCCTGAATCCGAGTAAGAGGGACAGAATCCACGTCTTACTTATATTTCTCCAAAGCCGATACATCGCACTAGAACACGAGAATGAACAATGGCGCCAACAACTCCAGACCTCCCAGCAGCTGAACGCCGATTCCGTGCCGATTGCGTTATCCACAGCGACAACGGAACTAGTGATGCCGGCCTTGCTGAAAACAGATTCTCAGTTGGACGATTCGCAGGGTTTGTCGCTGGCATATCCCCAATATCATCTTGCACCAGCCGGTTCCACACCGGGTTCGACGATGGGAGTAAATGACCCCACAAAGCCCCGTTCACTGAAAAGTGTTACCGTTACAGGTCCAGAGATCGACGACCTGTATCAATTGTATATGCTCCTACAAGATTCTTATGATAACAGCATGGTTCTAACATCTTCTAGGTTCTTCGGCCACTATGCCTCGTTCCTCCCGATCCTCGATGCGCAGACCAAGCCCAATGCGTACTATGCACAGTCTCCATTCCTATTCTGGGCCGTCATCGGTGTCTCCAGTCGGTCATACTCCAGAAACCCGACTTTACAGACGGCACTGGCCAAGGAGGTCACGGAAATGGCACTTCTATCGGTCATGTCGACGTGCGCACCATGGTACACCATACAGGGACTGTTGCTCCTGCTAACATGGCCGTTTCCAAAGGAGAATCGCCCAGATGTGACATTCCCTCTAAGTGGAATGCTTTTGCATATAGCGATGCAACATGGTTTCCATATCCCAATGTCGAGCCATGAATTTTCCCGAGTGAAGATCCCGGTATCATCTGAATTGGATATGGTCCGACGCTCTGAACTCTGGGCTCATTGTGTCCTAGTCTACCAACGGTAGGTTAATCCCTTTCGCAGTGCCGCCCAAGTGGAACTACGATGCTGATTCATCATAGGTCTTGTGTGATCAAAGGGCAGTCTCCGCGAAACCTGGTCAGTTTAGCCCACGATGCCATCCAACGCCAGGTGCTATTTGATAAGATTGCTCTACACCTAGTTCAAAAGCTTAGATGCCAGGAAGTCGTTGGGAAATGCAGCGAGGCAGTTATGGAGAATGGAGTTCGTGCCATGTCTCTGGATCAGGAGCTGGCGTTAGACGTTTTGCTGCGGAAGTTTGAAGGAGAGGTAGACGACATTGCATTGCAAGCAGTAATCGGTTTGTTTCTAGCCTGGATCCCCTCGGCGCAATAGTCCGTCCACTAATGCTCGCTTCTTTGTTGCAGACGACAAGGGGTATCACCTTATCCTTTGCCGAATGGCAATTCAAAGCTTCCACTTCTATAAAAACCAAACACTTGTCTCCAGTGGGTGTCTTCCACGTCTTATCGCCACCGCTTGCAACTTGATAGATTATGTTCAAGCGCTGGCGGATCGCATGGGATCTCTCTTCATGGCACCTGTTCAAATAAGCTTTGGTCTACTCTTGGCTTCGATATCGCTGTTGCGGATTCTCAAAAGCGATTATGCCACCAGCGGACTCGATACAAGTCGTGCCCAGGCCTCCTTCTTCGCCACGATCAATTTGGCCAAGCAAATGTCCACCGACAGGAGCGATACACCTGCTAAAATGATCACGGTCTTAAATCAACTCTGGAATAGCAGCAAGGCATTCCGCAAAGCCGACGGCTCGGAATACACGACGCTTCGAATTCGCAGTCGCTTGATCCTTAGTCAGATCCTGGATGCTGTCTGGTGGTGGCGTGATGAATATGACCCTAACGCGCGCAATCGAATCCAAGGGACCGAGTACGTTGACGGGGCCTCTTCCCAACCCAATATGCTTTCGGGCATCGAGGCAGGGCGCACTACCATGGTAGCAGATCCCGCTCGGGAGCCCGCGGGTGGGATTCTTCAGAACGCGGGTCCTCTGCAAGGAGAGTTCCAGATCAACGAGGATTACTTTACCAACTTTGAGTGGCTGAGTGATGAACTCTTCTCTTTTCCCCCGGATTCGTCGTTAGGAAACACTCTACCGTGAGCGCACGCACAAGTTGTCTCGTACTAAAAGGTCGACTTTACTGCTGTATTTCCGTCCTCTGGTCGAAGTGAGACATCAATACCGCATCGACCTTTACACTTTCGGATGGTATCCAGTTCAGTCAAGCACGGTACAGAAGCCTACTAGAAAACTCTCCCGAGCCAAATGGATGGCTCAACGTTACACGGCGCTTGCTCTGCCCTACATGAGCTGTGAATCTTTCGTCAACTGCCAATAATCGGATCGGGGACTCCGAAGGACTCCTAGAGTTTCAAACCACATTAAGTTGAGCTTCGACATTTAACTTGAGTTCCACTATTACCCCGGAACGGCCCTCCCCTGTAGTGCCAGAGGTTACAGCTATTTTTTCTTGCTAGTTATTTTCCGTGTCATAGGTGAGAGTGAATCGTCCGAGGTAGGATCGAAGGTAACGTAAACCACCAAGTATCTAGATGCTTGAAATACGATGAATGTTCTCCAAATTATATGCCTAAAATGTATGCATAAGGGGTGTGTGATGTATCAGACCAAAACAAGGCCAAATCACAATATGAGAGATGACTTTGGCAGTGGCTCCCTCTTATATGCACGTTTAACCACATTCCGCCTTACAGCACCCCTGCTTCCTCCCTCTCTCCCTTCCTCCACTTTGTCCTTTCTCATCGAATCAATTGTTTACCTTCCCATTCAGTTCCACCACCACCCGTGTGTTACATCCACTGCCACACAAGTCTCAGATATCCTCTTTGGGCGATTAGGTGGGCTCTCGACGGCCTTGTCTTGGAAGCTTTGAATCATATTCGAATCCCCTCTTCATATTTTCCCTTTCTCATTTCAATATCCCTGTGAATCCGATATCTGAGCTCTGTATCCTTCACCATGGAGAAGGACGAGTCTATCGCCGTCACCACGGGTGCGATGGTGGACGAGACTGCGCCTGATGAGAAGCTCAAGAAGCTGCGTGACCTCAAGGACCACCACCACTGGGATCCTAACCTGCCAGAGGATGTTGCCGAGGAACTCGTTGAGGCCTTACATACATCCGACAAGCGTACCCAAGAGGTCATCGCCCAGGAGCTCCTGGAAAATTCCCCTTACCCCGAGGTTCGCTCCGCCGTGTCCAACATCGATGAGGGTGGATCTGTCAACACTATTCGCGCCTGGGTGATTGGTCTTCTATTTGCGACCATCGGTTCTTCCCTCAACATGCTGTTCTCCATGCGCCAGCCCTACATCGTCATCCCCTCATACATTGCACAAGTTGTCGCCTACCCAGTGGGAAAGGCATGGGAAGCATGGATGCCCAATTACACCTTCAACTTCTTTGGCTACAAAGCCGAGCTGAACCCGGGTGTGTTCACAAAGAAAGAACATACAATTGCCGTTATTATGGCAAACGCCACATTCGGTGGTGGCGCCGCCTACGCGACGGATGTCCTCTTGGCTCAACGTGCTTTCTATGTGCAAAACTTCGGTTGGGGTTTCGAAATCCTTATGTGTATCTCCACTCAGATGATGGGTTTCGGCATGGCTGGATTCTTCACCCGCTTCCTGGTACAGCCCTCCGCCATGATCTGGCCCTCCACGCTGATCAATACCTCACTCTTTACTGCGCTGCACGATCGCACCAAGCCTGATCCCGAAAGTGTTGCTGGCTGGAAGATCGGCAAATATCAGATGTTCCTGTGCGCCATGATCGGCTCTTTCTGTTGGTACTGGTTCCCCGGATACATTGCGCCATTTCTGAGTGTCTTTGCCTGGGTCACCTGGATCAAGCCGCAGAACGCTGTCATCAATCAGCTCTTTGGTGGAGTGACCGGCCTTTCACTTATCCCAATGACATTTGACTGGACTCAGATCTCTGGATTCAACTTCAGCCCCCTCATCGCACCTTGGTATGCGATCTCTAATACGATGATCGGCATGTTCCTCTGGTTCTGGATCATCACCCCTGCCATTCAGTACTCTAATCTGTTCTACGCCCAGCACCTACCCATAAGCGACTCTAATAGTTACGACAACACTGGAAAACTATACAAGGTCGCCAACATTCTCACCCCAGAGTTTACCTTTGACAACGCGAAATACTCGAACTATTCCCCACTTTTCCTGTCGACGACCTTCATGATATCCTATGGCCTATCATTTGCCAGCATCGTTGCTGTGCTCGTTCACACCGGTCTTTTTCATGGTACGGATATTTGGAGTCGATTCCGTCACGTCGGAAAGGAGGAGGAAGATATCCATGGCCGTCTTATGAGTCGCTATGCTACGGTTCCCATCTGGTGGTACTTGGGTGTGTTTCTGGCCATGACCGCAATCGGTTTTGGTGTTATCTTAGGCTACCCTACGAACATGAGCTGGTGGTCCTTCATAATCGCCCTTCTCATTTCCGCTGTTTGGTTTGTTCCTATCGGCATTGTCAAGGCTGCCACCAACATCGACATCGGCCTTAACGTGATCACCGAGTTCATCATCGGTTATATGCAGCCTGGTAAACCCATGGCCATGATGCTATTCAAGACCTACGGTTATATTACCATGTACCAGGGAATGTACTTCACACAGGATTTGAAAATTGGTCAGTTCCGACGTTGCCTTCTAGTGTTAACTTGTTATACTAACCTATTCCATTAGGCCACTATATGAAAATTCCTCCCCGTGTTACTTTCATGGCCCAGATGGTCGCTTGCCTGTGGTCATCCCTAGTCCAAATCGCCACCATGAACTGGGCTCTTGGTGCAATCAAGGACGTATGCAAGCAGTCCCAGCCTAACCACTTCGTCTGCCCTAATGGTCGTGTGTTCTTCAACGCCTCCGTTATCTGGGGCGTCATCGGACCCGCGCGGATATTCTCTGTGGGGCAGCTATACGCGCCCCTTATGTTCTTCTTCCTCGCCGGCGGCATCCTCCCCGTCCTGATCTACCTCGGTGTCCGTTTCTTCCCCAGGAGTCCCATCAAGTATCTCAGTGCCCCTATCATCTTCGGTGGCGCCGGTTTGATTCCTCCCGCTACCCCTCTGAACTATCTCAGCTGGGGTATTGTCGGGTTCGTCTTCAACAAGTTCATTCGTGACCGCTGGCGTGGGTGGTGGATGCAATACAACTACGTCCTGTCCGCTGGTCTGGATGTCGGTCTCGCTCTGTGCACCATTCTCATCTTCTTCACCCTCAACTTGACCAAAACCGACTTCCCCGAATGGTGGGGCACCAGGATCACCACCAGCACCCTGGACATGACTGATTCCGCTATTCGGGATCCTGTCCCTACGGGCAAGACCTTTGGTCCCACCACATGGTAACTAGAATATCGGACCTGTTACATGTCACTTTGGTTCCTGTTTGCTACTTGGGAGCCAACTGCAACCGGGGTCGGGACATGCTATGATTCTGCGGATTTCACGTCAGCCACGAATAGCCACGATACCATAGTTAATACCTTTCGTTTTTCATTTTTCAACCTTTCCGTATTTAATATGCCCAGTTCATCCATCTATCTAATGCTCAACACTTATGATACAGTAGAGTAACCAAGTCCTGGGCAACATATATTTTCTCCTTTCTTACCACCTTCACTCATTGTCTTAACTTTATTCTTCATAAAAGCATGCAGGAGTTCTCTTTAAACCCCGAAGCTAGTTTCAATGCAAGAATATATAAAAGTATAACATATATACACGCCCATCAGATTCCCGATATACGACTGACGGCCAAATAGACCAAACCCCAAATCTGAAATCAACAAGCCAAAAAAAAAAAAAAGAAAGAAAGAAAGTCATCAGCGACTGCGTGGTAACATACTTACTTACCCCAAGACAAGCACATAACCAACCCAGCCATTCTCATCGAATCATGACAAAAGATGGTAATCCAAGATCCCATTCAATCCCACCCTAGGTCCAAACAATTTCAATCCCGAACCCCCTTTTTACAAAGGTATATGGTTTTCTATATTGCAAAATGGAATCCCAACCCCAGACCCTCAAACCCGACGACGACGCATACCAACCTGCAAAGCGAGCGGCTTGCGCAGGAATCCCTCACGGGTCTCCATAGGTCCGTCCTGGTGCATCTCGAACTCGAAGAGACGGAATACAGTAGCGCAGATAACGAGCAATTCCATCTCGGCGACGTTGCGACCGACACATGCGCGGGAACCGTGGCTGAAGGGGATAAATGCGGCCTTTTGGCGGGCGGTGAGACGTTCGGGACTCCAGCGCTCGGGGACGAATTTTTCGGCGTCGGCACCCCAGATCTCCTTTGAGCGATGGATCGTGTAGCTGGGGACGGAGAGAACGTCGCCGGCTTGGAAGGTGTGGCCGCAGATTACGACGGGGGCGGAACCGGCTGGGATCTCGCGGGGAAGACCCATTGAGGAGGTGCTGTGGATGCGCATTGTTTCCCAGATTACCCATTGGAGGCTATGGAGCTGTTAGTTTCGGGTAGCTTTTGTGTGGAGAGGGGGGTGGGTCGTAGGGTAGGGCTTACTAGGGGATTTCCTTGACCATAGCGTGAGTGGGAACTTCAATGTCCTTGGGAAGGGCTTCATCCAGAGTCTTGTGCAGCTTGGGTAGAACGTGAGGGGTCGTCATGCACCAGTATAGGATAGCACAGGCAGTGTTGGAGGTGGTGTCGGAGCCGGCGATCAGTTGGGTGAGGGCCTCGGCAGTCAATTCGGCGCGTTCGAGTTGGTTACCGTTTCCGTCCTTGCCTTCCATGAGGCGGGCGAGAAGATCCACACGGGTGTTGTTGGCCATAATCTCCGGCTTGAGACGCTCGCTGACACGAGCGATGGCAATACCAGCAAGGTTCTCGACGGCTTCCAAACCTTCAGAGAAGAAGCGGTCCGGGATGTACTTAGCGAAGGGGATGAGAGATGGCATGCAACCCAGGGTGGCGGAGACCTCGCCTCGACGGTTCAGAACTTCAACGGCGGCGACATACTTGGGAGGGTCCTTGGGGTCCAGACGCATTTCGGCAATATCCTTGCCCTTCTCGAGCATGCCAAAGGGAGCGCCGAAAGCCAGGTCACCGATGATATCAAAAGCGAGGTAGTTGAACCAGTTGAGGGCATCCAGACTGACATAGCCGGTTTTGGGGTTACCCTGGAGATCAGAGAGACGGTTCCATTGCTTCACGAACTCTTCGATGTTGCCGTGGATATACTGCTCGAATTGGCCAATGGACTTGGCACTGAAAGTGTGGGAAACGGTCTTGCGCTTGCGGGAGTGCTCGGCACGGTCACGAGTATTGAACAAGCCACGGCGAATAGAGACAAAGGCATCGTAGAAGTTCCTAGGATTATTGTCAGTTTCGGTGTAGTTTCTCTGGGCTGCAGGGGTGACATACGCTTTCAAGAAACCATTGCCGTGTCCATAGACGCTCTGGATAGCCTCGTCATCGGCAATAGAGACCTGGGTAGGTGAAATGCGAACGAGCTTTCCATATTTCTTGTGGGCCTCGTCGATCGTCAGGTACTTTTGACCCCGACGCGCTTGCAGCAATAGCCAAACATTGGTGAAGGCGGAGTACCCAGCCGAGGGGATGTCGCGCAGGTGCGACTTCTGCACGTACGGCACCAGGTAATAAGCTACGGCCAGACCGACAAGGATCAACGGAACGTTCTCGAGTGTCACAAACATGGTGAAGTGTTGTATAGGAGTGTTGGACAAAACAACTCGGGGAAAAAAGGTACCAGTCCCAATGCAGCAAGGAGAATTCCAACCAATAAATATATAGAAATGTATGTTTTAAATAAGAGGAATCAGTTCAAATCCATAACCAAATGCGAGAATCCCAATTATTTATGAAAAGACCGATGCGTGGTCATCAAATCGTCCCCGAGGGTAATGCAAGGCAACGGGAAGCAATTTCGGTAGTGTGGAGTTCAGACATTGGAGGCGAAGATCCTTGGAGAGTGCCGTCTCAAGCCTCCGAACCTCCGGCACACCGGTTTCGGTTATTGGCTTGAGGGGTTTAGGCAAATCACCGGTCGCATATTGGTGATGGTTTGCCTCCATTCTCTGTCTGGTGTCAATCATTGGTTCTTGATCTGTTGGAGAAGAGTGTGGGGGAGGACAACGGGCACGAGGGGGTGTGGATGCCTCGTCTATAAGGCTAGAACATGCGTCATTATTTGCAGCCTTGGAAGTCAGGCAACACATCCAAACTATGGATTACATAATATCCATAACATCATTTGTATAACTTGCATAAACTGATGAGTCATATATTGTTGAACTTCCATGCATGCATGCATGATTGTTTGCTGCAGACTGAGCCTTTTGAGATTTGTTTGCTATTTGTTATTTGTGAGCAATGTTTAGATGGTTTCTATAGGGTATATAAACCCCTGCATTTCTAGTTTTACCAAATAAGAATTATTCTTCTGCTTTTTCCCACACACTGTAGTATTCACTACATCAAACACATCCAAACTATGGATTATATAATATACATAACACCTGGGCATCCATCATTTGTATAACTTGCATAATCTGATGAGTCATATATGTTGGGCATTCACCCACCTCCCACATCAAACTTCTACCCTAACCACTCTAAGATGGATAGGATCCGGCAGATAGGCCCTATAATACCCTAACAATGCCTCCCTACCGAAGTACCCCTCTCGTCGATTTCACGATTTCAACGCCTTAGAACCCCTTTTGTCCCTAGCTTTCCCTACCTTATTCCCGCGCGGAGGCGCCGAGTTTGTGATGCCTCGCCTAAGATATATACCATACGTGACTATATCCGACATCTGATGAAGCACGAGTCTGGCCGATTTGCGCGGTATCCACGGTTCCGGTTCGTGGCGTTCAATACCATAATGCGCCAGCAGGCAAGAAAGAGTGCCGGGCTTTACGCTCGCCGTCAGGCGGATCGGCCAGATATCACAGTGGAGGAACTCCAGGACCTGTTCTTCAATGATGATGCTGAGAGTCATACTCTAGTAAAAATTAATGCCTTCTGATATAGGTATGGGGTCGTCTAAAGTGAATATAAAGTGTATCTGAAGTGAATCAATCTGAATTGAATCTGAATTTAATCTGAATTTAATCTGAACAGTTTAGGGGTAGGTGAATCTTTACAGGGTAGACCGTTGTAGACTATACGATGTGAGCAAAAGGCGAGTAGGATGTAAATGGCATCTGAAGTTAAGGCTCAGATGTAGTCACCAACGACTGACCTTTTGCCCATCTCTCTCTATCTCTTATCTCTCTCCGTCACCTTGTCGTTTGTTTGCTACCAATCTATCTCTATCTATCTTTATATTCCTACCCAGAGATTCCTATAAATGCCTAGCACTTATGTTTCCAGCCTCTTGTCTTTCTTCCATAACTACCTACATCTAGGACCCTAGCCCACCTCATCAAAGACCATCGTTATTGACCTCTATTCTTCTACCTCCTGATTCTCTATTCACCCGGGCGACAATAAAACCCACAAACATGGTAAGGTGTTTCAGTTTATCCGTTATGGCATGCTTGTGGTATTGTGGGCTTTGGTTTGTGATCCTCCATTCCGGATGGGCATGCCTTGAAATCTTCCTCTGCCATGTCATTGGCATCAACTCAGTCTTATACGAAATTCGACGCCTTTTCGACCGCGACAAAAACAGAGATTAAAAGGCTCGCTGGAGATTCCTGCTGGGTTTGTCAGGCTACAGAGCCTCAGATCTGCTACGTGATAGCAAAGGAAGACAAGCAGGTGCGTGATACTATTGCTGCTGGTTTGAATGAAATATGGCTAACCATGTTTAGATAGGTGGACCTTTGGTTGAACGCAGGCCTCATCGACTTCAGCCTAACATCGCCAGCAAATGGGATCACGCTCTGTGGAAGCTGTCACCCGCAATTTGATCGAGATCACAACCCAGGTGTCGACATCAAAGAGTGACCCATATGCATCAAAAGACACTACCGTCCCGACTTAATACAGACATTCATTCATGGTTGATCTCGCAACTGACTTCATCTATTATTTATAGGGAGGGAAACGTCCATGTCAAGCTTGCGGGCGATCCAACCACCGACTAAGGGACTGCCCATTTCGCCATTTCTACGACCCAGGCCAGAAAAAGGCCTCCCTGGCCGCTGTAAATTTATATCTTGGAAACTTGCTCTTCGTCTATACTAATTACTATTGAATAGCCCAGGATCTCTGCCACTGAGACGCCGGCGACCTCATATGCCCAGGTGCGCCTAATGGCTCCCACGAAGCGGCAACGACCACACCCACTTCCATCGCCTCAGCTCAAGAAACCAAAATCATCACCACTGGCTATGCACTCTGAAACGGCGGACTTTAGCACTCATCAATGACAGGCAATAATGCTTTCACTATGATCAGGGCTTGTGAGCTCCTTTCGCCTTTCATACCCTTTTCTAACCGACAGAAGTACTGACATTGAAACTCCTTAGGGCAATCAAGGCCGAGGAATATTGCGGGGCTGTCTGAGACTCAGGGGAAGCGACGATCGTTGAGAATACTCTGATCACAGATTTGATGTCCTGATTCGGTTTTAACAATTTGATCACCACTTGCGCGTCTGTGTAATTTTATTAGATTGGCTGGGCTGGCTTTCGGCGTCTTCGTACGGAGCTGATGTTAATATAGTCCGACGAGTCCTCTTCCGAGGTCGTGGCGTAATATAACTAATTGATGGGTTTCACTTCGAGTATCCGGGAAAGGAAAGCCAAGAAGTGGTAGAGGAAATCAAGCACACGTGTAGTATGTACATAATCGTCAATTGTTCAAAGTATAGATGTATAATAAATGTACACGAATCAAAACTCGGGTCTCCTTACTTCTCCCATTTTTCACTGGTGATGACGGGCATGATCATGACGATGACTCTTGCTCAACAAGCCTTGAGCCCCCAAGAAATCATTGATCTGCTTATAAGCCGCCGTCGCATTATAGTGCAGATTGATAGCATGGCCAGTGTTGGGGTGGACATAGGCAGAGAAAGCGCTGGTCTTTGGGAAGATCACCTTAGCCGCAGCAGGAATAGGAGTCGATTTCCCACCCGTGTGCAAACAGTCGCCTCCACAAAATGGTACATCGTTCGCACCATCGATGACATAGACAGGTCCGGTGAAGTTGCTTTGCGCTGGCAGACCGGTGATAGTCAGGAGTTCACCAACAGTCATCGGTTGCTTGTTCTCTTCAGCAAAGTCCAGAAGGCCGGTGTCGAAATGGGGCGGGTAGAAAAAGAGATATACATTGCTGCCGAGGTCCGCACTCTTCAAGTACCCAGCTGTGTAGTCTGAGTTCTTGCCGTTGAGTCGGGCTTGTTGGAAGTTCGCACCGCTGAGGAACATCGGCATGTAGTCGGCACTTGCCGTGTACCCGGTGAGCACGAGCGCATCGGAGAGCTCTGGGTACATCGCGGATAGAGCAACTGTCTGCGCAGACCCAAATGAATGTCCGACGTGGACGACCTTGGCGGGAGTCTTGATATTAGCCAACTTGCCGCTGCGTACCATGCGGGTCAACTGAGCAAGAGCTTCGATCTCGAGGAATGCCTGGATCTCATTCTTTGCATCGCCATGTGAAGATTTGCCGAGGCCCAGTCGGTCGTAGGAAAGTGTGTGATATCCCCGAGACAAGACGTAATCCACGTATGAGTAGTTATAGTTGTTGTATGGTAGGTCCCAGTACCTATATTATAATGTTAGCCCACTGGATACAGAGACAAATCAAATCTCGAAACTCACGACTTGTCAAAGCCCATTCCATGTGTGAGGATCTGAAGCGTGTAGGCCGAACTCCCAGCATTCTTCGGCATACAGTATTGGGTCGAGATATTGTAGTGGCCCGACACAGTGGCATAGCCCGACAAGGCTGTTTCTGTCAAGTTTTTACCCTGTCTGGTGGCAGAGAGGACGAAAGAAGTAGCGTCAAAGTTCGTCTGGGGTGTGTTGATGTTGTCGAACACGCCATTGCGAGCTGTGACAGGAACTTCCACAGTTACATTATAGCAGGTCTTTGCAGCGACAGCACCAGCCGTTAAAGCCCAAAGTCCAATTGTTGAAGTACGCATCGTGGATGAATTTTGTGTGTGATATCTCCGCAGTCAGGTCGAACAAGCGTAAAAGGGGTTGAGGGGTTGCCTCCGTTATATAAAATTCCCACCAGAAACCTTCACCCACGACAAAATCACCTATCCAAAATGCCGCAAGTCTATTTCGAAAAAATCGACCCCAAATGATTTGTCAAAAGCCCTACGATTGGAGTGGAACCCGACTAACGCATATATCGATAGTGCACGCCCATCAAAGGTTGTTCTCCGGTGCTAAGCCCTAGGCCTAAAAGCGTCTTAAACGTTGGAGGATCTTGTTGACGATTGACATAATGTAGACCTAAGCACCAATCATTGTTTACATTTGATCTGATACCTTCGTCTGAAGAGAAGAAACAGGTCTAGGTTTGCAGTTCTTGCTGCATACTGTCGATCCGAATCTAAATAGAAACGAATTACCGTTCACGATCTCTGATCCCGCTGATCCACTTGGTCCGAGAGCCCTAAAAATGAGAACACATCCAGCACAAATAACACAAATAACGGATCACTGCCGGGGTTAGATCAACACAGGGTGGTTTGTGCGTCTATTGTAGAGTATACAACATAAATAATAACTCGGATGCAGCGGAACTGGGGGTGATATTCAAAATTGAGACTGCAGGTAAGAATAGTCGGGATATAGTACGGAGTAGCACGGAGTAGCACGGAGTAGTGTATCTTGCAAAGCCACATGCTAATTTTGACCTTGTTAGGGGGAATTGGAGGGGTTCATGGCAAAAACAGTCCCCTGACAGGTGCATTAGCGAGAATATAGACCCAGATGTTGCAATATCTAACGAACTCCAAGGAAACGATCTACAAGCGTTCCCAGGTTTGAGGACCTGGACTTTTGTTTAGTGCCCAGGTGGAGCACTCGATGGAGTCTTGAAGCCACTTAAAATGCAAGAAAGAGGACCAGAACGAGAGCGAGAAGAACACCAGCCGTGCGAACCGAAAAATTGAACACCAATTAATGCGCTACAACATATGTAAATTTCAATGCCATAAATATTTATGTTGTATACTCAGTAGAATGATAACATCCATACATCGTATACTCCGTATGCAAGTCGTTGATCACCACCGATCGCCAGTGACATGAAACAGCCCATTCTTCTTCTTTTCCGCATCCCACCGCTCCATCCAAACCTTCATTTGGTCCCGGCTCTTCTGACTGCCGACATTCACCGTCGGAATGACCCGCCCGATACGCAAAGCGCAACAGAACATGGTCAACTCGCGGAATGAACTGTGTTCGCTGTAGGGCACACCAAAGCAGGCACTTTCCCGTGTGCTGCCGCGCTGTGGTGTGAGGTCTTGGCTGGTGTATGGTGACTTCCAGTTTTCGCCGTGTAGCACAGTGGAGACTGGTGGATTTTGTACCAGTCGCCCGGCTGGTGGGCGATAGTTCCAGCCGGTCGGGCGAAAACCGACGACTCGGGAGAAATGCGGTTTGAGGTCATCGAGGTAGTCTGCCAGTGTGTCGGCGCGGATCTCAAAGAGGGTTTGCATATGTACTTGCGCTTCGTGTGGATTGCTGGTTAGCATCCCGGAGAGCTCGGGGTCTTCCAAGCAGGCACAAATTCGTTGTTTCGGTGGAGTCGCGAAGATTTTGGATCCAAGTGCTCGGGCGATCCCCATACATATCCGTTCTTTGCCAATACTGTAAGTGCCGATTACTACCAGTAGTCGGCCGCCGGTATTCGAGGGTTTGTTTTGTATCGTGTTGCTCCCCGTGGCTGCGGAGATAAATTTGCCCATCAAACCACCTGCACCGTTCTTCCCCGCATCAGCTCTGACACCAGCTTCTTCGTTCAGGCGCACACATAGCTCTGAACACGCTGTAATCACATCCTCCTGAGCGGGAAATCCGTATTTTGGGCTCAGGTATGTGGTGTCGAGATAACATTTGTCGATATGTTGCTGTCTCGGCTTACCAGTGACCTGGTTGGTCACGTTAGGGCGTAGAAGCGGATGTTGCACCTGGGCAGGAGACGCACGAAAGTCACCACAATGCAACACTCGTTGGTTATTGGCATTGGGTCCATTCCCAGAACTCTTTTCGAAAACAAAAAGTGAACTACCGGGGCAATGATTTGCATGTATCATGGTGACCCGCACCCCTCCCGTCTCCGGTACTTCGGTGGTAAATTCGAACTCGAGGTCAACCACCCATTTGGGATCAACGCGAAGCTGCTGGCGGACAAGATTGGCAGTTGGTCGACTGCAGTAAATGGGCCCATGGCACCAGGACTTGCTGAGCCCTATATAGTGATCGCTGTGAAAGTGACTGAGAAAGTAAGCGTTACACCCTTCGACGGCCCCGTATCGAAAGGCATCAACGCATATGGAAAACCCCGGAATAATTTTGTAAAATGGACAAGTCCGTTGGTAGGCTTGTTTGCCGCGAGAAGACACCTCGTTTGCGGCTGCCGTAGCCCAAGCAGTATCTTCTACATTCCCCGCCATCATCTTCGAGAATGCGGAACCTCCGATAGGCTTGTTCTGTGAGTAGGGATCACCTTGCGCAGGTCGAGCAATAGCAGCGCGCTCCACGCGCGTCAGCGCTTTGTCGATGGTGGCTGTCTTTGGAGTCGGCTTCACCATGGGCTTAGGAGCGGGCATGGCCGGTATAGGGTTGGTTTTTCCATCAAGGCAGTCGTTGACATGTATCGCAATTGTCTATGCCGAAAATCAGTATTTCAATACACCCGAAGGGAAGTAATAAGCACTTACCGTCTCATTAAGATCCTTCAGCACCATTTGGCAGACAGGGCATGTGCTCACTTCCCCCTCAATATCTTCTATACCAGAACAGTCGTTTAAGACTTTGTCAGGATCTACCTCAAGATCAATCTGATGATCTTGTTCCTCGCCTTCCCAAGGCCGATTTCGAAACTCTTCCCCTATAAGCTCGTCTTCATCTTCTATAACGTCAAAATTCGCGCATTCATCATTATCGGCATTATTCGTGGCGGCGCTTACCAGTGGCGGAGGTGTAGATTCGGAAGTGCGTTCTGTAGCCACTATTTTATCCTTGTACAATGCTTCGTTCGTCATATCCCTAGTGGTGGGTTTGGTCTCATCAAGCTCCCGATATGCTTCCATATCATCCTCGCTGTCGGACTCATCGATAAATGGTCCGCTCCTTTTCTGGGTCTTTGCGGATGTAGGTGTAGGTGCTTTTTCAGTCTTCGATTCGGTGTCTGGTTGTTGTGTTTCGGTAGCCGGACTGTCCGGTGAGTCGACCTTCCGACGCTTGACCGCGGTATCGCTCTCATTGTATCGTTCGGCATCCCGTTTCAAGAAATCATCATCGTCGCCCCAAAAGTCAGGCGTCAGTGATCGCTCTCTTTCGCTCGTCGACGTCGCTCGTTCAATCTTTGCGAGTCCCTTTTTATCTTCCAAGAAAAGCCCACCAGCAGTGTCATTTCTTGTATTGTTGCCCCGTTGGAAAGCCTGGGTCCCCCGGCCGCTGCTCGGTGACTGAGAGGTCGCCGTTGCAAACTGGGTGATTCGAGCCTGGCGAGAAGTGGCACCCGGTGGCGTGTCGGTCTTCTGAAAGAAACTCAGGATGCTCGAATTGCGTTTTATTGAGGATTGTCTTGTCCCAGAATATCCCTTGGATGGCGTAGCCCCCTTCTTCGCGTAGGATCCGGCCATTGTGGCTCGGTCACAGCGGGTGGGAGTCCGTTGCACCGTATGTGAGAATCGAGTCGTGACAAGGGTATAAGAGACTTCGCAGCTGTTCCAATGTAGTTTTAGGTCGGATGAAACGCAAACAGTCGGATTAGATGTACAATATGTCCATAATATGTGCACGGTCGCCAATGAAAATGTCCAGGATTAATTGGGTCGAGAGGCGCGAAGAAACAGGATCGCGACACGCGATCACGTGGTCGGTAATACTCGGCTCCATGGGGCTACATTTGATTTTGGTATGTTTAGAGCATTGTGATATAGTCAAATTATCCAAAAAAAAAGTTGCTGTTCATTATTGCAAAAGAAATGTCTAACGAGGTATCATGAACAACGCAGTCCAGGTGCCAGCGTGAGCTAGAGGCGGGTAATCTCCGACGAAATTGCTTTTGCGGCGTATCAGTAGGATTCATGAGTGGCAATCCAAGTCCATTTGGTATCTTGGGTGCATTCGAGTGGTATGGGAGTTTCGAACATCCTTCGTTGCATGAACCCGTCTCCCCGGCCATCAATTGGGTCATCTCAATATTGGGAAGCCACCTGAAACCCCATACTTTTGGCCATATAGTCATTTGCTTTGCTGGAGACCACCTGAGGGGAACAACGGTATGGAAGAGCGCGATGCGTGATTTGTCGTAAAATTGAGGCCGTGATCGTTTAGCGAGCTTTGCCAGCCTGGTTGGCAGCCTCTGTATGATGAGTCTATTAGTATTGGTTCGAATGGCAATTCCGGTCGCAATCTTCGTGGATGCTTTAAGAGAGGCAAGAACATAGACTGATATCAAGGAAAAAGAAGCGCAACTCACCTCGCCGTGTGGCATCCTCCAACAACCCCACGTCAACCTCCGACCGAGGCAACATCACGTAACGCACCACACTACCTCGGATGAACATGTTCTTCACCGAAGACAGGTGAGGGTACTTGGCCAGATCCAACACTTCGATATCGTCAAGCTTGATGTTTAGGTACTGGTCGACAGATTTCAGGATTCCACGAATGCGGATGTCATTCTTGAGCTCAATGGTGACCGTCTGGTTGGTCAGAGTCTTGAAGAAGCTGTAACAAAGCACCTATTAGTATTCACCTTTGCAGAATGGGTTTGCGCTTTGCGCCATAGTATACCTGAAGAAAAGCATGGTTGCGGTGGATAAGAAAGCTTGGAGGGGTGGTTGGATGAGAAGATGTGCGCTGGACCAGAGCGGTGATTTGTATTCTGCCGATGCCCGACGATACTGTAGGTTGGATATGAAGGATTTGAATTAATGAATATCACAAGATT